TTAAATATATAGACTTTAATACTATTTAGAAATATATTATTTAACTTATTAAGTAGTTTTATAAGTCTTTTATAAAATAGAATATTAATAAAAAAAATAAAAAAAATAGTTAATTATATTAATTTTATACTTTATAAACTATAAGAGGTTTTAAATATTAAGGGTAAATTAAAAGAAGTAAAACCTATATATATTATAATAAAGTTTAAGCTCTTTCTAATTTTACTATTAATCTTAAAGCTTATAGCCCTTATAGTATAGCTTATAAAAGGTTTTAAAGATAATATAGATGAAAAAAAGTAAATAATAGCTTTATTTAAAAAGATATAAATACTCTAAATAACCTTTAGAACTTTATTTAAAATAGCCTTTTTAATAAAAAGCTAAATATATAAAAATCCTTAAGCTCTATATAGACTAAATAGCTTATTCTATTTATATAAGAGGCTTAATTAGCTCTATATAATAGATAAAGTTATATAAAAGATATATAAGGAACTTCTAGCTAATAAGATAGTATTAAAAGGCTTTAAAATATATAAAAAGCCCTCTAGAAGTTCCCTATTACTTTAGATTTAAGAGAAAGGCTTTAAGAAATATAAAAAGCTCTCTAAAAGCTCTCTATTATAAAGAGCTAATAGTAATATTATTTTAACCCCCTTAAGTACCTATTAGAGAGATCTCTTATTATTTTTAATATTATATAATTAGCTTATAAATTAAGAGGAGTATATAAAAAGAAATAGAAAATTAAAAGCTTAAGTAGATAAGATTTATTCTCTTATAAAAAGGTTCCTAAAGGCTAAATAAAGCTACTTTATAAAGTATAAAACCTCTTACTTATAGAAAGAGATTATAAAATACTTCTCTATTAGGTATTAAATACTTAAGTACTATTAAGTTTATATTTATAAGCTTAATAAATATAAAAGACTTATAAAGCTTAAAGTATACTTTATAATATAGAGAGATTAATAAGTAAAAGATTTAAAAGATATTTATATAGTTATATTTATTAAAATCTTATTTAAAGTCTTTATAGTAATTACTATTTATTTTAATATAAAACTCCTTTCATATAATATTATTAATATATTTATATATATATTAATTAATAAAATAGTTTATATATAGATACTATTAAAATATAAAATATTAAAAAAGTCTTTAGACTCTATAAGGCTCTCTATAGCCTCTAGAGATCTCTACTCCTCTAATAAAAGTATTTAGAGAAGGGCTTAAAAAACCTTAAGTTCTTAAGAGTTTTAAGAGAAAACTACTATTAATAAAAAGAATAAATAATATTTTTTTTTATATTAATAACTATATTTTAACTTTCTTATAAGCTTATAAAGTTACTATAAAAGTAATAATTATTAAACTTTAAGAGTAATATTACTTTAAAAGAGGAGGTCCTTTATAATAGTTCCTTAATATTAAAGTTCTATAAGACTAAGAGGCTTATAAACTATAGTTCTTTTAAGTAGTCTACTTTAAAAAAGTTAAGAAACTTCTCTTAAAAGGCTATAAGCTAAATAAGAGGAATATAATATCTATAGCTTATATTAAGTTACTTTTATATAAAAGAGAGGCTTTTATCTATAAAATAAACCTCTATTAGAGAAAAATAAGTATAATACTATATATAATAGTTATAATAAAACTAAATATTATATTTATTATAAGCTATTTAGCTTATTTTAATTAAAACTTAAAGCTAAAATATTAATAAGTAGTAAATTAAATACTTTAATACCTTTATAAAATATATTACTTCTATTTTATTTATAAAGCTAAAGCTAAAAGCTTATTTAATATACTTAAAGTAGCTTTTAATATTAGTTTTAGAGATAATACTTTAAATAAAAAAAGCTTTTAAAGCTTTACTATAAAGCTCTTTAGAGGGATTATTACTTAAAAGATAAGTAAATAAATAATAATAATTATTTTAATAATAAAAATAAAGCTTTTTACTCTTTTATATATTATAAAAGAAGTCTTATTTATAAACTAACTTATCTCTATACTTTAAGTCTAATTATTAACCTTAAGTAGCTTAAAATTAACTTTCTTAACTATTTAAAAAGTCTAAATAATAATTTATATTTAATATAATAACTAATAAATAGTTTATTTAGTTATTAAGAAACTCTTATAACTCTAAATAAAGTTATAATATATTAATATTTATAATTATTAATTAAAATAAAAGATCTATAAAGAGTAAGTAAATATTTTATATATATTATCTATTAAGCTAATAGCTAATAAGCTTATTAAGGCTCTCTCTTAATAATAATTTAAAACCTTTTAGGCTTAATTAAGCTTTTAAAATATAACTAAAAACCTTAAAGAAAACTAAAAGGAGGACTTTAAATAAAACTATTTATATTAGCTTAAGCTTATAAAAGCTAACTTAATATAGAACCTAGCTATATAAAAAGGTTAAAAGTCTTTTTATATAAAATAATAAAAGCTTAAGAAGTTATAAAAAAATAAAAGTAAATTTAAAAGTAAAAAAGAGGTATTTAATTTAAAGTATAAAGCTTATTAACTTAAAGGTATTTATAAATATAAAGCCCCTAAAAAACGCTAGAACCTTTTTATTAAAGCTATAGCTTATTAAAAATAAACTTAAAACTACTTAAGAGCTAAAATTACTAGCTAAAAGGGCTATTATAATAAGTAATAGCTTTATAGATATTAAAATAAGTAATAAAAATAATAGCTATAAAGTTAATACTAATTTCTATATTTATAAGAAGCTTATTAAGCTAATAATAGAGGTTAATAATACTATTAAATAGTATAATATTACTCTTAAAACTAATAAGACTAAAAAGAGGAGAGCTCTAAAAGAGTATAAAAGGTATATTAGCTAGAGAAATATTATAGCTAGATATAAAGGGATTAATACTACTAAAAGGAGAGAAACTATTAAAAATAGAGATATTACTAAATATATTAACTATAGGAGTATTAAAGCTAAAAGTAAGAATTAGTTCTCTATAGAAGGGAGAGAGAGCTAGAGTAGCTATAGAAATAATAAATAAAAAGCTAAAAGGAACTATAAAAATAAGAGAAATAATTAAAATAAAAAAATAAACTATAGAGGTATTATAAAGACCTAAAGTAAAAGTATTAATAATAATAACCTCTTTATTATTTTTATTATTATTAAATAGGCCTATATAAGCTTAAGAAATAGCTTTATAAAGCTTATTATACTTAATAGTAACTACTTATTTAAATAAAAAATATTAATAATAAATAAAGGGAACTTTAAGAGCTTAATAAAATATATAATAATAAAGATATTCTTTTTCTATTTAAGAGAGAGAAACTCTTAATAAAGATAAATTATCTTTTTAGTATTATATTAATATTTACTATTAGTTATATAGTATTTATAATATATATAGAGACCTATATAATAAATACTTATTTTAGAGATACTCTTAATAAGAGAAAATAAATAACTTAAATAGGAGTTATACTTTTTATTCTTATTATTCTCTAAATAGTAATATTTCTTTTTAAAAGAAAAAATAAGCTTTAAAAAATATAAATACTTTTTATTATAAAGAGTTTTCTTTTTAAATATATTACTCTTTTTTCTCTTAAAAGCTTTATTAAGCTTCTTTTTAATAGTAATATAAGCTTCCTTTTTATTAGCTTTTTTCTTTATAGTAATATTAATTTTAATATAAATATCTTATTTATAAATAGCTTTCTTTTCTTTAATAAAAATAGCTTTCTTTTTTATAATATTCTCTTTAGCTTTTTTTTCTTTAACCTCTTTAGCTTTCTTTTTAGTACTATAAGAAAAGTAAATAATAATAAGAGTAATATTTTTATCTTTATAAGGATAATTATATTTATAAATTGGCTTAAAAGCCTCTTTCTCTTTCTCTTTAGAGGTAATAAGCTTATTAAAGCTTTTAAAACTTATACTAAAGATAATAAGCTTTTTAAAACCTTTAGAACTAAAGGGCTTTATTTAAAAGAGAAAGTTAATAGACTTAAAGGGTAGCTAAAAAAGAATAAGCTTATATATAGGAGGTTAAAAGAATCCTTATAAGCTTTTTACTCTTAAGGTATAATATTAAAGCTAGCTTTATAAGAAGCTCTATTACTCTTAAAGTTAGAAATACTAAGAGGAAAAAGCTTAAAGTATTAAATATAAAGTATATAAATTTAATATCTAAATTTATAAAGGCTAAAAATAAAAGATAAAGAAATTAATAAAAAGTTAAATAAAATAGTATTAAAAAAAGAATTTTATAAAGATATTTATATAATAGAGGTTATTACTCTATTAGTAATTAAAAAATCTAAATAATACTTTTATATAATAAAAAAAGTATATATATAGTAATAATACTTTAAAAGTCTAAAGAAAAAAAAGAAATTTTTTTTATAAAGAGCTTATAGAGTAGAATTATTTTATTAATATTATAATAATATAAATAATATAATATAATAAACTAATTAAAAAATTTAAGAGAGTTATAAATACTATATAAGCTACTTATAAATTTTTTTAGTTTATATATAGCTATTTAAATCCTATTTAGCTATAAAGAGAATAATAAAATAATATATACTATTTATTTAATAAGCCTATAAAGCTATTTATAAATTACTTATAAAGCTAAAAATATCTATTTTTAGATAATAATTATCCCTAAAGGGGTATATTAAATTTAGAGAGTATAAATTAGGATTTTATATAAAAGTAATAAAATAAATCTATTTAGCTTAGGGGTAGATCTTATTAATATTAAGATCTACTTAAGCTCCTAGAATATTTAGGAGAAATTCTCCATAGCTCTATAGATAGATAGAAGAATATAATATAGTAAATTTAATACTATAAAACTATAAGGTGCTAGAGGTAATACTAGATCTAAATGAGATAAATTAAATTTATAAAGTAATATTTCTATTTCCCCCTTAGGCTATGGATTATCTTTAATCTATCTTCTAAGTATGTGTCTCTACTGGATAAGTCTCAGATCCCTCTCGCTGGCCTCAGCATCCTTCTTGGAAGCAGGCTCTTGCGTTGTCACAGCTCCATAACTCGGTCCCTCGGCTGGTTCCAGCGCCTCTTCCTCAGCTGGAACCAAGATCGCCCTTTCCTGGTTCTGGCGATCCATCCTCGCTCTCCACGGACGGTAAACCAACACCGAACCGAGTCCAACAACCACGAACACGCCGCAGATGCTGCCGCCAATGATGTCAAAATGCTCGCCGATGGCGTCAACACCGTCCCAGAAACTTCCTTCGGGTTCCGCCACGTTTGCGATGAGTGAGAGCACCTGAATGATGCCAATGAACGCCGAAACGAAGACGGTGATGCCGGTGAGGACTATAGAGTAGTACAGAATCGCGACTTGGTCTCGGGAGAAGGCCTTTGAGGTGTACAGGGCCATCATGAGCGCGCCGTCGGTGGTGTCGAGGAGACACATGCCAGCTTTATTCGTCATCAGCATAGTCCTCCGTCAATACTTGTGAAACTTACCGGTGAAGAGGACGGGAAAGATGAGGATCAGCCAGATACTCGTTCCCTGCGCACCATGCACACTCGACAGTCCCAGGATAGCAATCTCCGAACTGGTGTCGAAACCGAGTCCAAACAGAATACCGAGAGGAAACATCTTCCAAGGTCGATCGACGACCCTGAACACCTTCCTAAAGACGTTCGCAAGGAAGCCCTCTCCCTCCAACTTTAAATTCGTGGCCGCATCTTCATCCTCCTCCTCAACGACCTGGCCCAGGGTCTTCCGCCTTTCCTGCTCCAACACAACCCTGAGCCTTCGAATGAGCTTATACAAGACCCATCCGTTCCCCGCACACAGAAGCAGCAGAAACGCAGCGCTGACGCTGGTCCCGATGATGTTTCCTATCCTCGTGAACCCATCGAACCGATCCCTCAACGCGCCGCTCGTCGCCGCCACGACCACGCACGTCACAATCACAATCGTGCTGTGGCCCAGCGAGAAGAAGGTACCGACGGTGACGGGGCGCTGACCCGAGGCGATGAGGCGGCGGGTCATGAGGTCGATGGCGGAGATGTGGTCCGCGTCGAGGGCATGGCGGAGGCCGAGGACGTAGGAGAGCGCTGCGGGAGAGATGAGGGCCGGATGGAAGTGGAGGATGATTCCTGCGACGATCCAGATCGCGATGTTGATGGTGACAAGGAGGGCAATTATGCGGATCGTCGGGGCTGGGACGGCTTGGAGGAACGGTGGGATGGGGAGGGAAGGGAAGGGCACGCGGAAGCGCGCCATGACGATGAGAATATCGGGACGAATTCTAAAGGCCTAGGTATGAGTTTCACGCAGAAACGCTCGAGATGAAAAATAAGGGAACAACAGATGAAGCGTAAAAAGATGTGTGTGAGATGAGGTTCACGAGGTCAGTTTTGAGACGCCCAGCCGGCGGGAAACGGTCCACTGACGGCGTGCCCTCCGGCCGGTCCCTGACTCCCGCCGATCTCCACCTCGTGCTACCTCGCAGCACGCCAGCGCATAGAAACTAGCTCATTGCGGCCGGATAGCGCGCGCCGATATCTGTGCTGGCGAGATGCATGACAGGAAGGTGACTTGGGTGACCACCATAACCCCTCCATCTTTCGGGCGCTATCTTATCGGTGGCAGCGAGGGGCATGCGGGGACCTTGTGTGGGGTTTTGGGGGCGTGTGAGCTCCGAGCCGTCGGCGGCCGCCGGCCAGGATCCCGGTGGTTTCGGTATTGATGTGCCGCGGAGGGGAGTTGCGACCGTGAGGTTCCATTCGATCTTCATAATGAGAATGCCATCTGATTTTTGAAAGACATAAATATGTGCCGCGCGGAGGTGTTAAGTCCGTATCTCCTGAAGCCAATCGCATACCGATGTCTGTCGGTTCGCGTCTTCACCACGATTTTCATTGGATTCTGTAGCAGGGGACATCACATCAGCTCCATCTTATTTCTAGGGCGACCAAGACGATGGCATGCACACCTGATTTATGATTTAATGAAGCTCAAATGGTAAGGTGCGCTTCGTTACAAAGGTCGTTGAGATACAAGGTACAGCTGGTGCCTACATGGATGACAGGGCTACGTTGAAGCATGAGATGAACACATACGGCCTCAAGGAAAGGTTGGTTCAAACCTTACTCACAGCCCATGTCGAGAAGGGGAGCTGTAATCTCGCATATTTGAGGTCTGCAAGCAACGAAGCTGGACAGATCGCATGGTGACCCGCTCGATAAAGAACGCCGCGCAAGTCGAGCTCTTCGTTTGATCCAGCATTACTCGAATAGAAGATCTCTACTAGCCGCTGCCCTCATAGACGGACCATCGTGTTGGCGATTCTTCGATGATTCCCATCGGCCAATAATTAGCCATGGGCAGCGACCCAGAGTGAGACCTCTCAAAAGCCCTCTCCGGATGTCCTCGCGTCCTCCGTGTTGGGAATTTACGCACCGGAACAATCGCGATAGCCCTCAGCCAGCTGGGCTTCGAAAACGTCTTACGCGGCGTCCATGGGATCCATCAACGACGCCCGCTGCGGGCCGCTGTGGAGGTTCCTTGGCGGAGAAATGCCGGTGTCACTTTCTCCGCATATCAATTAAGAGGCGGAACATAATCAGTTGTGTTGATCCGTGGTATTAGTGGACACTGTGTGAAATGAAGTTGCGATGTCGTCAGTATGTGTGCTGGTTTTGCTGGTCCGTCTTCTTCTTTTTCGAAGTGATCGGTTTGAAATGCACCTGAATCATTGTCGAAGTGGAAGGAAGTTTGCGTATCTGGGCTGCTCGCTCAGTCAGCAACTTACCTTCTGGGTCAGCTGGGTGTAACTCCCCTAGACTGCCTCAATTATCCACCTTCACCAACGCGCCCCGTCTCTGTCGTTAAGCAAGAACTCGATCACATCGCAGAAAAGTTCTCAGAGGAATCGAATTCATTGTGCTCTCCCAGTCGATGCGGCAGGTTCATGAAGACAAGGCTTTTATTTTTGATCACCGCCGTCGCGCCTTTCGCCTACAGCTGCACCAACCCAGCCGCTGTACTCACCATGCCGCCGACCTACAACAAGGCCTTCATTCCTCTGGAGTCGAATCCAGAAGTGTTCAATGAGCTCATAGGATTGCTTGGTGCTTCGCCCTCACTTCAATTCGAGGACGTCTTCACCTTGGACGACCCCGCATTTCTGCCTGAAAAGATTCTAGCCCTCGTCCTCGTCTTCCCTACCACGCCTACTTTTGAGGCACGTCTGGTGGCGGAGGAGGCCGGCGCCCAGGACTGGATGGTGGAGCATAACGAGGAAGATGAGGATGCGGTGTGGTTTAAGCAGACCATCAACAACGCCTGCGGGCTGTACGCCATTCTCCATGCCCTGGCCAATGGCCGTGCCAAAGATTTCCTCAGTACGCTTTCCCAGCTGATGCGAAATCGAATGAAAGTTGACCAAACAAGGACCGGGATCGCTGCTGGATAGCCTGTTAGCCGTCGCTGCGCCCATGGATCCTGCCCAGGCAGCCATGGTGCTCGAGGGCTCCAAAGAACTCGAAGAGGCCTACGCCTCCATTGCCGCCAAGGGCGACACAGCTGCACCGGAAAGTGCGGAGGATGAAGTGTATTACCACTACATCTGTTTCGTCAAGTCGCCCGACACTGGTCATCTATATGAGCTGGACGGTGATCGCAAAGGGCCCGTCGACAGAGGCGTCCCGGACGAGGAGCAACGAGTTGATCTTGGCGAAAAGTCGATAGGCATCGTTCGTGACTTTATATCAAAAGGGGGGGAGAACATCGGTTTCAGCCTCATGGCGCTGGTGGAGAAGGCATAGAGGATTGATCATGCATGAAGCGAGATGGAAGGTATGCAAAGGTCTTCATTAGTCGTGGGCATCTGGTCCCAGCTTAGTATGTACAGTGACTTTCAACATGATATCCTTAGCTGGCCTGAATGATCTTCTCCAATTCATCGGGATCCTTGATGGTAGGTGTCAAGTTTTCGCTTCCGTCAGCCGTGATGAGGATGTTGTCCTCGATTCTGCAGGATATTAGCAATGCTGCTTGGAGAAGATTATGGGAGACGAGCTTACCTCACGCCACCAACATCCCAGTACTTTTCCAGGACGGCGGTGTCAATAAACTTGGAGTGGACAGGGTCCTTGAGGTAGGGCTCAATAATGAAGTTGCAGAAGTAGATACCGGGCTCGACGGTAACAATGCTGCCAGCAGGCAGTTTGCCTCTAACACGCAGGTAGCGGAACATGGGGTCCGTGTCGGCATAGTTGGGGTTGCCGCCGACGTCGTGGGTGTCCATTCCGAGGTAGTGGCCAAGACCGTGGGGGAAGAAGGCGACGCTGGTGCGGCTCTTGAGAATCTCTTCCTTGTCGCCCTTCAAGATGCCAACGGAGTGGAGGCCATCAATGGCAATCTTGTGCGCCAAGAGATGGATGTCGTCCCAGACAACACCCTCCTTGAGAGCCGCGGTGGTCTCCAGCTGCATCTTCAACACAATGTCGTAAATCTGGCGGGATTCCTTGCTGAACTTGCCGGAGATGGGGAAGGTTCGCGTCTACTCCATGTTAGATGGCTCATGTCACGCGGAACTAGGGTATCAAAAACAGGGCTTACAATATCAGAGGCATAGCAGTTCCACTCCATGCCAGCGTCCAGCAGAAGGTTGAGCTTGCCAGAAAGAGGGGCATCGTTGGCAACGTAGTGCAGAGTGGCAGCGGCACGGCCTGCGGCAAAGATGCCGTGGTAAGCCTGGTTGGTAGCGCCATTGGAGATGCTGTGGTACAGGAAAGTGGCGTACAGCTCGCTCTCGTTCTTGGCCTTCTTCACCTTTTCGACCACAGCGTGGTGGGCGATGGTGGAAACAGCGTTGGCCTTCCTGGTGAGGGCAACCTCGTATTCATCCTTGACCACACGGGAACGCTCAATGGCATCCTTCAAGACGCTGAAGTTCTTGCCCTCGAACTCGAGGAAGGTAACGCTGTCCAGAACCTGTCCCTCGATGGCGAAGACGGTCTTGTTGCCCTTTCCGAGCTTGGCAAGCTCAGCGTTTACGTCATTGGTGTACTTGACGTGGTCGACATCGTACAGTTCCTTGGCCTCGGCGGCGCTGACGGGGAGGCCAGACCAGATGACGCTATCGGGATCAATGGGAGGAATGAACAGGGTCGACTCGGAGGTCTCGAGGTCGAAGACGTAGTGGCAGTCGGCGAGAGGGCAACCGGTCAGGTAGTAGAAGTAACGGCGCTGTCTTTCAAGAGGTGTCAGATGAGAAGTGCCTCTGCAGATGGATACAATGGAGATGGAGGCGAACACGGAACATACCTGAAGGGCTCAGGCTCGTCGTTGTCCTCGATCATTTTGGTCATGCGACCTTCGACGTAGAGGACGCCGGTGGCATTGGGAACCTTGGACTTGACCTCGTCGGCAACGCGCAGAGCGTGGGACTTGGCCGGGTACTTGCCCTTGAGGACCGTCTCATAGTCTTGAGCCATGGTGTGGGAGAGTCGCAATGGTCTCGATGGGAATGATACGCGCTTCGCCAACTGTGCAGAAGCTCCGAGTAGTCCGCCAAGGGATCTAGGCGTCGGGTTTGTGAAAAGACGTTGGTTTCGGAATAGACCGATAGCGTTGGTAGCTGCAGGAACGGCTGCGAAGTGGGAGTAAAGTTGTGTGCCTCTGGTACGAGTAACAGCACGATATGATGTTCTGGCCAACATCAAGTCTTCCGTTTCTAATCTGAATCGAGACCAGGAAAGAGGGGCATCAGATGGCGCGAGGGGCACGTCGCACAATGGAATGCACCAAGGAACACCACACTGCGCCGAATGAACTGGGCACTGTAAGCCGAGCCAAAGCGCAAAAGACGGCAGCAGCACAGGCGGGACGAGATAGCTGCGATAACGAATCAGAGCCACAAGACTGGTCGGATAAGGAAGCTCCTTCCTGGACCTTCCCAAGACCTTTCCATCCTGGGGAAGTCGACAGTTGAAAAGCCACAGTGCAATCGCTGCTTTCTCTGAACTTCACACGGCACCCCTCCATCTCCGCTTTTATTTGAGTATGGCCAATCAAAATGATGGAGATATCGGAACTCGGCAAAACCTCGTATCCATCATCCTGATTATGTAAGTGTTAGCTACCACCACCCGTGAGGTCCGTGCATTTCTGGATGCTGATCCCGTCACCAGCTGGCGAACCGCCAACCCTCAAAAACCACAGTCACGATGCTCCTCCAACGACCCCAAGAACCAACCTCGACTTGTTCCAGACGCTTGTTCCAGTCCACAATTCCATGTCATACTACCTTCTGGCACCACATGGACGCGGCTTAAACTTCAATTTCTCCACGATCCGACCACGACTTTGTCTGCACGACTCTGTCTGGTCACCACCGACCTGCATCAGGCCCACACTGCGACAACAAGAAGACTTTCTGCCGTGTCAGTTTAAGCTGGATGGCACCACTTCTACCAAAGGTCTTCCCTTGACGACAAGATCTCGCACCAAGAATCGGCCGTGCCGAAAACTGCCCAGGCGCCAGCACAAGACCCGGCATGAGCAGGCTGAACAGGATATCACTTCACATTAAAGCGGCAATTGCGTTACAAGTTGAACACACATCACCTACAAGGCACGACCAATCCAGGCTCACCACTCCCTTTCCTAACCATGGAGAAGGATCATCACCCCAGAGCTACATTTCTACGCCACTTGGCTACTTGACAAAATTACAAATGGCAATCGCGGTTTTCAGAGCCAAGCTTGACAGCCTGACTTGCACGGCATCAAGCATCCCAACATACGACTGAAGTCCGAATTGGCGGTGCCATGTCGCATCGCTCCACCGCCGAGGAGCCCCAGGCACCAGATCCAGCGTCTTTTCACTTCTCCAAAAATCAGCGCCTTCTTCCCCAACCTTGGCCGACATCCACATAACAACCCCGAGGGGAATAACTGGACCTGTTTGCCGAGCGCGGTCCCTCTGACTGACCCAGCATAATCACCCCGAGTCAAGATTGAACCCTGGTCAAGGTCAACATGTTCAGGGTATCCAGGCGTTGAGAAACCAGGTGACTACAGCCTTCATCGCTACCGGCGCAGAGCCATCGACGCTCGTCGCAATACGTTGCTCGTCTTACACCCAAGTGGAGGGTAACAACCAAGAGACCCAGGACCTACTGCAGGAAACATGCATTCAGCCAGACAACGCGACACCTGCAAAGGAAATGATGAATGAGAGTACTGCAACGTCAAATTACAGCTTGCCCTCTACTAGGGTCTCAGCTTACCACGCTGCATCATCACAGTACATCCGTTCCCAAGGCGACGTACCTCATCTTACGCCAGCATCGAGGGTACGAAGCGTCGTCTTTGGGGAAGATTGGTTGCTAAGAATCCAGAATTGTTACGGATACTAAAACGAGATTCCCGACGAGCGGAGCGCCGCCTGGGTGCAGCTCACTGCTGAGTGCCGCCAACAGCCTCGACTCAGTTAACTTTGACATCTCCCAATATCGATGCTATCCGTCTTGCCGTCTTGTCGTCTTGTCCCTACGGTGGCGTGAGCAGACCTTGGGTTCATCTCCGAGCCTGGCAAAGTTTTCATCAACATCCGTACATATCGGAGCTGTCCTGTTGGCCTCACATAAGGAGACTGTACGCGAATCATCTCCACCAACGCCCAGCCATCATCTCTGCCGTATCCCGGCATAGCATTGTCGTAATGGCGCCTGTCACTCGAATCAACGCTTCAGCCTTCCCGTTTGTGAGGTTTACGCCCTAATGTGTACGCGCGCTCTTCATTACAACCGCCGACTTTTACTCGTTTCAAGGACCAGGACCAGCAACCGTCAACGTCCCAGAGCATAGATTGCTCGATACAATTTCAACGTTAGCTCTTCCGAGGCCCACGGGATGCCCCATTCAACTTTACTTCGTCCAATGCGGTGCATCACTGGTCGGGTTTTGAATCCTTCGTGAACCAATTCTGCAATGGCATGCGGGCTCATGGTCGTCTACCCCGCAACCGCCCCGACCACCAACCCCCGTAACCCTGGCAAACCTCCGTTCCTTGTGGCTCGCCTCTGCAGCTTATTCAGGCGCCCAAAGGCTCGGCAACCCGTCTAGCGTCGGTCCGATATTAGTGTACAACTCTGCTCGAGCTCATGAGACACCACAGAGGCAGTCAGACTGGCAGAGGGAGGGATTTAGCTCCCAACCAATGCCAGCTTCTCATTGCCGTGGGTCTTGGTATGCAGACTGCCCTCCCACTTCCCTCTCCAAATGACGTAGGACAAGCCGCGTTGTTTTTAAAAAGGACGGCATCCTTTAGACGGCGTTGTCGTCGGGCACGGGGCACAGCCAGCCGAGCGTACAACGGGCCTGTCTGTTCAGAAATGCCGGCCGAGACGACGTCGTTCGCGGGATCAAACCCGCAAATCCAACGTCGACGAGAATCCCCAAGAAATGTCAAGTCGGTTCAAGCTCAGTTTAAGCATCATGGCTGACAGCCAGTAGCGCCCTCGGCGGTGAGCTTGTGGACTTTGTGGGCACGCGAAGCCTTGACGATCGATTTGTCCCTGCTTGGTTGCCTTCTCTATGGCTTGGTGGGCCATGGCAGGCTGCTGCGGCCAAAGTCAATGAATATGCCAAGCACTTGGCTCTCACGATCACTTCTGGGCGTTGCGGGACGGGTGTCACTGGACGAACGACTCAACTGGCGCCAACCCTCTACACGTTACATTCTGAATCCCCAAGCCGCGACATCAACAAGGGACCTGTGTCACTGGAAAGGTGTAAACGCCTCCTTCTGTCCGTTTCTCTCGTCCATATTGCATGGTATTTTCCGAAACCCAGCCCACGATGGATGCTATCACTTCGTAACCCCCGACGTAAATGTAATCGGTGTCGGTGCAGCCGCAGCAAGGGAGAGAAACCAACATTTACGGACACGAAGCCAAGCTCGTCCAAAGCAGGGTCTGACCCCCAAGACCGCGACTAGAGCCGACATTTGCACTTGCAAGGAAAGCCTCGTAGGTTGATTCCCCGTCCTGGCGTGGGGCAACTGGGCTGGGCACTTGATTGCCCCGGCGATCTCGACGAGTCTCTTCGCGTCTGGCAGTTCCAACACCAAGACACGGACTCTGTGACTGGTGGGCGTGTGCGGAGCTGCCAAGACGAGAGAATCTGGACTTTCTGCCAGAGCATGTTCGGCTGAATTTGTCTGTGCCTCTGGGGTTTCTGGGGTTGGGTTGGTTGCTATAAAGATCCATGACATTCCCACGCGAGATCCCCTGCGTGCGCCGTTGCTTGATTGCTGCGCATGCGCTTTGTGCTTCCATCAAGTTGTAAAGTCATACTTAGAACGTGGCTACACGCTCAAGCTGAACGTGTTGATACTTGAGCTTTCAGTAAGAGAGACGCGGCTGTTACGGCCTACATCGCCAACATGGGTGACAACATCCAACCACATGAGTAAGTGTTTCGTAACGCGTCCGTCGATTCCCAGACTTTGTCTTACGATCTCTTCACAGCAATAAGACGGCCGACACAATCGGCCACCATGAGGAGCGTGCCAACCACATTGACCCCGTCGATTTAAGCCGTAACATCGAGGCGAAGTAAGCCAAACCGGATTCAGTCCGACGCATAGAACAAGAAAAGACTCACAGACCACTAGGATCAAGAATCCTCTCGAGGGTATCGGCTATGAACAGCTTATGCATGATGTCCAGGTCTTTTGCGAAGAGAAAGGTCTACAGAGTGAAATTGATCTTTTCCGCAAGGGTGCCTTGATCGCCCAAGACCCTGAGAACTATGCGTCTATCGGTGGCACTGAAGCTCTTGATGACGCTGAGATCAAAGCGCTCCGCGATGAGGTTGAACACAAGTGGCGCATGCCGACGAAGCTGTTCCTTACCATTGCAACCTGCTCGATTGGTGCTGCCGTCCAGGGGTGGGATCAGACTGGTACCAATGGTGCCAACATCTTCTTCCCAAAGGTGTACGGAATCGGAAGCGACAGCACTCGCGACACCCTCATCTTGGGTCTGGTCAATGCTGGTCCTTACCTCGGCAGCGCGTAAGTGTACTCTCGATATCAATGCGAATCCATGCTGATCGTCCTGCAGTCTGATGGGTTGCTGGCTGTCTGATCCTCTCAACCACTACTTCGGTCGTCGCGGTGTCATCTTCTTCTCTGCTCACTTCTGCATTTGGCCCTTGATCGGATCTGCCTTCAGTCAGAACTGGCAGCAACAATTCGCCAACAGACTGCTCATGGGTATCGGCATGGGAGCCAAGGCCTCCACTGTTCCTATCTACGCTGCTGAGAACTCGCCTCCGAGTATTCGAGGTAAGCACACATCTCTCTCTGTCTCTAACTCGTCACACTAATCTTATCAAACTAGGTGCTCTGGTCATGAGCTGGCAAATGTGGACTGCCTTTGGTGAGTCTCGAGTGCTGGCCGGAATCAAAGGCCGGCAGCTAACATCTTGCTCTAGGCATCGCTCTCGGTACCGCCTTCAACCTGGCAGTTTACTACGCCAACCACAATTGGCGTCTCATGCTCGGTATGTTCGCGGAAAGTATACTACGTCTGTGCGTTTACGCTAACCATCGACTTTCCAGGTGCTCCTTTCCTTCCGGCCGTTCCCCTTCTTGTCATGATCTACTTTTGCCCTGAGTCTCCGAGATGGCTCATGAAAAAGGGACGCTACGTCGCCGCATGGAAGTCTTTGGTCCAGCTTCGAAACCACCCAATCCAATGCGCCCGCGACATGTACGCCATTCACGCGCAACTGTCTCTTGAGAGCCAAGTTCTGAGCAAGAACAACTATGCAACTCGCTTCACTCAGCTCTTTACCATTCCGCGTGTCCGCCGCGCCAACTTGGCTGCATTCACCGTCATGATTGCTCAGCAGATGTGCGGTAAGTCAAAGACATTCATGGCCTTCGTCGGTGTACTGAGTGCTGACTTCCTGATCCAGGTATCAACATCATTGCCTTTTATTCCACCACCATTTTCAAGGATGCCAACATGGGCGACTTCGAGGCTCTGCTCGGTTCCTTTGGATTCGGTATGGTCAACTGGCTTTTCGCTTTCCCTGCCTTCTGGACGATCGATACTTTTGGCCGAAGATCGCTTCTGCTGTTCACCTTCCCTCAAATGACATGGACACTGCTTGCAGCCGGTCTCTCCACGTTGATCGCCCCCGGAATCACTCGAACTGCACTGGTATCTCTCTTCGTCTACCTCTTCGGTGCCTTTTACTCCCCCGGTGAGGGACCGGTGCCATTCACCTACTCTGCGGAGGTCTACCCCTTGTCTCACCGTGAGATGGGCATGGGTTTTGCTGTCGCTACCTGCCTCTTCTGGGCTGCGATTTTGGGCATGACGTTCCCTTTTATCCTCAAGCGTCTCGGCGTCGTGGGCGCTTTCGGTCTGTACGCTGGCTTCAACGTTGTGGCATTCATAATGGTAAGTTGTTCTGAGTCTCCTTGCGTTGATGTTGAGAAGAGAATGCTAACTTTCGACAGATCTTGGTCAGTGGTCTCTCCCGAATTATCGGTAAGATGAATGTGCTGACCTTTGACAGTTCTGGGTACCTGAGACGAAGCAGCGTTCTGTATGTGTATTCCCTCTCCAAGTTCGCAGAAAGAATCAAGCATGCTAACAGTTCGTCTAGCTCGAGGAGCTCGACTGGGTGTTTGCCCTGCCGACCAGCCGCTTTGCCCGCTACCAGGTCGAGAAGGCGATTCCCTACTTCATCAGACGCTGGATCTTCTTCGACCGCAAGGCTACGTTGGAGCCGCTCTACACCTTTGAGAAGTCGCACCGAGTCGAGCGCGTCTCCGAGACCAAGGACGTTTCCGACGGCGATAAGAAGAGCGAGTAAACGGCCATTCTTGAACATCAGTGAGCATGTACTGAACGTTGTTCCACATCTCCTGACTATCGTACGACCTGTTCTGAAGGGGACGAGAGATCGATATACCCAGGCGGCGGATGATCGGATGAGCTTTTCTTTATTTGTGCTGGGTTCTCGCCTGACCTGTAATGCTCGGGAGGCTTTTGCCTTCCGACTAGTTAAACCAAGTCGCTCTTTGACCTGGTACATTCTTGCACTCGATACCAATACCACCTTGTATTCGCCAACCCTCATGTCTCATTCCTAGGTAGTACGTGACTTTGCCAGAGCCGACATTGCAATACTCCAACATCAGACCGACGATCACTTCTTGGTTTTCGAGGAGGCCCACTATCGAGAACTTTGCTCTCCCGTGTTTGTTTCCACGGAATCATTCCACATTGCTAATCTCGATCGCTTATTTCACATCGAAGCTTTACGCCAAGCTAGCGCTTCGAGCTGCCCTCTTGAAGAATGACTCCCCGCAATTGACGTATGAAGCATCATCCCAGACCTCAGTCTCGGCAACACGTCTTGGCGTGGAGATCAAAAAAGCCTTACGGTGACAACGGGAAATGGAATATCGCGGGGATAAGATAGACTTGGCCTTGGCTTGCTGCAAGGGCCTGAGCCGGCACGGGGCTAGAAAGTCAGGAAGCTATGAGGTTAAATTAACGGGGCAGTCTGGCAGTCCAAGGAAAATGGATTCCCCTCCTTGCTGTGATGTCGTCTTGTGTTATAGCTTGCTCGTCATGGAATCTGAGTGATCTCGATTTCGTCGACGACATTATGAAGGCACATTTCTATTTGTCAGCGATTCTTGTTGGTAATGTCAGATATGCATGCAATGAGAAAGATGACTATAGACAGTAAAATCGATATATACAGTGAAGTTAAAACCTGGCCCAATCCACTGACAGCTGCACGTTACTACGAGAAAAACCACCTAGGTCAGCTTGACAGTAACAACGCCCTTGCTAGGGACAGACACAGAGACAGAAGAGCCAGAAAGCGTAGACTGCGTAGTACTGAACTTGTGGCTATTGTCGGTGACATACGCAGACGCCGTCTTGGGGTTAAAACCCTTGAAGGACACGGAAGCGGAATTGGCGGCGTTGCCGTTGTTGGTAAGCACCAGGACCATGGATCCATCGGTGTTCCGAACAGCAGCGGTGAGGACGTCAGTGACTTGTCCAGAAGTCGCGAGGCGCTGGGCGCCGGGGCGGATGTACCGCGACCACATGGCAAAGGCCCAGAAGTTCGCCGAAGGGGTGGCCGTCTTTCCGTCGACGGTGTCGACCAGGTGACTGTTGGACTGCAGCTCCTGCAACTCGAAGCCCTCCCAGTACAGGTAGGCGGACAGCTTGGCGTTGACGATGCCGACGGCAATCTTGTTGGCCCAGGTCATGCCCTCCGACTTGCCGCCGCTCTTGTACCAAGTGGTGTCGAACGCGTCGGTGTTGCCGGACTCGGTGACCCACGACGAAAGCTTGGTGTTCATGGGCGTGGTGGCATCGCTGGAGTAGGTGTGTGAGGTGACGAGGCCGAGGTATTGCTCCATCCCGCCGGTGACGAGAGCGTTGGTGTGTTTGACGGCCGAGGACCAGCCGATGGCGTCGCAGCAGGTGATTTTGGTCTTGAGGTTGGAAGACTGGAGTGTCTTATAGAGGGTTGGGATGAAGGAGATGGCTTCTTGGGCGTTGGTACTGATCTGCATCTGGGAGTAGCTGGGCCTGCCATGCCGGTGAACTTTTGGACGAGATGTGACGGATATGTGTTGTACTTACGAGAAGTCGGGCTCGTTCAGGAATCCAATGTGGGTTATGTTGATCCCGGTTTGCTGGTAGTACTTGACGTATTGGACAAGGAAGTCGGCGTAGGCTTGTCTCCAGTCACCCGAGGAGCAGGTGTGGCCAGTGGTGCCGCAAAGATATCTGAATGACGAAGTCAGTCTCGTCACGAGTTACGGAACAGTTACACAGGAACTCCTACCCAGCAGTTGCTTCGTTGCCGCTCGTCTTCATGAACCCCGGCGCACTCCAGGCATCGGCGTAGATCTGGTTCACGCCATAATTGACGGCCTGTTTGCTGAACCATACTTGACCCCGGTCGTCGTTGTCCCAAGTGTACGCTGGCTTTCCCGAAGGCGATCCGGGGCTGGTGGGAAGAATGCTATCGCCACTACCGCCGGAGCCAATGCGATTGCGGATGATGCTGAAGCCGGCACCCTTGGTGGTGCTGAACAGCAAGTCAAGTGCCTCCTTCTGAAGGGTTGCGTCCGTGTTCTGGAATTCCCTGGCACGACCGAAGGCCTGAGAGAACCCGAAGCCGTCAATCTTCTGGAGCTGGGAGCTGGTGTCGACTGTAATCTGCGCGTGCACCAAGGCGCCGAAGCCCGCGACGCAGATGAGCGTGCTCAAAACGCCCATCTTACTGACTGAGAATATGTACAAGAAAGCTTAAACGGACGACAAGTGAGTGGAAAGACTGTATCGCTCATGACATGCCAAGTATCGCGGGGGAGTGCCAAGTCTGGGGTTACAATATATGTAGGGTCTTCGATTGAATCTCTCCTGACGAAGAGGCGGATCGAACCCCGCCCATGATTCAATGCATGCACCCTCAATTGGTGGAGATTCATCTAGATTGCTTCTTTCGACGACCGATCCCCCTTTCAATATTGGCTATGCCGTATGTCCGGAAGATGGGCACGATTTTAATTTATTGGCGTTTCGGGGTATGCCTGTTCGAAAAAGGGGCCGGTTCAGACGAACCATTGGCGCGGGTCTACACCGCCGTGTTCAGAGCTCCGATGTAACCGCCAAACCTCTCCCGGTCCAACTGTAGATGTACGGTTCGAACGGCTTCTTGAACGGGTACCGGAACCTCCTGGCCCGCCGCTCGGTCTCTTCCGATCGATTCGTAAAACCCGAGAGAACTCCCGATCTCCGCTCCGGGTAATGTGAGGTAGCAGTAGAGTGACCGAGCCGCCGCCACCTTGTTTACTCGTGACGTCGATGTCGTTGCGCGCAAATGAGATGTCGGTTCGTCTCGTGTTCGTTTAAAACGCGATGAACTACTTGAGGCGGGTTATCCGCCGAGATTCCCGCTGCGAATGAGACTTCCACTGGCAGTTGATTTAACCTCGCGATCTATTGGGACATTTGGGTTTCTATATGACTGGCGATTCCCTGACCGATTTCTCACTCTAGTTCACCAGGCTGACAACTTGCTTTTTGCTGTTTGTTTGTTGTGACGACACACATCACAATGAGATTCTCAACTCTTGGTGCCCTGCTCGCGTCGGCAGCGGGTATCGCGGCTCAGTCTTGCGCGCTGCCGTCGACGTACTCCTGGACCTCGACCGGCGTCCTCGCAACCCCAAAGTCGGGCTGGGTCGCCCTCAAAGACTTCACCGTGGTCCCGTACAACGGCCAGCACCTCGTCTACGCCACGACCCACGACACCGGTACCTCCTGGGGCTCCATGAACTTCGGCCTCTTCTCGGACTGGTCCCAGATGGCCTCGGCCAGCCAGAACGCCATGTCCCAGGCCGCCGTTGCCCCGACTCTTTTCTTCTTCCGCCCCAAGAACATCTGGATCCTGGCCTATCAATGGGGCCCGACCCAGTTCGCCTACAAGACGTCCAGCAACCCGACCATCGCCAACGGCTGGTCCGCCGCGCAACCCCTCTTCTCCGGCACCATCTCCGGCTCCAGCACGGGGCCGATCGATCAGACCGTCATCGGCGACAGCACGACCATGTATCTCTTCTTCGCGGGCGACAACGGCAAGATCTACCGCGCCAGCATGCCCATCGGCAATTTCCCCGGCAGCTTCGGGACCTCGTCGCAGGTCGTCCTTAGCGACACGACTAACAACCTCTTCGAGGCCGTCCAGGTCTACACGGTCAAGGGCCAGAACAGGTACCTGATGATCGTCGAGGCGATCGGGGCCAACGGGCGGTACTTCCGGTCCTTCACGGCGACCAGCCTCGGCGGCTCGTGGACGCCGCAGGCGGCGACGGAGAGCAACCCCTTCGCGGGCAAGGCCAACAGCGGCGCGACGTGGACGAACGACATTAGCCACGGCGAACTGGTCAGGAGCGATCCCGACCAGACCATGACTGTGGATGCCTGCAACTTGCAGCTGCTGTACCAGGGCCGCGCGCCCAGCTCGGGAGGTGATTACGGTCTGCTGCCGTACAGGCCGGGCGTGTTGACGCTTAAGCGATGAGCTGGTTTGTCTTAGATGGTTTTGCCGTTGGTTGTGGGATGATCGCGACAATGCCTGGATCTTTGAATCAGAACGCGCTGGACAGGAGTGGTTCTCTCCTTCAACTGTAAATATTTCCAAGTTTCGATATGTGACGGATACGAGGAAACTACATTAGTTCACCTCAAAAGTATATAAAAACCTGCTCTCGCAAGCTTGTCTCTAGCGACTCCACCGTTCAAGAATCTCCCTCTTCCTCTCGCTTCTCTGCCTAGCCTTCCCAGCATCGACTCTGTCGACGCGCTCCTTGACCTTCTCAACTTCTTGCCCCAAAACGGCAATGGAGGCCTCGATGCCTTCGTCGACGAGTCTGACGTCACCAAAGGGGCTCTCTGCCAGCAAGCTGTCACGGAGTAGTTGTATGGCAAGCTTCGCATCCGCCAGCTGTGCGGCAGCGGTGGCCTCGAGTGACTCCTGCGCATTACGTCCCACGTCGCGAGCCTTTGCCTGCCTCTCGGTGAGGATTCCAGAAAGGTGGGCGATCTGGCTTACGCCATCGGCGTCTTCGGGGAAAGAAACTGCCAAGGAGCGGAGAAGAGCTTCGATGGGTGATTCGTCAAGACCAGATGAGAAACGGCGGTTGGCGGTGTTTGACCGCTGACGGGACGGGGAGCCGGGGCCGGTGTTGCGTCGGCGGACGGGTGAGACGAGCTCTTGGGTTGGGGTCTTCTTCTTAGGAGTGGCAGCGGGAACGGAGAGCTCCGAGCGGGCGGTGGAGACGAGGTTGGTCGTCGCGGACTGGTGCGACTGGAAGGTCTCGATACGGGTATAGAGACGCTCGATGTGGTCGAGCAGATAGTCCAGACATTCGTCGATCTGTTCCGGTTAGGCACACGGTTTTCGGGAGGAAGGGCGGCAGCTCGGAGGACTTACGTAGACGACGGCTGCGGCGGAGCGGCCAAGCGATTGCCCGTTCTTGTTCGACAGCGACTTCAACGCAGGCTCGAGGTACTGCTGCTCGACGGACATCTGGGCGACGGGAAGGATCTCGGAGTAGAGAGACTCCAGCTCATCCTGCAGGGACTTGACGTCGTCCGAGGGGTTGGGTGCGGTCTCGCCGCGGTGGGCAGAGCTGAGCGCTTCTAGATAGAGGCGGTCAAGCTTTGTGCGCACCGTTTCAACGGTGTACTTTATTAGTCTGCGACATGATCAGTGAAATGTCTCAGGGAAGCAGGCAAGCACGCGAGACAGACCTCATGCAAATCTCCCGAAGCTTTTCGACGTTTTCGCGGTCTTCAGGGTCTTCTGTCTCCAGCTCTAATCCCAGCTTCCGCAGACTGAGGAGGAGCTTGTCATCGGAGTGGAGCAGGGTGTCGAGCGTTTGCTGCAGACCGCTCCCGGAGACCCTGGCCTGCTGCTCGAGATCCGAAGCCCGGTACTCCAATGTTTGAGAGAGCTCTTCGACCTGACAGAGTTAGCGGGATATTCTTAACATATGACTGCGAGAAGGTCGACGTACTGAAGTCATCATCTTCCTGCGTTCGGAATCATGCTTTTGGGTCCTCTGGAAAACCAGGTCGGAACGAGCCTCCTGAACCCTAGCATTGCCCTTGACCAGCTTCGCCAAGGCGTCCTGCTGCTGCTTCAGGGTCTCGGTCTGCTTCACGATGGCGGCAGTTGAGCGATTGAGCTCATCGATTGCCTTCTGAATCTCACGTTCACCAAGAGCCTGAACGGCGGCCAAGTCCTGACCGGACACGAGCTTATCGATCTGGCCGTACCTGTCCAAAGTGGAATACCTGATGTGGCCCATTTGTAAGACATGGCTTCCCTGTACGAGCCGTTTGGGAGGATACTTACATGGAGAGTTCATCCTTGGACAGGAGGTTATCGGGGCCGAGGTGAAGGCGCGCCCATTCGCGGAATGCGGTGCCATGCTCCGGATCATCGAGGGCGGCTTGCAGAGAGTGTGCATCGACGGGGATGCCGTAACTCCGCAGAATGTTCTCCAATCTCGGGACATCCATGACGGCGATGACAGCAGCAACGGTAGCAGAGACAGAGGTGCGGTTGAACAGAAGGCGGTTCGTGTTTGGTGATAGCAGCCAAAAGTGCTTTGTGCGGCACGTGGCGAAAGCTCCGAGGGCAACGAAGGACGGGCCGTGCCTTGGGTTGTCTCTTGCTTGTGGCTATTTGGATAGCTTCAGCACTTCAGCCTTCGACTCGGAATGGATGGATGGTGGGTGAGGTGGGAGTGAAGGTTGGTTGGTGGCTCGTTTCGCCGAGAGACGGCTGTAGCGAAGACACGGGATGCAGTTGTCCAATGACGGGAAACGGTTGAAGTTTGTGCTCTGGTTCACTTGGTCGTAAGGTCCAAAAGAGACGACGGGCTTCCAAGTTTTGGCTGCCGTTGGGTGTAGCCGACCACGACGTCTTGGGGATGCACACACCGCCGTCCGTCGGCTGTGTGACGGGGGCCAGCTTCAAGTTCAAGATGTGTGGTTGAGTGTGGTCCGTCTCGGCTCGGGTTGCTTTCTGGTTGATTGCCGAGCCGTTATCGAGGAATCGGATTTCACAGAATCCAGGACCGGAAGTCGGAAAAATGCACCACAATTGGATGATATGATGTGATATCAGATCCAAAGGTGTGAGATAGAAATGGAAGGCAAGAGACGAGCGCAGAGGTGAAGTGCAAACAGAAACCCGCAGTGCAGTGCAGTGGAGTGCCGACCCGACGTCAACAGACGGGAGCCAGAGTTCCACTGTAAGAAAATGACTAAGCCGCAAATAGCAGAGACCCCCGCTAGCAGCCTGAGCCGACCAACCACAGGTCTCAATCCAGTGCTTTCTCGCGTGCACATACCCCAAAACGCCCCCGACGCTCGTTTATCTGCAAGCCAGCCAATTAGGTAATTAGGCACGTACCTACCTGTATATGCGCTGTGGACGTTTGGAGTGCGCTGATCTGAGGAAACACCAATGACCGTCAACACAAAACACCAAAAAAGAACCAACGACACCCATCAGCAACCACCCGTCCACGTCCAGGCTGTCCTTGTCCAGACACCGCCAACGCCAACCGATGACCTGACGCCTGCGGAATCGTGCATTTGGAGACATCTGCACCCTGATCCCCTTCCTTCTCCGCGGATCACCTTCCGCCAGCAAAGCGCCACTCTATTTTGGATGTCGTTTGCAGCAGGTACCGCTCTGCCGTCCGTCCGTCCTTGTCAATGTCAAGCACATCCATCCATCCACCCTGGCCACCTAGGTAGGCTGGATGCAGAAGGGCAGCATCTCGATAGAGCACGTTTGGGGATGGCGATTACAACACCATCTACTAACATGTCACTTTTGACATATGCCAGGCACTTTCTTCTTCTGCCCCGCCACCCCCCATTCCCTTACCTGGGGGGTCCTGTGCAACCCGCAGGTTGAACGGTCCATTTGGACATACACACACCACACACAAGACATCCGGTACGGTCCGGAAAGGGGGGCCGTAGGGTGACCACTTCTCAACTTACCTCACTCTTCCAACTGACGCTCCGACCACTTTTTGTTTCCCCAATGTTCTCCATGGATATCAACATGGAGACAGAAAAAACATCTGATACAGCTCTTTGATTTGTGACATGTTCTGTCTTCGCCCTGGTCTCTTTCCGGGTGACATCGATGAACCTGCATCCTGCAGACGATAAGGCAGACCCATCCTCGGCCTCTCTTCCGAACCCGCCCCGTGATTCCATTGCGCATCTCGTATACTTGCTTGCCGACCTGCTGCTCGCAACTCATAAAGTCGCCACTGATTCCGACGGGAGGCTTCAACTTGGTGTCCTCGCCGTTTGTACCGCCCTGCCGTGCGCTTCCTACCGGACCCCATCCCCCATCCCCCATCCATCCCATCTCGTCCCAAGAACCAACACGAACGAACATGGCCGTCCGCAGTGAATTCGACCCTACCCGTGACGTGTCAGGACATTTGCCTCTCACGAGCCTTCCCGTCCCTCGACTCTAGTCGTTGGGATATATACCGCCGTGTGTGACACCGCGGGAGACGCAGTACCTTGTGTTCCATGTCTCTCTGTCTTTTTCTCTCTTGTGTCCTGTGGATGCCGATTGCTCCCTGAATCTGGGTCATTGTTGCATCGTTTGGTCTTGTGTCGCCTTGTCTTTCGTCCATTCAAAATGCTACCGAACGTCCTGGCTCGCCCCGAGCTCTCGTCTTTCCGCCTCCCCGGCTGTCTCAGACACTTTGCAGACAATGTCCTCGAGTCGTTCCCCCGTTTGCCATCGCGAATGTTCAAGAGAGGCAACGACCAAGATACCAGCAGTACATGGAGGAGTTGTCGGCGGTCTGTGGCCAGGCGGGTTGGCGTGATCGTCTGGGTTGCCGTCATCTACCTTACCAGCGAGTTGCTGGTATGGAGTCTCTCCATGGGGTTGAGATTGGCCGGCTTGCAGTTTCTGTCGTCTATTGCGGGCATGATTTTGGTTCTTGCATCCATGGTCGCCTTGCAGCAAGTATGCTCTGGTTCGGACGTCTTCTACCACCGAAACATCAAGTCCAAGGTTGGTGAAGCTTGATCGCGGATTCGTACTCGACTGACCTGTCCAGGTTGACTTCATCAACAACAACCTCGGCGTCGGGTTCCCTGTTCCCATCGTAACCATCGGCCGCCAGGATCTTCTGGGTGGTGCAGGAATCGGGAGAGTCATTGGCAACTTTGGTAAGTTACCCCGAGGCAGCTGCAGACAGCCAGACTGACCAACAAGTGAACACAAACGTCATCTTCTGGACCTTCGTCTTCGCCCTGTCTTGGGGAGTCTTGACGGGGTTGATGAAGGCGCCTTCGCCAAGCATATGGAACTTCACCAACGGCAAAGCCGAGCCCGAGCACGTCTGGCACACCAGCTTGCCTCTCTCCCCGCCGCGCCTCGACATGCCACCTCAGACCAACAGCCGCAGACCGTCGGAAAGCACCACCCTGAACGGCACCACGATGACCGGATACCACACCGATAAGGAAGCGGGCTTGGTCACGGACTCGAGGGCCGTCTCGGCCTACTTCACCGACAGCGAGTGTCCCACTCCGATCCCGCCAACTGTCCACGAGTCAGAGCGAAGACTCTCCGAGAGCACACAGGTGTCCGAGCAACCGATTTCGACGTGGATCGGCCGGGCCAGGGAGTGCTATCCCATCGTTCTGGCCATCTTTTCCCTCCTGGTCGTTGGCATCCCCGTGTCTCGCACCACCGGCGACGATCGTATCTTGGATGGCTGTATGCTCTGGCTGGCCTGGATCGCGAGCACAAGAGCCCAACGTACGTTCGGACGCAGCCACATTCTCGCCAATTCAACGGGCGTCAAGACCGCAGCCACAACGCTCCTCAACCCAGTCCTGCTTACGACACTCGCGATGACGGCTTACACTCGTACCAAAGCCGCCGCAACCCACACTCCCATCGACACAACTCTCGCCGTGTTCAGCGGCGGCACCACTCTCTCCGATCTCTGGACCCTCAAGACGATGAAGTGGCCCCTCCGGGCCGACCAACGGGACTGGTTCGGTGCCGGCGACGCAGCCCTGTCCATGTTGGAATGCGGAATCGTTATTTGGGGTTTCAAGTTGTACGAGTGTCGCCGGCAGATCTGGTCTCGTGCGGGACTTGCCGTGGTCTTGATCTCGGCCGGAATCGCGGGCATGAATGTCTTCGTGTCCGTCCTGCTGGGCAAGGCAGTCGGTCTCGACGGGCCGGAGGCGTTCGCGTTCGCTGCAAGAAGTACAACGCTTGCGCTGGCTCGACCAGCAATGGAGGTGCTTCAAGGTAACCAGGTCGTCAACGCGGCCTTGGTGGTGAGCAATGGCATCCTCGGACAGCTGATGTATCCCTTCATCCTGCAGAAGCTCGGACTCGAGAAGAAAGAGGGGGATGAGGATGCCGCAGAGGTGGTGAAAGACAGCGCGCTTACCATCGCAGCCGGCACAGCGGTTGGCATCAACGGCGCGGCCATGGGGGTCTCGTACCTCTATGAGAGGAAGAGCCGGGCCGCGCCTTATGCCGCACTGTCGATGACCATTTTCGGGGTTATGACTGTTGTATTTACCGCCGTCGATCCCTTTACGGGCATTCTGTTACGCCTGACGAGTTAGTTGATGGTCAGTGACGTGCAGGTTTTGAGTAACGATTCAGATGACATGGGCGGTTGTTTGGGCATTTTGGACACGCATGGATGGCATAGTCAGGTTTCACTGAATAGACAAGGGAGGCGTTTTTTTGTGCTTCTTCAGCTCGTCAAATGCGCGTGGTATTTTTGGTATACAGTCATGCCCGAATCAGCATGTAGAATGCAGTGGTCGTAAAGGATTCGCTCGGCTCAAGCGAGCCGTGTCGGCAGCGCAGTTGGACTTTTTCACCCGGAATGCCTACTCGTAATGCTGTCTTGCTCGTTTCACGTCGATCGATTACTCCAGTCTGGGGCTCTGTTAGTTACTGTTGCGGGCAAATCACCAACCAATGCAGCTCACCTCTCGATCAAGTGCAGGCCGCTGGCCGTCTCGACAACGCTGCTGATTTCACCGGGGTTCAGAGCAAAGGCAGCATCTTCAAACTCCTTTTGCATGTCACCCTTGCCGAAGTAACCCAGGTCGCCCCTCTTACGGGCGCTGCTGCAGTCGGATTCGGTCAGGGCGAGCTCGCCAAGAAGGGTTCCGCCCGACTTGATCTTGTCCTCGTGGGCCTTGATGATCTCGAGAGCTTCCTCCTTGCTGCGGGTGATCTCAGCCTCTCTCCAGCTCGAAGGGCGACGGCTGCCCTTGTGCTTGACGAGCAGATGGGCGGCGCGAATCTTGCCCTCGGGAACGGGGACGGCTTGAGGACGGGCGCCAAGGCTGGCGCTGTGGTGGGTGGCCATGTAGTTCTTCAGCTTGTCGGTGTCGGTTCCCGCGGGGGGCTCCCAGCGCGAGACTTTTTCGGCGGCATTGAAGTAGTAGGGGAGGTTCTTGGAGTTGGAGTGTCGCACTTCCCAGCCGGAGGGGAGACCGGTGTCAGCCTGCAGAGTTGTTTTGTTAGCCGGCTGTTGGAATGGCCGTGTCTTGGGGAAGTAGGCCCAGGCCTGGCCCGGCTCAACAACGCTTCAAGGTATGAGGTGTATGCCACAGGAAGCCAGAGTCGAGACGAAGGAACAGGATGAGATGATGTTGTCGTGGAAAACAGGAGCAGCAAGAGTCCGCAGAGGATCTCGTCTTTGCGGGGGTGTCATTGCTTACCATTGTTGCGATGCGACGACGTTCACGAGAAGAGAGAGATGCGATGCGGATAAATCAAAGCTGGTGGGGAGCTGTCGCGAACAGGGGTAACAGCAAAAGATTGATCGATACGGAGGACGTGTATTGAGCAGGAGGAAAGAAGAAGAAGAAAACGAAGAAATGGATGACAGAGACGAGAGTTGAGGAGCACGAGGGGGTGCAGCTGGTGTGTGGTGTTGAGTGTTCTTCCTCCACCAGCAACGGTAGCCATGGTACCTCGTGCGGATACTCTTACTCTTGCTGACTTTCCAGGCGGGTGCGATGCGGCACCTCAGCACACGCCCTCGGGCCTGCCGCTGGGGGAGCAGAAAGATGACGTGCCGCTGCCGGGGTTACGGTTGTTGCTGTTGCTGTCTCTTTTTTTTTCGCGAGGGGAAGGGGGAGAGCTTTACCAGGCTGGCCAACCAGAATCGAATGCCGGGTGGAGAATGGGGGGCACCTCATGACCTCCTCAGTGACAGGGGGACCGACGCGGACGCTACAGCTGCTGTGCATTCCCTGGAAGGCGGGCAAGGCGGGGGAAGAAGTCGCTGGAAGGAGGGGTCACAGTGGTTTGTCGCTGGCAGAGATTCGGTTTTTCATTGGCCGAGTACCCGCTTTACTTTCAACTCAAGCCGGCTTTGTCAGCTTCAACCCGGTTTCATCTCACCTCCGTATTCTCTTCTTCTCCAAGATCTGCGCTATTCTTGTTTCCATCTCGAGCTTGTCACTTGTCAGTCAACTCAAGGTTCCCTGAACCACGGCCGCCGATCCATCTGATCAGATGAGATTCGGGTTTCCTGTAATTCTTGAATGCCAACGGTCTCAACCAGTCACGAAGCAATCTTCGGTGACTAAGAGCACAAGTCTCAGCCATGCATAGCAGATCTAACCGATGCAAACCGCAAGTGAAGCCAATTTCAATTAAACATGACGATGAATCATAACGATAAGAAACTGCAGTGCATCCGCTGCATGCTAGGAGTTCTCCTGGAGAAGTCAACGCATGGAACCCCACATGCTACCTAAACCTGGCAGCAGAAGCAGCATCTCATGTGAGCTGTGCTGAAATGGCCTCAGCTGGACGGCCTGGTTCAGTCAGCTGGGCCTGCTGTGTGACCAGTAGACCGGAGAGGACGTTCGAAACGAAGAGAAGATCCTGCTGAAATAAATACTCCCAGAATCTTGTCTCTGCGAAATTGGAAGTTTGGGATGAAACTGATGTCGAATTCGCTGCATCACTCACTGAATTGGTCACCACCTTTACACTGATACACAGACAAGTTGACCTCGGTGTCTCGGTGACTCAGCGAAAAAAAGTCAGTCTCCACTTTCGCCCCAGACGGAAGGCACCCGCGCACCGCTTTTCTCTATCGCCTCGCCTCAACCTACTTTTTCCAACGTCGCTCTGCCTCACATCAACAACGCAACACTTCGACCTCGTAAATCGCTTGGACGACACTTTCTTCTTGTGATAGACGATCGAATACGCGCACGCAGACAATACTACTCTGACGCGACAAACACGTACTTATCTCGAACCGCGTATATACGACCCCACCGCGACCGAAACGATGGCCACTCCCATGTCCACGACCTCTCAGGAGGAGACCGCCAACAAGAAGCTTGAGCAGATCACCTTTCGCTTCTGCTCCGAGTGCTCAAACATGCTGTACCCCAAGGAGGACGAGGAGAGCCACAAGCTGCAGTTCACCTGCCGTACCTGCCAGTTCACCGAGGAGGCGCAATCCACCTGCGTCTTTCGCAATGTCATGAACAACGCCGCCGGAGAGACCGCTGGAGTTACCCAGGATGTCGGATCGGACCCTACTGTAGGTGACTCCCAGCCCGTTCATGCCCCTGTTGTCTGCCTCGAGTGCGGCCACGCCATCCTTTGCACCACCTGCGGCAACCCCTCGGACGAGTTCGACGTGTCCGTCATCGTCGGTCAGCCTGGCACTTCCACCAACAACACCAACAACAACAAGGCAGATATCACCTGGGATGACTTGATGGAGATGGCCGATGCGGACGCGCTCGACGAGTACGACGAGGAGAAGGAGCCCACCCACGAAATCAACAAGAGCCTCGCCAATATCGGCCTCTACAATGACACGGCGCCAACAACGCAGCACGTTTCCTGGCCCACTTTCCAGCTCGCCGTCAACCAATGAAGGAACTTCCGAACACACGATAATGTCAACTTGTCCCTGGATGCCCTGTGCCGAGATGGTGTTGGGTTGGCTGCTGCAACGGACTTTGGCTTCCTTTGGAATTCGAGACCTTTGTGAACAGCTGGCTGACCTCGCGTCTCTCCGGATTTAGCTTCCCCGATCAAACAAGGAGTGCCCCGTTTGCAAGGGCGCCGAAGCCGTATTCTTTCAGTCTCAACAGCGTAGCGCCGAGACTGGTATGGTGAGTCAAACAGCGCATCGCCTGGCCGAGGATGGACTTGACTAATTCATCGAAGAAACTGTTTTATGTCTGCTGCGATTGTGGTCACATCTTCCAGTGAAGGAAACGTTTGATGATACCCGAGGATTGGACAGGAGAGTGGAAATCGGGGAGAGGGGGATTTATTGCATTTCACGGAGTCGGTAGGCGTTTGGGCATAAATGGGAAAAGGCCTAGCTAGGGCCGTGGTCTTTTATTTTACAACGTCACATTCAACTGGCTTGCGAGACTAGACGCAGTCTCTCAATTTTACGCTGTGTGTCCTTTGCGCAATGTGATATGATTGAAATTCCACTCTCTTTCCACCGCACAAGACGATACGGATACGATATGACTGTGAAAGTATGTTGGAGATTGGTGGTATCGACTGCCAACCCTGGAAACGCCGGCTCATGCATTCATATAGTACACTCCCTTGCTCTGATTTTCCTGTACATGTACAAAGATCCTACAACCACTGCCCCCCGGACCGAAAACTACTTCTCATGCGTGCATAGGAGCCATGGAGAGGATCTTGCTCCACTTCTTCTTCCTCAGCTCGGCACCGACAACACCGTTGATACGGGAACCCACAGGGTCGCCGGCCTTGTTGATCAGGACGCAGGCGTTGTCGTCGAACCGAATAGCGCTGCCATCGGGGCGGAGAGACCTCTGCTTGGTGCGGACCACGACGGCGTGGCGCATGTCACCGCGCTTGACCTTGTTGGCAGCGGAGGAGCCGGCCATACCACCGTCGCCAGCGCCGCGGTGCTTCTGAACGACGACAACGATCCGGTCACCTGTTTATTTATTAACATCGGAGTCCAAAAATCGCGTGGGTGGCAGGAACGGGGATCGGTACCGATACAGGCGTGTCGCTTCTGGCCTACAACCATGGCGCATTCGACAAGGGCGGCGCCCGAGTTGTCGATGCATTGAAGCATCGTCTGGATCTTGTTAGTCCTCATTTTTCCCGTTGACGCAGCAGGTGGCATGCGGCATACCTTTAATTGAATCATCTTGACGGCGAGACCTTGTGGCGTGACGTAGACTACGCGATCTCACCAGGCTTGTCGCTGAAGCTATCTCGAGAAGTGGAACTGCAAACTTCGAATTGCAGACAGCGCGGAGTTACCAAAGGCCGGCCTCCGATGCAGCTTGCCGTCAGGTCGGCGGGGGGGGGTCAACTTCGGGTCGGGTCAATGTGGGCCTGGGGTGAGGTGCCGGGGCGACCAGATGGGACAGAAAAGGTTAGCTCTTTTCAGCTAGGTGCAGGTTGATTGGCCGAAACGGTGCCATCCAAACTGGTCTGTGCTACTATTTTGACGTCTCAGCTGGACGGCGTGGGGCCACTTTACGATAATTGCCTAGCCACTGAGTTTAGCAGTCTCTGATTGGACAGAATTACCCTAGACCCCCGTGCGGCGTAATCCAATGTTTCCCTCTCTCACTCCTTCTTTCTTCCTCCCCTGGAATCTGCGTCTGTGGTCACTTTTGGCACTTTATTCGTACCTTCCTCTTTGTTAGACTCGAGCTGGGAAAGAGCAGGCTGGGCGACAAACAAGCCGACGCCAACGACGACGACGCCGACGACTGGAGCAGAAGCAGGAGCAGGAGCGGGACGGACGGCGACTTCTCTCCATTCTCTCACACTCCCAACCTCATCTCACCTCACCTGTCCAGTGTCTCTCATCTCACACACACTTGGAACCATACAACTCTTCCATTCCCCCCTAATTGTTCACTTGCCGTCCTATTGTGTCGTTGTTGCGAGGCCATTCCGCTTCTCATCTTTCGCTCCTTCCTTCCTGCAACATCCCGGCGCTCTTGTTGTCTCTCATATTCAATCTCGGGTGCGGTCTCGTCTCACACCCGGCTCCCAGCAGCGCATTAATCTCCACCGACGGCACCACTCTCGGTTCGCTCTGCTTCTACGAATACTTGACGGTACCTTACCTCGTTGGTTCACTTTTTGGGATTTGTTTATGCCCCCTTTGACCGGAAGATATGACGACACCCGGCCTTAGCTGACCCTTCATCCACCTCAACCAACTTTGTCTTGCGCCTTTTCTGGGGAGAGCAACCACCTTCCCGGTCTCTCACCTCCACAACTGTTTCTTAGCGGCGATCTTGCGACACACACACATACTCACCACCCGACTTCTTTCCATCTGTCAACTACCAAGTACATAATCCTCCGGTCCCGACCTTGTGCGCTTCACGTGGGCTGTCGAAGGGAGCCCAACGTCGACATTGGTCCTTCGTCCACTCCTTGCTCTGTGCGCTGCGCCCGACGCTGGTCCCAACACACTCGTTTAGCCTTTTCCGCTCCCGTCGCAAATCCCTCCTTCATATTTGCGCCGGAGCTGGAATTGCGACGCCTCCAAAATGCCGCCCTCTGCTGCCTCGTCCAAGAAGCAGAAGCAGGCGCTCACCTTGGCCCAGCTCGCCTCGTACGACGACTTCCTGACAGACGCCTTGATTGACCATGTACGAGCACATCTGGCCTCCGCCGAGCCGCGCCGCGACGCCGCTCTCTTCGCTTTCGCATTCCGAAGCTGACCCATTGCAGGCATTCTACTGGACCACGATTCCCAAGAACCGGAATTCGTACCATCCCTCCCGAGGACTGCGAGAAGAGGAGATTGCGCAGATCATCCAATCCGAGATCGTTGTCAACAAAGACCTTGAGGCTGCCGAGCGCAAACTACTAGCCACCGATGGCTTCCGCAAGTTCTTCACCGCACTCAAGACGGACAAGGCCAAAGATGACTTCAAGCGACACATGCGCCGCTATACCCAAGTCTACCTCCCTGACTGCCCGTTCGAAGTCAACTCGACCAATCGCTACACAATTGTATCCCACGAGGCTGCCGTCACCGCCCGACGCTTTATCCGGAGGAACGAGAACATCAAGTACCTCGCCGGGACCCAGGTCAACATTTCCCCCGAGGAGGAGCGGGAGATGACGGCTCGTAAGAAAGACTTCAGCATCATCATCTCCTCGAGGAACAAATGCGCCAGCTTGTTCATGGGGCCTGCCCGATTTGCGAACCATGATTGCGGGGCCAATGCGAAGCTGATGACTACTGGTACGGCTGGCATTGAGATCATTGCGACGAGGAACATTGACGCCGGGGAGGAGATCACAGTGACCTACGCCGAGAACTACTTTGGAGAGGACAATTGCGAATGCCTCTGCACGACATGTGAAAACAAATGCGTCAATGGCTGGGCCCTGGGCGAGGGCCAGGTGGTGGTCAAGAAGAGTATCGAAGAGACGCTGATGGACGGTTATTCTTTGCGTCGGCGGAGGCGAGACGACAGCACCGGTCCCTCATCTCGGACGCCATCCGTTACACCAGACATTCGACCTCGAGTCTCCAAATCTCGGCTCAGGAGCGGGAAGCCTGGCCGGGATTCTTTGGCCGTCGATTCGCCCATGTTTGATGCGTTGTCGCCAGATAAGAAACGGTCATTCGACTCACTCGTCACACCACCCATCACCCCGTCCAAGAGATGCAAGGCCTTGGCGACCCAACCTGTGCCAGTCTCCGCAGGACCCGTCAGCTCGAGAGACAGTTCGACGTCTGAGTCTGTGCGAAGCATGTCTTTGACGAGCAGCTCCAACGAAGATGGCTCGGTCACGGACATTACTGAGCCGGAGAAGGATACGCCGGAGCCGAGCAAAGCGCAGAGAAAGACGGAGCTGGTCAAGGAGGAGGATTGTGAAGAATCGACGGAGCAAATCCTAGCCAGCGCCGCGCCGTACTCGTCGCAAAGAATGACGAAGACGGCATCTGCGGCATCTATCGAGACATCCGCATCGCTCCGAGAGGCGTCTGTCGCTACTAGCACGTCGATACCCATATCGTCTCTGTGCGATCCTCCACCGCCGCCTTCCGCGCCTTCTGGGAGAGATACGTCAGTTGGTAGAGGCATGGCATTCTCGACAGGCGATACAGTCTCTTGCACAAGGCCCGTTATGAGCATTGCGGCAGCCATCTGTGACAATGTCAGTCCAAGGCGAGTGGCAATGTTGGACGCTGGTGCGCCAGCCATCTCTGGCATGAACAGTTTGAAGGTGATGCAGGTGGACAGAATCGTCTCAACAGAACAGCCGCTCGCGAGCCCCCGCCATGTCGCGCAGCAAGTACCAGCTGTCGGGGATTTGACGTCAGTTGAACAGGACGCTCTGAGCATTCGCAGCTCCGAGACGGCGCAGAGCTTGAAGGTCGAGGCGTTCGCGTCGACAGAGAATCCTGCGCCGATCATGGACAATACCAAAGTCTGTGCGGTAGTTGATGAGACGATGGAGGCTGCTGACCAACCGCCCCTGAAGAAGCGCAAGTACCAACGTCGCACTTTTATCAAAGAGACCACACCACCCGCAAAGACCCGAACGCCCGGCGATTACACTCTAACGCCGCTGTTGCTCTCTGAGCCGCAGACGGCTTGGGTTCGCTGCATGAACTGCGAGACGGCATTCGTGCAGCAGAACGCATACTACACCAAGAGTTCGTGTCCCCGATGCGAGAGACACTCGAAGCTGTACGGCTACCTCTGGCCCAAGACGGAGAAGGCCGGACCCCGCGATAAGGAGGAGCGCATCCTGGACCACCGCACCATTCACCGGTTTTTGGGACGAGACGACGAGGCGCGCATTCGCGGTCGAAAGCGACCTACCACAGAAGCTGGCGAAGATGATGTGGGGTCAGAAAGCGGTGGCAAGGCAACGCCCAAGTACAGAATTGGAAACAAGCGCCAGAGAGCCGCAGAAGAAGATTCCGGGGAAGCTGAAGACACAACCGGGTTGAGACGGAGCGGTCGGATGCGAAAGGCTAGCATCAAACTGGCATGCCAGTGACCAACCGGAGTGGTCCGGCTCCAAGCCGAAAGGCGCCTTTCACAGCTCGGGGCTCACTTCGTGGCCCCTTTGTTCCCAGAGTAGAAACAAGACGAGGAAGGATTTATAATTGGAACATGAGAGAGAAGGCGGCGGCGGTCTTCAAGTTTCATTGCGGACTGGACATTTGATTTTCGCTATGCATGCATAATCCGCAGAGATGCATTGTATATACCTTGCACACGACATCTTACGGGGCTGTATGTGTGTCCTACTGCGATCTGCAGGGCGATGGACAGACAGGCACAGGGCACATTGGTTTGGCGTTGCGTTGAGAGACAACATTCCATGCCGGCTGTCTTAGCCGGACTTGGAGTCTTTTTTAGTTAGATAAGGAGGGATCGATGGCACACACACACCTCTTCTCTCCGCCCTCGACCGCAAACGAGTGAGAGACGAGGAAAGTTGGTGAGGAGCCAGGAGCCAAGGGGAAGAGAATTGATGAGCTATTACAGACATATTTCCTACATACCATGGCCCTTCGCCCCCTCCGTGTTCGATGTTTGTTTTTTTGATCCGACCCCAACTGTCGGAACCGGACCTCTGCTCTCACCCAACTGCATTCTTCTTATCTGCGGCCTGCGGTCTGCAACTTACGGGTTTTGGTGATGGTTTCGGTCGGCGACCGAAAGCGACTGGCCAGACGCTACCACTGACATTCTGACATACGGTAGACACATAGACGACACACTGCACTCTTCATATTCACCTCACCCTCACCCGACCCCAGCTCACACACTCATCCACACTCGACGAACAACACACAATCCCCGCGCTGCATTCGAGCCACTGCATAAAAACGGTCCCGTCGCGAACGGTGCGTTGCTAGCCAACCTGCGCTAAAACCATCAAACGCTATCCCGCTAGTCTTTTTTCTTGCCCTGCTCTGCTTGTCATAAAGCTCGAGCACACACCACGGTCTACCTGACTACCGACGTGTGGCTCACCGACTTATATCTTAGGGGCCCTCTCACCACCTCTTTTTTAGGATTGTTTTCAGGGCGATCTCGAGTTCTTGCGCTTCTTCAATCACCTTCTTAATCCCCAATCGCCCGGGTCGGTCATCCACCATGTCAACGGAGACCTTTACACAGAAGAGTCTCCTCAATGCCGGCCTCTCGGGGCCTCAGAACTACTACTATTACGAGCAACAACATCATCACCTATACAGCCCGGCACCGAGGCTCTCCGCGCTGACCTCTCCACGCATCACGGCCGCGCGAGTAGAGGCTAAGCAAGTCAAGCCACCTTCGAGGCGGACATCGTCGAACATCACCCGGCAACAACGGCGAGCATCACAACAGCTTCAACCACAACCACTTCACCCACTGACAAATCTCGTCGCCGTTGTCTTCGACTTTTTCCTCCGCGGCATCTTGGATCTCACCTGGCCGGTGAGGGAGCTCTGCAGGATGGTCGTGAGGGGAGTTTTCGCCAGCCTATGTTGGGCTTACCACGCGTTGCCGCTACCACTCGCCATCGGTCTTCTCTATTTTGGTTTCCAGAGCGTCCCGGAGGCTTTCAGAGGAGTTGAGGAGCTGAGGGCCGTATACGTCAACCGCCCTGCCGGATTTTCGGTCATCGGAGATGCGTCCGGTGTCGAAGGTCTCTACGCGTTGGGGGAGCTCGCACTCGTGCGATGGGGAGATTTGGGAGTGTCGTCGGTAAGTTCCAGGCCCTCTGACATCATTTTTTGTGTTTCTTGGCTTGTAATGCGTCCCATTTTCGAATCATGAATCAAAACACCTGCAGAAGAGAACGAGAAAATGTTGAGGCTGACTCTGTGGCCCAGGCGTTCTACTGTCTCGCTTTGATGACGGCGGCGTATGCCGTGATGCTCCTCATGGAGATGCGCGACTACGTCCGCGACACCTGGGCACTCATCCGGGACGAGGCTCTCGAGGTCAAGGCGCTGCGTGCGGACGAGTCGAGCTGAGAGGTCTGAAAAGGCCAAGCTTGCTTCCCTTTTCGGTATCGTCTGTGGTTCGATATCTCGGTCGCATCCAGCGATTGTCTAATTGTCTTATTGTTACTTTGCACAATCTGGGTTGAGCTGAGGCTCTGAAGAGGGCAAAAGAGACGAGAGAGATTGCGGCCAGACTCATCTGGTCATATCGACATTCCATTCCGTGGATCTCGCACTCTCACCTCATTCTCGTCGTCTCTCACCAACGGCAAAAAGCGGGCGTCGAGCGGCGCAAAGGTCTAAAAAGTTCCGCGCGGCGCTTTGGGCAAGAGTTTCGCTCTCTTGGCGTTTTGGGGGCATTTGTTTTCTTCGGGTAATCGGATGAAGAAGAAGCGCGTCAGTTCCTTTCGGGACAGCATGGTGAAAAAAAGGACTCGGAACGAAGGAATGGAATGTAAGACTGATGAGCGACGGGACCGGCGATCCGATCCATGAGTGGATGGCGTCGGCAGGCACACTTCTGATGATAATGACACAATACTTAATGAACATTCAAGACTGTACCAACACTTCACCTCATGGGAGGAAGATTATCGACAATCAATCTGTTTTTTGAAGGCGAGCCTATTTCCCCCTTATGCCTCGTTCGACATGCCAATTGTTTGCTTCCACGTTGTTCCTTATCATTTCCCCCTGGTCTAATCCGCGAGTCCGCATGTTTGCTTACTTCGCCAACACCGTATCCGTCTCTCGAGGCCAGTAATTGGTCAACCTCGCCACCCTCAGCTCAATCCCTTGCTTATTCTGTCTCTGAATTCCCCGCAAATTCTTCGACAGCTCACCTGCAGGGTGCAGACTGCAGAAATGTTGAATGGCAGCGTAGGAATGTCTTGCTTGCGGCATCAGTGACAAAGCACGAGTGAGTGCTTGTTCCGATCACCACTCGTTCCTCTTTCTTCAAGGCAGGCCAAGATTGATATGCCCAGATTAAGCGGATTACCTATCAATTTTTCGAGACCAAAAATGACACTCCCGCTTTCCCTCGGACCCCCAACACACTTCCGCCCTACCCCAAGCGTTCGCCTTCTGTTTGGTTGGTGTCCTGCGTCAAAAGCTGACGGACTCGGGCGTGACAACCACAACCACCCACATCTTACATCCGTCAGAAACCTGCTGTTTCCGATTGTCAACCAATGATGAGGCACCCCGCCAGGGACTCGGCAGCGCCGTGGATTCGACCCCACGTGTGCGGCGGTTGGTACAGCTGAAGCGAACGGCGAGGCGGCATGTTCATTCGTGAATTTCGACCCCGTTCGGGACAGAGTTGTACTCGGCAGGCCTTTGGAACTACCTCAGCCCTTCCTTCGGACTCTTGGGGGTTGGGGGCAGGGCCGTTGGAAGTTTGCTGTATAAGGCTGTTATCATCTGACACCCCCGCACGCTCTCTGGCCTTAACCTGGCTGATGTTTGGTTTTTGTTTGCTTCCTCCGTTATTATTTTCCAACGTGAACATGGCTGACCCTGCCTGACCCCGCGATTCATGTTGGTCTTCGATTCCATGTCTTGCTCTTCTTAAGCCGCTTTCCGAAAGTCTCTTCGTCTTCGATTCTTCCATTCCTCCCCCCTTTTCCTTTCTACACTGCGTCGTCCCAGAAGCTTATTTAAGTCGTTCCTCCCTTCTTCCGTCGATTGCCGCGTGGGGAATTCTACGACGCTGGATTCAGGAACGTGGCAGGGAGGCCTGACACATAAACTTGCTGATACGACATTCCAATCTGCGACGTCGATCGATTCTCCTCCTGCAGCCGTATTGTTTTCGGTCGGGACTCTGTGAGAGAAAACGCCAAGATGCTGAGAATGTTTGCCGGCATGGATGGGTTCGGAGGCATGTTGCTGGTGGTCATTGTGCTCATGGTCCTGGCGGTCGGGGCGTCCACCTTCAACTACGTGAGTTGCCTGACACCTTGTCTTGGCTCGGTTCGATGTGTTTCATGCGAGGGTAATAGCGGTGACTGATGATCGAATTGCTGACACGCTTTGGGAGCCGCAGATCGTAACGTCGGGAAAGACCAAGGAGGTCGATGTCGATGGGGAAGATGATTCAACCTACGCATTTTACGCGTCCAAGAGGAAGAGAGCTTCAAGTCAGGTCTCACTATAGCGTTGAGAGACATTTTGCTGAGACGTTTGGTAGGCGTGAAGAGGGTTACCTTTGACCTTTGACGACGAGATCCGGAAACGGTTTGGGAGAATGCGGTTCTCTCTGTGGATGCGCACGGCTGCCGCAGTCGCCATCACAAACGCGTTTCTTCGGAGCCTAGAACTCTTTTCACATTAAGAGTTCTTGACTTTTCCTTTGACACGGATTACGCGTAACGGGTTCAAATTCGACTGTCAAGCTCGATCTCCGCCGATTACGATTCATCATCACGACACCACCTTGTGGTAGGCCGCGTGCAAGATTGGCGATACTTCGTATATATCATTCGTTCGGACTTGTTTTTGTGACGCTAGGATTGAATAAAGGGAATGCGGAAGGTCAAGCGTGGCTATTCACCGATTACCAGCTTCTTGCTGAACCTGGAAGCGGGCTACACGATAGCATGTGGACAATAAAGCATTGCAAGCTCATGTAGGAGGGAACATCTGGGTCGGCGTTGGCGGGATTTGTGTTTGTGGTTTTCTCATCAAGGCGGGTTTGACCGTATATTGATTTGGCTGTAAGATTGTCGCCATGGAATCTTTTGGGGATCAAAAAGCAACACAGTTATTAACATCTATGATTTGCGCGCCACATCGCTGTCAAGAATGTCTCATCTGGTTCCAGCAACACGATACACGCCCTGGCCAGCGAGAATTAACAAGACGACCTAGAAGCGATTGAGTTTCTATGTAAAGTACCATTTGATCAACCCAATTGAGCAATCCATCGGTGTTGTGGAGCAAAAGTGGTTGGCCTGCGTATGGGAAAGGTTTGATTTGCTTGGTAGCTCTAATATCTGTAATTTGCTCGATTGTCACGTTGAAACAGACTTAGGGGAAACATTTTCTGCACACAACATCCATGTAAGGGAATCGTACAAGATGGAACGACAGTTCTAGAGCCTCGGAACCGTCCGGCATCAGACCCGGAACATGCGGATGCATCGGAGTGGGGCTACGGAGCCGGCAGTTACCACGGAGCTCTGCTCCTGTGCGGCAGACATGGCCGAGGCCGGGGATCACCGTAGATGAGTAGAAAGAAGACTCAGCACTCAGAAAATACAGGAAGATGAGTGTAGCTAGGATGACCTGGGATGTTTTGAATGGATAAAGCCATGTTCTGTGACAAGGTCTATCTGAGATTGGCCAGGACGAAGGCCTCGAGCTGTGTGTGGATTCGCGACATCTAAACATGAACGTGGAGTGTTGGATTGAATGTCAAGCTATTTCTTATTGAGAATTTGGAAACTTCGATTGCATAGGTAGGTATGGCTTGCAAAGATAGGAGCAGACCAAATCATAACCGTCCACAGGACAGTCGACAGCCCCGCGCCATAATGAGGCAGGTATGTAGACCTAAGACCATATTAACGACGACGACGACGACGACGACGACGATAGCAACAACAGCGACGACTGCAATAATACTGGTTCAATTGCGTTCGGTTAATGGCCGGATTGGTTGACTATTTATGTATTTCCTTCAGCTTGAATTGTCAATGATTAAAAATATCATCGACATAATTCAGTGCTACGGAGTACAGCGGGATGAGAGACTGCTCTCGTTGAAATACCTCCACAACACACAGGTCTAGGCTGTGTTGCTTTCGAATCAATTGCAGCTAGGCAGAAGAATTCGGGACGCCCGACGAGTAATTCAGACATTTTGTGCTGTGAAGGTCTCTCAGCTTAAGTCTTCTCTCGGCCCTGACCTTGTGAGTGTGGCTGAGCGTAGATCATCGCCCGCCGGGCGAACTGTGCCACCTCACGACTCTGGTCACTCAGTGGCTGTGGACGATCCGTAGGCAGACAACCAAGTGACATCATACGATGAGAAAACACATTTAACATAAGAAGGAGGTCCGCGGCACATGGTGCTGGTTCTAACACCAACAGTCGGATCTCACGACGCCCAAGTCCAAGTTCTGTCCAACATTCTCACCAAACATGACGCTTACTTCCGATTTCATCAGGGGCAAACCTCTTCCGGACGCCCCTGCAGAGGATGCCCCGCCGCCGTACGAAGAACGGCCATCCCGAAGTCCGGCGCCCAGCAGCCAACCAGCAAGCCAACCGCCGAGAAGTCCCACCCCGTCAGGGTCGCAACTCGCCCGGCAGTTTCCTCCCATGTTCAATGTCTACTCGCAGAGTTTCAGTCGAACCTTTCTTCTCGGCGAACATCAGAACGAACCCTTTTACGCCATGTCAATTCACAGCGGGTTGAGCAGTTCCCCGCCGATCGTGCTGCATTCGGGGCCCGCTGACACATACCCTCCTCTTGCATCCGTCGAGTACCACAGCTTCAGCAGCAGAATGAGTGTCACACTGCCGCCAGCACCGAAAGGCAGTCCGGGCGGTGCTCCGATTCTCGATTTAGAATCGCGGTCCGACTTTCCAAGTTACAGCTACGTCTTCTCCATGGGCGTCGGCCCCAACTGCGAGAGGTTGGAGCAGTTTGAGTGGCGAGCTAGTTCAGGCGAAGCAATTGCCATCCTGGACGGCAGAAGCAGAGGCCATAAGCTCATCAGGTTATCCAAAACCATCCCGCCGAACGCACCACCTGGTGTGTTCAGAGGAGGCGACGGGAAAGAAGTCGTTGCAGCTTGGACGGACGCTCACACGAGCATGACCAAGGCAGCCAAGTTTGCATTTCTGGGCAGCGGGTTGACGGGAGAATTGGGCGAGCGGTGGGCGATCATGGCCGCCATGTCTGGCCTGGCTATTTTTGAACGCGAGAGACAGCGCAAAAGACGCAGGAATGCATAATGGCGCCGGCGCGTACGACGCCTCTTGATGTTGGGGAACGCGATTTTTGGTACTGGGTTTGGCGCTTCAGGATGCATGATTGATCGCTGGAGGGTTCACGAACTCTTCATGTTTTGTTCGACTTTCGATACCCGCACTTTTTAGATGAACATGAACTGCCAGAGGGCAGAATCAGATAAGCTCAAGCGATTGCATCATGACTCGAGTGATTTTGTGCCATTGCCGTTCGTTAGCGTTGAAGGTAGCCCGGTACCACCTTGTTGACTCCTGCAGTCTCCAAAAGGGCGCATTCAGGGGGCCGTTCTGCGTGCGTCAGGTTGAGTGAAGCTGCGACCTACTGTTCGAATCTTCATAGTCGAGTCAGAGTCAGCCCGCGTGGGACAGATACAGGTAATGGAACCACCTGGACTCAGTGCTCAACTCGGCCGAGAAAAACTTGAAGATCAAAAGCCAAGCTTCGTGCCCTGAGTTGAGATTGTCTGTCCACGATGGCATCCCGGCCTCACATCAGTGGTGAGGTTGGAAGAGTGGACTGTGCTGGAACCGCAGCGCTGAATGGTTGGACATCCAGGCGAGGATTACCATAAGATCGACGATGTTTTCTGCGCAGTGTATCCATACGTCCCAGGGGTTGACCGATCGGGCAGAACGGGTGGGAGACCCTTGCCGGACCTTTGGTGGTGGGTGGTGGAACATCGATTTGAAGTTGCAACGGGGGGCCCAGCAACTTGGCCCCGGTGGAGAAGCGAAAGACGTGCGTGATGTGCGGTGAAGCGCCGGACTGGGATGAGAGATTTGACGGGGGCCATGGAAAGGGGATAAAAAGATGGGATGGTCGATGGAGAGGTGAGCATGGGACGACGAGGTTGCCGCCGATGGACCCGGGCGGTTTGCAGACGGCACGGCGCTCCGAACAACCAAAAGTTGAAGGCTATGAGGGAAATGTCGGTGATGACGAGGGGGTTCCTCTTTGCATTGAAGCATACATTAGAGGACATATTAGCTGCCACGTACAGCTGCAATAGCCTCGGACCAACAGAACGAAGTGGGCACGGGAAGTTTATCTAGCACAGGTATTCGTACGAACACAATGGCTGAACGGCATCGATGTGGGCGGAGTGTGGCGTAGTCTAAATCAATCTCGCATCGAAAAATCCTTTTTCTTCTAGGCTGACGGATCATCGGCAGCAGAAGACATGATCAAACGCAATTTTGAGTCCCATCGCCCAGGCAGATAACGGTGCTTGTTCCCGTTCTCGGGGAACCACCGTCAGGCCCACGAGGTCCATCTTCAATGATTGTCCATCTCCCATTCTTTGGGTCGAGCGAGACTTCATGTCCGAAGCGCTCCGCTGACGGGGCCGAGAGAAGCAAAGAAGGAATACAGGGCGCGGGAAAGCCAGGAGAGGCGAGATTCGAGAAGACTGAGATCCATATTCCTTTTCACTAGTTCAAGCCTATGTAGGCGATTGGAAGATGAGATCCATTATTAAGACCAGCCGGCTAAGCCAGCCGAAGGGCCCAGAATCCGAACGACAGCCACCTGAGGCGTGCGTTGTTGGTCTTTGCCCTGCGGAAAAGATTGCTGCGGTAATGAGATCAGGAGAAACTCACGAGGAGCCTGGACGCCGACGCGCGCTTGGGTCAACTGTTGGCGGCAAAGTCCTGGACTGGACTGGACTGGACTGGGAATAACGCGCAAAGGATTGGTGGAAAGGGTGCAAACGGGCTGCGAGAAGCAGGGGCAGACAGCGGTTTTGAGCAACAGGTGCTCCCCCTTGAGGCTCCGCAGCGGCGGCCAGACACATGGAGTTCAGCCTTCTTTGGGAGATAGCGCGTAGAGCCTTAATTGAAGCCACGGAAACTGCAGGGCGAATCTGGTGATAATTAAGAAAGGGGAGGGTCAGGACTTGGCTGTTTCAGGGTGGTCGCCGGGATCTGGCGAGGAGCAGACCGGGGCGGGCGCCGATATGGCCAATCGGTACGGCCAGCGAAGCACGGAGTGGAGATTGTGACCCCCGGCCCCGGTCACCCCGGCCGGCCACCCTTGCCGTCGACTCGTCCCATGTCGAGGGGTTGTCTCATCTTTTTTGCATGTCAACTCAACTGACATCTCAACCGACAACGAACATGATGCTTTCTTCTGTCAAGGTGACCACAGTCAGGCTCACAGGCTTAGACTATCGCCGTTAGCGTGTCTTCGTGCCTTGTCCAATTACTATGTATCATACACACCCGCGTAAGCGCAGTCGGCACTCGCCTGTCGCTCTTGGCTTAGACATTTCCCCTCCTCTTCGATCCTCTTCGAGCATGTCCCTCCCTCCTGGATCCCAACTGCGTGGATGCGTGCCGTTGGCTTCATCCCCCTTTCCCACGCCCTGCAGTACCCACGCCTTCGAAGCCAAGCTTTCAGTGTTATCAGTCATTGCGTTAACGCTGCGCTCACCTCTCGCAGTGAAGCGGTTAACCACCACCCACATCCCCATGATCCTGGCTTGGATCCCGCATACGCGAGATCCCCTCCCCATGTTTATACCCACTAGCCAGGCCGAATATGATTGTCCCGCGTATAATTGAAACTTTGGCGGAGCGGCGGGAATGATCCTTTCAATCTTGACCCGATGGAGTGAACGCCCTGGACTCTGGGCGGCCCAGCTCACCATCTTGGGAGCAGGGCCACGATGCCTTCCCGTATATATCACCGCCTTGCCCGACCATCACCAGTCCTCCCCTCTCTTTCTTGGTCCATAGTGTTCAACTTCACTTGACTTGTGATTCTATCTCATTCCTTCGTTCAGATTCGTCATTCTTTTCACTTGACCAGGCAGTCATTCATTTTTCGGTCCCAGACCTACCAAACACTCATTTCCCACCTACCCAGATATTCTCACAGTCAAGCCACCGGCACTTTTTTGATCACCAACACCAAACAAACAAACCGCCAAAATGAAGTACACTGTCGCCTCCCTTCTCAGCTCCGCAGCCCTGGTGGCTGCCCACGGCTACGTCGAGAACGCTACGATCGGCGGCGAGGCCTACACCTTCTACCAGCCCTACCAGGACCCTTACTCCAGCCCTGCCCCCGACCGTGTCTCCCGTGCCATCCAGGGCAACGGCCCCGTCGAGGACCTCACCAGCATCGACATCCAGTGCGGTGGCTACACCGCCGGTGGCGTTGAGGGCTCCAAGCCCGCCAAGCTCGAGGCCAAGGCTGCCGCCGGCTCCGAGGTCACCCTGAACTGGACTCTCTGGCCCGAGTCCCACGTCGGTCCTACCATCACCTACATGGCCAAGTGCCCCGACGCCGGCTGCACCGACTACCTCCCCGGCACCGATGCCGTTTGGTTCAAGATCCAGGAGAGTGGCCGTGAGGGCACCTCCAACACCTGGGGTGCTACTCCTCTCATGAAGGCTGGCAACCCCGGTGTCACCTACACCATCCCCGAGTGCATTGAGGCCGGCCACTACCTCGTCCGCCACGAGATCATCGCCCTCCACTCTGCCTACTCCTACCCCGGTGCCCAGTTCTACCCGGGATGCCACCAGATCGAGGTCACCGGCTCCGGTAGCACCGCTCCCTCCAACCTCGTCGCCTTCCCCGGTGCCTACTCCAAGACCGACGCCGGCATCGTCTACGACGCCTACAAGGCCCAGGAGTACACCGTTCCCGGCCCTGCCCTCTTCTCCTGCTCTGGCTCCGGCTCCGGCTCCGGTTCCGGCTCTGGCTCCGCCCCTGCTTCCTCTGCCGCCCCCGTCGCTACCTCCGCCGCCGCCTCCTCTGCTCCCGCCGCTACCTCCGCTCCGGCTGCCACCTCTGCCGCCGCCGCCACCACCTCTGCTGCTGCTGCCCCCAGCGCCACCTCTGTTGGTGCCGCCGATGAGGAGGAGGACTGCCCCGTCGAGACTCCCACTGCCACTTCCGCCGCCGCTGTCACCCAGGCCGATGTCAGCCCTACCCAGGCCGCCGACGAGGAGGACGACTGCCCTGCCGAGACCACCGCCGCCCCCGTTGTCTCTGCCACCCCCACCCCCACTCAGGCTGCTGACGACGAGGAGGACTGCCCTGCCGAGTCTACTGCCGCCCCTGTCGCCTCTGCCACCCCTACCCAGGCCGCCGATGAGGAGGACGACTGCCCCGCTGAGTCCGAGGCCCCTGTTGCCTCTGCCACTCCCACCCAGGCTGCCGACGATGAGGAGGACTGCCCCGTCGAGACCCCCGTTGCCAAGCGCATGTCTTTCCACGAGCGCCGCTCTGCTTAGACGCGCCCTGGTGCGAGGTCTCGTGGTTGAGTTGACCTAGATGGCCAAGGGAGTAAGCTTCCCGTGCTGCCGGAGGACTGCACACTTGTGGTGTCCCCGACGCTGATTCGGTCTTTGACCAATCCGTTTCATGTATAAAGTCTTTGCTGTATATCGTTTTACCTCACGTATATATCTGAACGATATAGATCGTACCATTTGTCATGTTCCATTTCAAGTTCTATCCTCGTGTTTGTGATGTTGTGATAGGAATGTTGACTCTAACGCATGCTATCGGTATTTACAATCCTTTATGTAGACAGAAGCCTTCAAATGTTCTCCTAGTTCACCCGAACTGGTCTTGAGCTATTAGCGTGCAACGAACAAGGGAAGATGCAACGGACTTGCTTAAATCTCAAGTAGACGCACTAGGTGGTTGGAGGTGACATTTGTTCGTTATCATTACATATTAAGGGACATGACCGTCGTGATTTTACACCAAAATCCTCCAGAGTTAAGTAAGGCAGCCTGTCTCACTCATCCATCAGACACTTCCGCTTCCCCCGCTACGCAGACTTGACTTCTCACCCCCAGACTGTTGACGTTGAGACCCGGCCACAGCTGACGTCGAGCGACGCTTCCTCAACACCACAAACGCAATAGCTCCGGCAATAGCTACAACGCCAAGGGTGACTGCGGCACCAATAACACCAGCAACAGCGTTCGACATCCCGCTACCACTCTTGCCAGAATCAGAGCTCGGTGCCTCACTCTGGCTAGTGAAACAGAAGTCTTGCACACTTGAGCACACATTGCACCACTCCTCGACGGTGCTGATGGCACGTCCCTGCATCTCACTGACGAATTCGGGCCATGACAGAGTCTCCTCGGAAGTGCCAAAGAGCGGGTAGGGCGTCAGTTCACCGAACGTGCTGTTGCGGAAGAGGAAGCGCACGCGCATGTCGGCGTCCGCATCGGCAGGGAACGTCGTGGTGTTGTCGCTCACCAACTCGAAGGCAATGGTGGAAGCGTAGTCTGGCAGACCGGTGAAGTTTGTGGAGACCGAAACAAGGTCCATGAGACCGAAGAAGGCAAGGAAGGTATCGTAGCTGCCGGAGAGCAGAGAGAACTTGAGCTTGCCTTCAGAGGTGATGGTCTCGTTCAGTTGAGCAAGGATGCCGGCGGTGAGTGTTTGCGCGTGGATGGCGCGGGCGGGTTGAGAGGCGTTGAAGTTGTAGCCGAATTCAGAGCTGTCGGCCAGCGTCCGGAGCTGGAAGAGCTCCTCATCCGTGACGTTGCGAGCCAAGGAAGTGCTGTTGTGAATGCGAGCAACGTTGACCAGGTCGAAGATATCGTAGGCGTTCTTGTACGTCATGTTCTCGGGCTTGTAGTCGTACACGCTCTCGAGAACGTCGTAGAAGCTGCCGTAGAAGTCTTTCGTTGTCTCGAGGCGCGTCTTGAACTCGTCGCTCTCCTCGAAAGACTTGTAGGCGGCGGCATTGGCCGGGCACCCATCATCACCCTTGATCCAGATGGTGTCGGGAGAGTTCTTGTTCTCGCCGTGGAGGAAAACGTACTGGTACCCATTCAGGGGGTTGCTGCTCTCGCTGCCGTTGTTGAGAGTTGTGGTCGCGATCTCGGCGTCAAGGTCGGTCAGTGGTGGGTAGAGACCTTGAAGGAAGGCCGTGGCCGAGTTCTTGAGAAGGCTCTGGTCGGGAGCGCTGGCGTAGATCTGCGACGAGACGTACTTGTCTTCGGAGATGTCGAGAATCCGGTGAGGAGAGCCAGACTCCAAGTAACGGCTTCGGTAGTCACTGCCAACCTGAAAACACTGCTGGGCTCCTACACTGGTGATGGCCTGAGCTCCGTAGTGCTTGGTGTTTCCTTGCGTATGATGTCAGCTCAACTGGAGATGTTTCCAGAGACGAACAGGTAACTCACTGTCTCCGTGGCGCGTGAAAACGACAACGCCATGGACTGTCTCAGCAACAGCAGTGCTGGCGAGCCAACTGGCAGCAATGAGGCCCTTGCCGATCATGATTCCCAGCTTTTTGAGGCTCTTTGCGTTCAGGGTTGAAGCCGAATGGTTTTCGAAACGCAGACCGATGCGAGATCCGGCGAGCAACCCAAAGGCATCTTGAGGCTTTTAATACCTCGCAACAGCCCACCCCCATTCCTGTAAGCCGCCCACTACCCGTCCCCGGAGGAACCAACCATCGTGCTGTCAGAATTTCATGTAAAGGCGCAGAGCAAGAGCGGGGGATCCTGCAAGTCCTTCCAGTCCCGTGGAGCGGAGATGCTCGAGATTCGGGTTCGGTCGACTGTCGCCAAGCAGCCAAGCACTTGGCACATCGCACCAGGGCGAATCAACGCCTGCGATAAGAACAGCGGTCGAAGCCGACGATCAGTCGGGACCACACGCTAAGCATATTCAGGCCGACTTGGCGGAGGGGTGGTCGCCTTTCCTGCCTGTTCTGTTTCGGCTGGGATGAGAGCAAGTTGATGTGAGTTGAGTTGAGGATGTGCAGTCGGATGTGACTCTCCCCACAATACGCGTTTTCAAGTAGCTGACTGCGTAGATATATTGTGATGGTTTCATTGGTTTAGCTGATCTTAGACTGGTTGAGGCTGATACATGCATGTTCACTGGCTGTTAGGATTGTTTCTAGCGAGGACGTTATATATTCGACCACAATCTGACATCAAAACAATTGGCAATCCAAAGCTTGATATCGTCTCTAATTCAGACAAAGGAATTAGTTGAGATAGGTTGATTTCTGTTTTCCATGCTGATAATCTATCGACGAGCGCTTGTTTGTACTGCTCAACCATTGCAACTTTCACCTGAGAGTCATTCGTTGACTGAAGATATCCGGCAGGTTTCAACCATATTCAAACATGTTTTCAAGACCATATGTAATCCTGGATCAAATGCTAAGGCGGGGTTGCGAATCTAACTTAGGTGATCAGTTGATGACCTTGAGGGTAATGTCTGGACGAAGCGATTTCCCAAAGAGCTCGCAATGCAAGTCCTGAGATGTGTAAACGACAGCATTCTAAGGGACATGTGCATTGCCGATAACTGCTAAGCTTGGAACCTCACGGATGTCACCGAAGCGACCCGACTATCTGGTATCAATTTCGTGGGCCTCTTGAGAGAGTAAACATGCCCCCCTTCGGCTTTTACCAGTACTTCGATCTCATTTTCTAGCGACAAGATAAGATAGCCCTCAGTCTCTTACTTTTGCAGCATCATGAGAACAATCATTTTAACTAAGGTGATCACTCTGAATTCTACATCAAGTTTCTTCAAGCGTTTCGATTGTAGCAAGTATTTCAACATCCTGCTTCATGAGAAGTAGCTGGAGGTGACAGTGATCATGTTATCACTGTCCTCCGAGCCAACTTCATCAGAACGAATTAGACGAGAGCCAACCTTTACCACATAGGTACGGTGAGATGTTACGAGCGACCGCGTCCTCGAAGTATGGGTTCCCACTCAATGCGCATCAACTCGTCCCGACGGATCAAACACCAACGTGGATAATGTAAAGATATTGGATATAAGTCGTAAAAGTAGATTGGCCGAGTGAGATGACGCTGTCATGGTGATTTGATTGCTGCACATCTATCAAGTAATCTGAGGCCACAAGGAAGTAGGGAAACCTAAAGACTGCGTAACCGATTGCCTGCATTGCAGGAACATGAGCTTTGGATTTCGGCTGCTCTAAGAAGAAGAGCTAGGTTCTCATGATGCAGTGAGCCAGAAAGGAGAAAACACGTGAGGGAAGGCTCACATAGACATCGTATGGGAACCTTTCGCTGTCTAAGTCTGTCAGGAAGTAGTTTACCAATATTCCAGCCGTCAGCCACTATTGAGTTACTTGCGCCACAACACCGGCTCCTACGCGACTCCAGCTCCGACAACTGTGATCAAGCTCAAGGCTCGAAGACAGATACACTCAATACTCGAAACCGGAGAATCAGCGGGCAATGAGGAGAACTCGGTTGATGATTTCCGACCAAACAATAGCGACGTTCATGTGAGAGGGAGTTGCTCAGTAGTGTCGCGGTCTGAGGGCACTGAACTGCGCCCAGGAAAGAAAGTCATGTGGTTTGCATACGAACCAACCATTCCGTAAGTCGGTCCAGATTGGTGGTGGTGTAGATCACACAGCCGAGCCTTCGGGAAGCCATGTCGAGGTTTTTATGTGTCATTGGGTTGGACGGCATACAAAAGCCATTGGCTTCGAACTGTGGCGGGTTGGTGGCGTATCTGCATTCAGCCGAGAAGAAAAGATGCACAGCGACGTGTTGAGACATCTGAGGAGCATTATTATCCGGGCCATTCTGTTCCGTGCAACTTTGTGTAAATTATTCTGTCAATAGGTAGTCAACTATGCCAGAGAATCATTGAATCTGATGCTTGGCAAGTCCGCTCATCTCGGAGAAAGTATCGGAGAATGCAAGTCGCAAACTGATTGATGGTGCGGGGAGTTGCCGGCCGGAAGATGGAGAGTTCTTGCGTGATCGCTCGGGTTATCCCCGTCGTATCACCTGCGACTCAGTGATTGCACTGATTGGGACCGAGGTGACAACATGGTCTTGTCTTCATGGTCGGTGAATGCTAGCAGCTAGGAATGCGGTGGACTGAAATTGAAGCGACGTGGGGAGGATGCGAGAACTGCTGTGGGCCCAACGTCCCCGTTGCGGCTATCGGTCTGACGTCTCATTGGGAAAACAATGTCTTGACCTTTGAGTCCCTGGTTCGAGATTGAGCGAATTGGCCAATAACGTGATGCAAGGTTGAAAATGGCTGGGCTTTGAAAGGTTCGACTGTCGAGTCGTGAGAAGATCAACGTGGAAAAGAGTTGTGGGAACCCTGATGTCGCTCGACGACTTTCCGCATGTTGAGATTCAAGGTCTAGACTCGGAAGAACTGTGACAATTCGTAGTTGTGTTTGGTATTGATGACGGATTGGCGAAGGCGTCAGAAAGCTTAGGAACGCGCACAACAACCGGGCATCAAGATGTGCTACCAAGGAATGAGAAGGGCACGGATTCATGGCCCTTGTTCAGGCGCAAATATGTTCTCGAACGTGACCTGCAAGCGTCCGGTCCCCACGAAAAGAGGCAGGAGAGCTGAGGGCGCAAAATGACGCCATCGCAGGCTCGCGTTAGCTCATCCCGATTGGGGAGATTGGCGGCCAGGATGGCGACATAGGCGGCGGCCTTAACCTCATCGTCGGTACTCGGTGCAGTCTGGAGAAGCCCTCCTTTTCCTGCTGCGAAGGGAAAGGTACGGACAGGTACCGGCAGAGAAGGCCCCGCTGAGGATCAGGAGTTGGGTTGTTGCAACTTGTGAGTCGCAGAAATGAGATTTGAATATGTCGTCAGTTCATGCTGAGCAATCAGGGCCACAAAGATTGAAGACGGGACCGACGGAAGACGACGAATTTTCTTGGATGGCGGCTTTGGGTTCCAGGCCGCTGATTCATGCTGGACCCAGCTGATGACATGAGAAAAACTGAATAATACGTGGTCGGCGATGGTCTAATCGCCGACACGTGGATCGGGCATCGAGTTGACGCAGTGAAATTTTGCAGAGAATTCTTCCAAACAAATGAAAAAACCGAAAAAATCGAGCACCTGACGGTTTCTTCCCTGGCGGAGACTTTGGCGGCGACTTATGACTGGTCCTTCTGAGTGAGAATTGGGTGATGAAAACTGGTAGTGCTTGACTGAGCGGGTTCTTAGGTAAGCTATTTTGACGATGGCGTGCACCTTGAGGAATGGTCCGTTTCGGGTCACAGAATGCAGCACCTCATGGAAGTGGTCAACTTGAGGCTCATAACCACATTTGCCAAAGGTAGAGAGAGATCATAGAAAAATGAAAATTGAGAGATGTACACCCTCGTCCATCTACCTCGAATGCGTAGACTACAAGCCATTCCCGTTAGGCACTCGGCCCAGCCTTACCGTCTGTCTCTCCCCGCGATCTCAGGTATTACAATCGGCTATCGGTGACGGTGCAGCGAGACCCGTCCGTTTGCCGTCTCTCACGCCGTAGCGATAACCGTTAGTGCGTACAACGCGCGCTGTCAGTGGCCGGGTGGTCTCGCTTAATGGTCACCTCATCGCTAGAGGTGGATCTGGACCCCTGGAAACCGCTGCAGCAAAGTCGAGAGTGGAACATCTGGGGGGGCCAACCCAGCGATAACGCCATTCTCGCCCCAAAGCACCAAACCACCGCTATGGTTCTAGCGTTCTACTCTGCTGCTCTGCTGAGTGACTGGAGTCCATGACTGTGAGAGTTCTCCGCTATTGCTCACCGGCGCTCATTTCGAACCTTCCGCCTTCGACTTCGGCCGACCGTCCTCCTTTCTCTTCAGTCTCCCGTCGTCGACAAGGTACGAAAATAAGTACTTCCTCTCCCCAACACGCCCTACCGACATTACGATCCAAGACACAGCCCGATCACGACACTCACACCGACGACGGCGACACCTACTACGACCACGATACTTTCCCTCATTCCTTGTCACTACGAATACGTCCATCTTCACCTTCGGCTGAACCTTGCCATCCCTCCTCCGCGATCCGCGCCTCCATACACGCAGCATACCGCCCACACATACCTCACGGCTGCCTCAATCTTGCGTCGCTTGGCTGCCGACTTTGACGGCCAGAAACCATCCATCGAGGAACAGCGGCCAGGAAAAGCAAAACCGTCCCATCTCTCTTCCCCCGTCTCGACGAATCACCAGGGGCTCAACCTCCTGCCAGTCCTCCTCTAGGCTTCAGTGTTTGCCCTCAACAACACCACACAGACGCCCGCGCGCGAACTCGACAACGTCTGCTCTAATTGCGTGCGCTTGCAAATTCCCCTGCCCGAACCAGTCGGACGCCGTCCCTGTGGATCGTCCGGGGCTCCCTTCTTGGGCAGCTGCTTAAACACCCAGATACAAGCCATACTACGTATCCGTACAACCAGTACCGCGAATCTCGTTTCCCCTGGCTCGCACGCCATCGCCAGGTCCTCTCGCCTCACCCTCACCCAAAACGTCCACCGATACCCAAGTGTCACCCGGTGTCACTCTACCGATACACGCCTCCCCAACCGGCCTCAGTCTTTGACTAGGTCTCGTCTCTACTCGATTGTCCTGGCCCTCCCCTTGGCGACATCTCGCCCGCTTCCAGCTGTAACGACAAGTACCAGCGCCAGCATCAGCGCCGGTACCAGCAGCCCGGCAGCATCTCTCCGTCTCGCCCCGGATGATTTGACACCAAACCCTCCGTCTGCTGTGTGCTCTGCTTTCCTTACTGCTCGCTGAAACCTATTGCGGCCATGGACCTCGCAAGCACGTCAACCCTTCCGGATCCCCGGAGCATGAGCCTGCACCTGGACCTTTCGTCGCCCAGTCACCGCCATGACGAGCTCGTCTCCAAGTCTCCTGCTATCCCTTCTCCCAGCTCCTTCAAAACCACACCGACTTTCACCGCCGCAGCCACCGACTCGACCTCGACCTCGAACTCAACATACAACTCTACCTCTGCTTCTGTCCTGCCCGACGACGATGTGACTGCGAACCAGGCCCCTTCCAGAGACAACTGCGATAGAAGGAGACCCGACGAGGGAGACGCCTCGCGATTTCCGGCAAACATGCCCACTCAGCTGGTCGGTCAGACCGTCACTCCCTTCTTGAGAGAACACATTCCCGGCATCTACGCACCCATCGGCAAGCCTGACCAGGCCGAGAACAACAACCTCAGCCAACAACGGGACCCAAACAGCAAGTTCTGCTATCGCCACCGCCCCGACGCAAAGTGTCGTCGAGCCGCCGATGAGACCAAGATGGTCCTGATCCAAAGTGTAAGCCAAGCTAGTCTTGACGCCCACAGGGGCTATCGACTCCGTGCTGACACATGTGCACAGGAACTCGATAAGCTCCCCTCTGCCGACCAACAAGCCATCACCCACGTCTGGTCGCTCTTCTCCGCCGCCCCTGCCAAGCACCGCGATCTCATGCTGCAAGGCATCATCACACAATGCTGCTTCCCCCAACTATCTACCGTCTCCCGCGAAGTCCACGAGCAGCTCAAGATCGACTTCATGGCTGCCCTGCCGACCGAAATCTCCTACAAAGTACTTGGTTATCTCGACACGGCTTCCCTCTGCAAGGCTGCTCAAGTAAGCAGGAGGTGGAGGGACCTCGCCGACGACGACGTTGTGTGGCACCGCATGTGCGAGCAGCATATCGATCGCAAGTGTACCAAGTGCGGATTCGGCCTTCCCCTCCTCGAACGAAAGAGGCTACGCGACTGGAACAAGCAGAAGGAACTCGCCCGTAGCCATCGCCCGGAGGAGCCCGTCCAAGATGAGCAGGAGGTGGCGACGTCGGCGTCACCAGCGTCGTCACCCAACGCCAACAAGAAGCGCGAGCTGGTTGTTCTTGACGATAGCAGGAAACGTGCATGCTTGAGCGAGGTTGGCGAACCCGGTGCGCCCAAGGCTGGAGCTGAGAAGGAGCGTGACCGCCTCATTCGACCGTGGAAGAGCGTCTACCGCGACCGCTTCAAGGTCGGATACAACTGGAAGTACGGCCGATGTCATATCAGGACCTTCAAGGGACACGACAATGGTATCACCTGTCTTCAGTTTTCCGACGAAATCCTCGCTACGGGATCCTACGACGCAAAGGTCAAGATCTGGAACATCGAAACGGGCGAAGAGATTCGAACGCTGTCGGGGCACACGACGGGCATCCGCACGCTCAAGTTCGTCGGCAACAAGCTCTTCAGTGGCAGCTTGGATCACACGGTCAAGGTCTGGAACTGGCAGACGGGCGAGTGTATCAGCACGCTTCGTTGTCACAGCGCCGGGGTGATTTCCGTGGATTTCGATGGCAAGTATCTCGCCTCGGGATCCATCGACAAATCGGTCAAGATTTTCAACTTTGACAGCAAGGAGACGTTTTGCCTCAGAGGTCATGAAGACTGGGTGAACCACACGCGGCTGGATCCCCGGTCTCAGACGGTCTTCTCGGCTTCGGACGACTGCACGGTGCGCCTCTGGGATCTGAAGAACAAGACTTGCATCAAAGTCTTTGAAGGTCACATGGGTCAGGTGCAGCAAGTTCTGCTAATGCCCGAAGACTTTGAACCGGACGAGGATTTGCTTGCGGGGGATGTCAATGACGGCGCGTCGGTCCACAGCGGCCGCAGTATAAGCCCGTCGGGGAACGCCAATGTGGCGTCGATTCTCGGGTCGTCGTTCGGGGATTCCGGTCCGGCCGAAGACGACCGGACGGCGTTCGGTTGCACGTTTGCCTCGGACCCCACTCGGCCCCTCCCGCCCCGCTACATGTTCACCGCCGGACTGGACAACACGGTCAAGTTGTGGAACACGGCGACAGGAAAGTGCCTTCGGACCATGTTCGGTCATGTGGAGGGCATTTGGGGCCTCGTCGGTGACACTCTTCGCCTTGTCACCGGAGCCAACGATTCCATGGTCAAGATCTGGGAGCCCAAGTCGGGCAAGTGTGAGCGAACTTTCACGGGACACTCAGGCCCCGTCACCTGCGTCGGCCTCAGCGACAGCAGAATGGCGAGCGGAAGCGAGGACGGCGAAGTTCGTCTGTACAGCTTCGAAGCGGACGGGCCTTTGGAGGAGTGTGGCACTCCGGCGTGAGGTGGCCACTGTTTTGATTTTCTCTTCTTTTATAGTCGTTTTTGTATGGCGGGTGTCTGGCGAAACGATTCCCAAACGGCGATTTACGAGAGAAGGACCTTGTTGCGCGATGAGCCTCCGCAGCATGTCTCGATGTTTGACATTATCTAGAAAAGTCCTCGGGGACTCGGGAGGCCAGGAAAGAGACTGGCCAGGTGGGCGGCGTTTACGGTTGATTTGCAATTATTTTTGGCACACAAAAGGAACCGACTGGACGGATTGTGGGAAAAAAGTAGCGGCAGTGTCCAGTCCACGGGATTTATCATGAGGCCCGTTTTAATCTACTACCGAATTTACGACTCGTAACAAGTTTTCACATGCTTTGATCGCGTCTCGTGTGTCTCACGTTGGATCTAGCAGCTCCAGTTCGCCAGCCTCACTTTCATCTGATACTGGTGCGTCAAGGCAAAATTAGAGCAACGGCGGGAGGACCAGCGATAGCGGCAGCGGAAGCAGCATCGGTTTTAGACCAGGTTCAGGCTGGTTTCCTCCCGTCCGTCTCTCCATTGGCGTCAGCTGACCTGCTGATGATTCTGAAGCGCCACGAGGCGGTGCCTGACAGACACGACGAACTCCGAAAGCGGCATAGCCCGTCATGATGTCGCTCCAGGGGAATTTGGGGAATCCAGCGAAGAAAAGAGGTGTTTTGCCTCGACATCCAGGACCAGCCTCCGAACCTCGGCATTTCTGGCAAATGGCTCCTCACTCGGCCCAGCGCCGGAAGTGTCCGGACTCCACCGTGAGTATGCGGACGAGATACGTACCTTTCCAGTAGTGGATTGATGTGTGTCTCCCCCGCAAAATCACAAGCTCGGCTTGGAGTCGGCAAAGCTGAGCTGAGATGCAGCAAGAGAGTGGATTCTGGTGTTCTCTGCCGTAAGACTGGATTTCTGAGGGGACCGCTGAAGACATATACGTCACTTTCTGGGGCAGAATCACAGGCCGAGACCTCCATCTTTGCGACTCGGGATGAAGAACGAGAAAAGGCGGCATGAACCAAGGAGCATCATGGGCCAATGACTCCTGAATCCAGCACTGATGCGCACGCAGCTCCGGTCGTCCAGTGCAGTGCCTCTGGATACGCAGTTCCAGACAGGTTTGTTGAAGACAATAGGACATCATCTATCACACGGTTGCGGTCGCTCTCATATGTCTCCAGTCCAACCACCCCCCACCCCCGTCATGTCTTTCCCATCTCCGTTCCGCCGAATCGGGATGGTCTCTCATCTTGTCGCAACGCGCTACAGACGTCTGAAGATTCGATGGTTTGAGCCACTCAGACGACGCTGGTGCCCTTTAACTTACTACCTTACCTAGTATGCTGTCTTCCACGGCTACTGCGTGGAACACATGGAATAACTGTGTTGTGCCTATCCACGCACGCCCCGGGTTACCAACCTGACCCCCTGGTTCTGATCTTCCTCTCTGGCTTCCCGTCGTTGTGCCGCGGGTGAAAGGGAAACGACGAGGCACACTTACTCCTCATGTTCTTTCCTCATGCTTTCGAGGCGTGTGAATACACTTCCCAAGCCACACACCACCTCACCACCTCCCGTCCCATCTACGCCTCTGGCAATGGGAGCCTTGAGTCATCTGCCTGATTTCCCTTGGGTCTGATTCTATTCTGGCTTGTGCATTGGACCCCCCGCCGGCCGTCCCCGTCCCCGTCCCCTCCAATACACCTGGTACGCCACCTTTATATGTACTGCCGTGGCTTTCATCATCGGCGCCGAGGATGTTGGCTTTGTAGTTTCTGACGACTCGTTCCGAATCTTCTTCTTGTCTCCCGTATTCTTCCCAAGCTTGTTTCCTTGTCTTCTTCTTCCAGTAGCACTTGCTGTATGACTACCACCACTACTACTACTATTACTCGATACTCCCTCCCAATCTGCGAAGTATTGTCATTGTCATTACCGTTGAACCAAAGAAGCAACCGTCTTGCTTTGTCCTCCTAGACGTCCGGCGCGAGCCTTCCCTCTGCGTCCATCCCCTCGTTCTCGTTCCCATCTTCTGCGCATATTCGTCGTCCACGTTGTAGATACACCATGGCCTCCAAAGTAAAGCAAGATGGCAAGACACCGCCCTCAGTTGCCACGAACCTCATTGGTATGAATCAGCCCCAACGAGCACATCATCTACTCATGCGAACCCATAACTGACGAATATGACGAACAGCCGGCGGTGGTGCAGGCATGATGGAGGCATTGGTCTGCCATCCCCTTGGTAAGTCACTCCTCCTTGCGCGCGCGCGCACACATCCACGTTAGATTCACCCAATTGACTCTTCTTTGACAGACACGATCAAGGTGCGAATGCAGCTGTCGCGACGAGCCAGGATGCCCGGCGCCCCGAAGCGCGGGTTCATCCGTACCGGTGTCGAGATCGTTAAGAAAGAGACGCCCTTGGGTCTATACAAGGGTCTCGGCGCCGTGTTGACGGGTATCGTGCCCAAGATGGCCATCCGGTTCACGAGTTTCGAGGGGTACAAGCAGATGCTCGCAGATAAGAAGACGGGAGTCGTCAGCGGACAGGCTACATTCTTCGGTGAGTGATGCGACATGTCTCAAGAAGGAGAAGACGGACGGATTAGACAGGTTACTGACGCAGCGAGCGCGCAGCCGGTCTCGCCGCGGGAGTCACTGAAGCCGTGGCCGTCGTGACGCCCATGGAAGTCATCAAGATCCGTCTGCAGGCGCAACACCATAGTATGGCGGACCCTCTCGACATTCCGAAGTACCGCAACGCCGCGCACGCGCTGTACACCGTTGTCAAGGAGGAGGGCGTCGGCGCATTGTACCGCGGCGTGTCGCTGACGGCGCTGCGCCAGGGTAGCAACCAGGCCGTCAACTTCACGGCGTACTCGTACTTCAAGGAGGCGCTCAAGGACTACCAGCCCCAGTACGCGGGAACGAACCTCCCGAGCTGGCAGACGACCGTCATCGGGCTCGTCAGCGGCGCCATGGGGCCTTTGAGTAATGCGCCGATCGACACCATCAAGACGAGGTTGCAGAAGACGCCGGCCGAGGTGGGCACGAGTGCCTGGAGTCGCATCGCCAAGATTTCGAGCGACATGTTCAAGTAGGTCTTGCGCGTGGTGATTTGATGAGTGGGAACTGCCGTGTGTGCTGACCATGTCGTGTGTAGGCAAGAAGGAATGCATGCGTTTTACAAGGGCATCACGCCGCGTATTATGCGTGTCGCGCCTGGCCAGGCCGTTACGTTCACCGTCTACGAATACCTCAAGGAGAAGCTGGAGAAGAGCAACCTCTCGTTCACCGGAGGCAATTTCGAGGAGTAAGGGGCGACCTGCTATTGGTGGCCGTCTGTGAATGCAAGATACCAGGGTTGTGGAAGGAATCGTGACTTCATGGTTGCAAGTAAAGAGTTTCAGAAGAGGCAGGATACTGTAGATACGCCGGAGACGGAGACGGGGGTGTGGCATCGCGAACGTGAAGAATTCAGTCTATATCATTAGCCCGATCTACGGGCTCGGGACCTAACGCCTTGCATGCGCTCGAGCAACCTTCTTTCGCCCCATCTGTCGTGCGTCCGCATGTTTACCTGCCAGGACGCTTGGGTCTGCTGAATCCTGCTCTCGCCGTCACCTTCGGATGCAACTCCGAAAGGACGGACTCCTCGGTGACCTCGCTGGGCTCCTCGACCTCGAGCTTCTTGTCCAGCGTCAGGCCCGCCTCGCCGGTCGCGATCTCGAGAACGGCGCGCTTCATAAGCGGGTACAGCATGCGGTTCTTGATGGCCTTGTTGCCGGGCGTGACGGGACAGGTGTAGATGAAAAGCAGGGGGCTCGACTCGGCGCCGTTGTGGGTGTGGGTGAAGCGGTAGAGGGTGAAACGCGGCTCGGTGGCGGAGATGGTCTGGGTGAGCTCGGAAATGGAGGACGGGGACTCGGAGGAGGGGACGAGCTCGACGGATTCCTTGTCGGGGTTGATTTTCTGTTGATTCAACGTTAGACGTTGGCCTGTGTGGTGGACGTGGCGTGACATTTGTACTTACAAGCATAACAAGCACGCGGCCCTCGTTCAGCTCCTTCATGGCCGCGAGTGCGTCCTCGGCGATGGGCATGGCGAGGGTCTTGCTCAGGTGAATCTCCCGCGATCCCGTGCCGGTGCTGGCCTCGGCCTCGGCCTGCTTGACGGCACCCAGGCTGCGCTCCTCCTCGGTCAGGGGAGCCTCGAGTTCGGTGTGGGCGTCATGCTTAGCGAAACCCTGGGCAGACAGCTCTTCCGGGGTGGTGGAGAAGATGGACTCGCGGAAGTGCTCGGAGCCCAGCTTGCGGACGAGGGTCAGGCGGGTGGAGGCGAAGAGCATCTTCTGGCGGACCTTTGCGGAGTCGGGGATGTAGGTGATGGCGGTGAGGTGCGGCGCGGTATCATAGCGGCGGAGGAGGGCGTAGAGGGCTTCGTTGGGCTTGAGGTGAGGCTGGAGGGCGGAGATGTTGTCGTCGAAGGAGGAGGAGGACTTGGAGAGGAACTGGACGGGTTTCAGGGTCTCGGAGTCGATTGTGACGAGGAGGCCGAAGTGGTCGTCGGTGGAGAGGAGGGTGTTGAATTGGGAGACGAGCTCCTCGGAGGCTGGCGATTGTTAGCTTCGGGGCGTGGAATGAGGGTATTCATGATCTGGCGGTGGAAGCGGGGCGTGACATACCAGAGATGCCAGACTGCATCGTGGGCAGTTCAGAGGTGACCTCGCAGGTGTTTACGATCGGCTCTCCAGTATGTACGTCGTTGGAAATACGCGGGAAGAAGGTAGATATTGATAAAGAAAAACTGCTCTCCCGAGGACTGCCTTAGGTACCAGGGGCGGAGGCGGTGATGTGAAGCTGGAGTTGCGGCTGCTACCTGGACGTCAGCTGTTGTGGATTCCAGCTGGTGGAGGGGCAGCCAGCTTCCCATCTCCACGCACAGCTTGGGCGTGGGCGGATTTCCGCCGTTGGCGCGTATTATGTAAGCGAACGCGGGTGGCTATCAGGGTGCCATTACTTAGCTCATTCATCGTGGTATTCATAAACACTCATTCACATGAGATTCACATGAGATAGTTAGTGTACTGAAGACATCATTCGAGATTGTCTATAATTCATTCCTTTTCATTAATCATTGGGTCATCTCATCCAAATCCATGCCGCCGCCGCAGCGCCAATCGCAACGCCATATGCCCCGACAATCTTGACCGCCTGGATATAGAATCCCCTACGAATCGCAGCGTTCGACTTTTCATGAGACTCTCTGTCGTTCGCGAACGGGAACTCTTTGCCTTCGGGTACTTCTTTTCCCAGAAAGTCGCATAGAGGTTTCCATCCGTCCCTGCCCACCCGATACACCAGCAGTCTCTCAGGTGCGATGTGCGCCTTGATGCGCTCCGAATGCCGACGATACATCTCAGGACTCAAGCGATGCATCTCATCTAAGCTGTACGCTCCACCGTAGAGACCCCGGAAGAGCTTCTCCATGGCGAACCCGGCTCGGTTGCCGATGATGACGGCGATGGCTTTGAAGAGCAGCAGGCGTCCCGGCCCGAACACTGCCTGCATGACCTGGCTGTCGAAGCTGGGGAACCATTTGTCGTAGTCGCGCTCTGTGAGGATGATTTTGGCATCCGGATACGCGTCGGCCAGCTCCAGAGCAAAGAAGCACACCAAGTCTGTCAAGGCGTCGTATACTCCAAACAGCTCGTCCCAATCCTCCCGCGTGAAGGGCTTTGGTCGAGGTGACTGCCCTACGGCGTTGATTTCGGGCCAAGTCGCGGCCGCCGCTTTCTCAAAGAAGACCCAGTGGCTTGGCTTCGTGCGGGAGTCCAGTCCATCGTAGACGTGCTGGAAGCCCAGTTCTTCGAGAGCTCTCCTGACCGATGTCGTACCGGTGCGAAGCATGCCCACAGCAATCACCTTGGGAGGACCCGCGTCGCGGGCCTTGTCTTCTGGAGTTGCCATATTTGCCGATTGATGATTGTGGACCGAAGTGACACGGGGCCAATGTCAGGCTTATCACCTCTATTTAAGAGAGTGTCTCAGCCTCCCGTCTACAGTTGAGCCGTCGTCGTGGCCAGTAACAATGCACAACGGCTCGCTAACACAGCAGTACAACCTCGATCAGCACTAATGCGGATTACCTGGCCATACCTTACGCACAGTTGCCTCCCTTTAGTCGGCTTAGTACCAAGACCAATTTCCCTTGGATCCAGGTTCAGGTCGCCTGCTGCAGTCGGCTCCGGATAAGAAGTTCTCGATACTTTTCCAGACTTTGACCGATTATGTTGATAAAAGGCCACTGGGTGTTGCTCTTGAAGAAATGGGCCCATATCCGGAGAACCGCAAGACTCAGCGACGCGGGATTCCGATCTGCCGACATCTCGGAATCGTCATCGCCGAAATCAACCACATCGTATGCCTCCTCGACGATACACCGGACCCAATGCAGGATTCTGTCTTCACTGTCTGCGACCTTGTCAGGATATAGTTTTCTGTAGCTCCCGCCAGACACATCAACTTACCACTGAGCGGCGTCGTGGTTGTTGCTTCTGTGAGAGAAAAAAGCCACTTGCTAAGCAGCACTGCGCACTCAAGACCAGATAGGGAGTGCCTGACACTCCAGAAGAAGGCCTGGCTGCGAGCAACGCGATCTACGCCAAGCCTGACGGGAATGCTGAGCATGTGAGCAGTGTACAGAAGCGCGGTGATGACCCCGCCGCTTCGCTCTACAGCCGGTGCTCGATTGATGGCTTTGGCGATACGGACCGGATCGCGCGTCTCGAGAAGTCGATATGGACCCAGGTGAAGGTAGATACGGACATAAGCGAGGCCGAGTAAAGAACTGGATGTGAAAGGAATTGGGCCGTTCTCGTTATTAGGATCAAGACTCGATTCCGGAGCTTGTTGCCAACCCGCCGTCCACGATCGCAGGCCACGTCTAACAGAGAGATCAGTAATGTCCAATAGCTGACGATCAGAAGACCTACTCCAGTTTGTCAACCTCTTCGCTTGGCAAGGATGCCGAATGATCCATCACTGGAAGTGAGAGATCGCGAACTATGTATATTCTCTGCAAAAGACCGTGAAGGAGCATGTAGTTACCCAGTGGCGTAGGGATGGGATCGAGAGGCGCTGTGCCGTCGGTATTTCTCAGCAGAAGCGACAGAGCATCTTGAAAGAAGAGCTGCTGCTTGTCCGTCTCACGTCGTGCAATCTGCCACTGGAAAGCTGTCGATGCCTTCCACTCTCCGGTCGAGCACGGCAACCGAAGGCCGACCTCGTTGCTGCGCAGAACCGGGTACACATTGTAAGCAATACTATGCGTGTGCATGAAAGAAAACGCGATGAGTTTCGCTCGTCGCACAGATTCCTGTCGGACCCAGGCATGCCACGCGCTTTGAGGACTGGTTGGGTCGGAAGGTAGCACTGGTTCATCCTCTTCGTGAAGTCCTACTTCACGGAGGACTTGGGCTAGAAGAGCTTGCAGGGCGAAAGCTTCTTGCATGAGGGATACTTTCGGTTCCCACGTAGCATAGCCCATGAGCGCTATCAAGGCGCGAACTGTCTCGATGGGCTCCCAAGACCCCCAATCACGCTCTTGTGTGGCCCTTGATTCCCGTCGTTGAGGTGAAAGTTTGTGTAGGTTGAGAAAGGAGCCAGTCTTGGGTCCAAACTTATCAGATTCATGGGCCAGTCTTTCCATGAGAATGGTCTTGCCGGCGTAGAATAGCCGTTCCGACATGCGGTGCTCGAAGCAGTACTGAGCCCCTACAGCTGCGAGACCCAGGATAAGTTCCAGCGAATGCTCAAATATGCGCCACGTTGGCGTGTGAAGGAAAGGCATGTGCGAGTGGAAACCTTCAAAGTAAGACGTCAAGTAGCGGGTGAGAGCATGACGAGACGGGAACTTGAAGTCTGGGTCGAGAATGTCGCGAAAGGTCTCAATGGAGGCATTGAGGCGAGAACGTTGATCATCCGAGACGCGGTACGGCTGAGAGTCTGTGTCGGTGGAACGAGGAACTGGCACAGGAAAGTTAAGCTGAGTTCAGTGAGCGGGCCGGCTCATAGAAGAAGACCTACTTGCATCGGGCAAATTCTCTGAGATGCGATTCCCGGTGGGCGCAGAAGGCAGCCAGGAACTGAAGGGAGTTCCGGGTCGAGTCCTACTGCGAGGCCCGGGCGTGGCTGTCCCCTCTCGTGAATCCCTCATGCCTGGGTCAACGACATCGTTGTCTCTGTCTGGACCGTGAAAGTAAGGACTCCATTCCGCAGGGAGTCCGACGCCATCGAGAAAATTGGCGAATTCCCTGAAGTGGGCGTCGAATCCGACAGCATCCTGATTGCCTGTCACTCTGCATCAGTCTCCAAATTCAAAGGCCCGACATGGTGCATATCTGCGACCAACCATTTTCGTAGAACTGATCTGTTATCAAAGTCTGCTGATATGACGCATCTACCAGACCACCATTCCGAGGAACGGCCATAGGATACAACTCGGCAGGCTGTGCTTGTGGTTGTTGTGACCAATGGTCAACGCTCATGCCAGAGAGAGAAACGGCGGCGGCCAGGTCTGCCTCAACCGGTCCATGGGGTGTGTGACCGGAGTCCGGCTCCGAAAGCCCCTCCGGAGACTCGGACCCGTCCTCATGAGAAGCGATCCGCTGATGGCGAGTCAACAGGTCACGCCTAGCGAAGGCCGCTCCACACCGGCATATGAAGGGCTTCTCCTTGGTGTCTGACACGCGAGTAGGTCAGCATAGAGGCTCTTGGCGGATCCCGAGCACTCGGTCGTGGAGAAGACTAGACGTGCTAGTCCACCTTAGGGGGTTAGGGGAGGCCATCGTGCTTGGAGAAGAACAGAGAGGATGGAGGAGATGGGATGACTGACGCGTCCGCACATGGCGCTCCAAGTGCTCGGTGCGTTTGAACGTTCGTCCACAGTGAGGGCACGAGCGAGCATCGGGGCCGTGACCGGTTCGTCTCCTTCGCTTGATTGGAGTCGAATGCGGTCTCGGATGTTGCTGCGATTGTGTTTGCAGCTGCGGCTGCGGTGGCGGCTGGGTTTGCGTGCCGGGACCGTTGTGGGACAGCATGCTTTCCTTCCTACACCACTACACCTTTCGACATAGAGTCTACGGTTGGAGGTGATGGGAAACGCAGGGGAAGTTGGAGAGAAGGTAAATTGGGGCATCCCCTTGGCTTATGTTGGAGAAGAATCGATTCCTTGTGGGTCCCAAGGACGACTCCAAGACGTCCATTATCTTTGGAGAACATGACTCGTATCCATCACACCCCACGCGGCCGCTATCTGAGTTCGGTGCCCCCTGGAGGGGTGTATCGTTGACGTATCCCCTGTGACTGTTGGATTTCTTGCTTTTTCTCCGAAGTCGTATCTTGCCTGCTTCCCCGCATTATCCACTCGGTATCTCGAAACGGGTCTCGTGGGCCGGCTCTGGTCGGGCGTGTTGGAGTAGTTGGGAAGTGATCACCACGTTGATGTCAACCTGCTGCTCGGAGCGGGCTTGAAGAACCCAAGCCCTGTCTGTCCTACATCACGTCGTCAACTGATCTGCTTCGTCTCCCCCTCAAAGCAATAGCAAGGGATCCTGGGCATAATCCCATTGTAACATGTTCAAGTTCCCTGGAGTCGCACTCATCACCGGTGCCGGTGGCACAGGTAAGTCAACGAAGTCGGTTTGTGGTTTCTCACTGACATTGTCAAGGCATCGGAGCAGCCGTTGCTAGAGGCTTTGCTCGGTCAGGCTGCTCAAGGATAGCCATCACGGACCTGAACCAGAAGTCTCTCGCAAGCACGCGGGATGCGATACTCGAGATCCACCCGAAAGCAGAGGTTTTCAGTCAGGAGGGCGATATCTCAGATGAGGGCTTCGTCAACTCACTCGTAGGAGATGTTGCGAGGAGGTTCTCTAGAGTTGACTATTCTGTGAGCTGTGCGGGTATTTTGGGAGCTTCGCTGCGATCTCATGAGACCACTACATCCGCTTTTGATCTCATCAACCAGGTCAACTACAAGGGCAGCTGGCTGGTTTCTCGAGCGGTCCTCGGTCACATGCTGAAACAAGACCTACTGAAGGAGCACCCTGAACAGAGGGGATCGATTGTGAATATCGCGAGTCAGCTTGGTGTTGTAGCTAGACCGAAAGCTGGTATGTTGGGAGTTGTTTGATCCCTTGCCATGCCCGTGCTTTCCTTCCCGTTGCTAACATTGGGTCCACAGCTCCGTATTGTGCGTCGAAAGCTGCCATCATCAACATGACGAAGTCTGATGCCATTGACTACTCGCAAGATGGCATTCGAGTCAATTGCGTTTGTCCAGGCGTGATAGCAACACCGATGACGACGGCAAATGAGGAACTTGTTGAGAGATTGAGGCCTGCCATTGACATCGCACCGATGAAGCGGATGGGAACGCCTGAAGAGGTAGCCAACGCCGTTTTGTTCTTATGTTCTAGTCAGGCATCATTCGTCCAGGGACACGCTCTGGTAGTCGACGGTGGTTACACTATCAATTAAGCTATGCTTATCTATGCAATGAATACGGACAAGGCCGTTATATTAGATAACGTGAAATCAATTCCCTCGGTTCGCCTGTGCCCGACATGAACGAGAAGCGACCTCGTCAGGGTGCTACTCGTTGCCGCTGAAGAGACAGAGTGAAGACAGCGCGGTATCCTGATGCTTAGGGTAGACTAAGACATGCCATTCATGACCACCATTTCTCATTTCTCGTGTTGATGTTTGAATGCCAAAGACATAGGTTTTGAGAAATCCCGAAAGGAATTGGCAAGACATTGAGGGACACTTGGTGTTACAATTGCCAGTTGTGCTCGGCATTGATCAATGTTCATCATTAGTTGATTATCTGAGCTCTCCTTTCCGGTATATCAGGCAGAGAGCTTTACCCGCTTGAGTGTTGGTGACTTTGTCCCGTTGACCTCGGTCATGGGTCTACCGTTCGCCTTGACGCTCGTTCCGTTCTTCGCAGATCCATGCGCTATCTGTGATGATTGCTCTCCCGCCTTGATGTCACGCCATTGGAAGTTGCTTTCCCACGCGTGACCGACATTCAAGACCTTCTTCTCTTGCCACAGACCCCCCACAATCTGCATGCCCACCGGAAGCATCACACCCTCGTCATCTGCGGCCGGAATGAAACCGACAGGAATAGACATAGCCGGATGCCCCGTCACGTTGAAAATCGCAGTATTGGTCGTTAGACCGATAGTGGGTTCAAAGGACCCCAGGACTGAGGCTCGTGAACCATGTCGTGGGGCTACGAAGGGGGTTGTAGGCATGATGATGGCGTCGTACTTCTCGAACGCCTGCTGGTAAGCATCGCTAATCTGCCGACCAATGTTGACAGTCTTGCTGTAGAGACCAGGGAACTTATCCGCCAAGTACAGGCCGTTGATGACTGTGTTCTTGGTGGACGGGAAGAGCTTCTGGAAGCTTGGATCGGTGAACGGAAGTCGTGCTTTTTCGAATTCTGTCAGGCCGAGACCCCTGTGGCCCGAGGAACGACCCAAGATGCCCGAGGAACCAGAGATACGTTGCTGAATAGTCCATATCGAAGGACCTTCGAGGTGAAGTGGCACCGAAACCTCTTCAATGGAAGCCCCAAGCGTCTCCAACTTCCGAGCGGCCGCCAGAACGTGATCCCTGACCCTGGGGTCAACTATTTCTTGATAAAATCCTTCCTTGAGAATGCCGATCTTCACTCCGTCGAGACGTCCCTGGCTTGAGCGAAGTGTTTTGGTGAAATTGTACGATCCGTGTGCCGCAGCGCCCAATGATTTATCGTCGATGCCGTCATAGCCTGCCAAAACATCTAGGCATCTAGCGGCCTCCATAACCGAGCGGCAAATGGGACCGGCGTGGTCGTCGATCGGATCGCCGCTCGTGAAGCCCGTGAAAGGGATTAGGCCATGAGTGGGCTTCACGCCGACACAACCACAGAATGCCGAAGGGACTCTGATGCTTCCGCCCTGATCAGTGCCTATGGCGATGTCGATCTTTCCAGACCCAACCAGAGCAGCACCACCGGAAGTGCTGCCTCCCGTAGAGTATCCTTCTTTATATGGGTTCTCGATAGTACCCTGGGCACTGGTGAACGACGCCGTAGAGTTGCAAAAATGCTCGCACGTTGCCGTGCCGAGGATATCTGCGCCGGCATCCAAAACTCGGGTCACTACTGTCGCGTCTGTAGAAGGAATCCACGGCTCAAAGGCATCGCTGCCGTAGAACTGCGGAACGCCAGCAACGGCTATGCAATCCTTTAAGCAGACAGTCATGCCCTTCAGAGACCCAGAAGATGGATCTTTCGCAGACTGATCGCCCCGTATGATAAATCGGTGGGCCCACGCATGACCGAACTCCTGCTCTTCAACCGTCGGAAGATGGATGTTCTCGCGGGGGTATTTCTTGGTATCTGGGACCGGTTGGTAATCAGGAAGACTGTCGATGCGGGTCGCGCAGTCGTGAACCGCGGCCAGTAGCCTTTGGTAGTCGGCCGACTCTTCGGGTTTGACAGTCAAACCGAGCGGTTGGAGGAGCTTCTCGACGTCGCCCTGCTGGACAGGGTTGTCACTAAACTGACGTGTTAGCTTCGTACTGTAGGAATCACGGGCTTAGGATGCGTACGATGAGATGTCCTTGAAGAACACGGACATTATGGGCAATTGATGGCACTTCTGCTACAATTGCCAGCAAGTGTCGTTTGTTGATTGCCGTCGAAGGGTATCAGCCGGCGGGTCATTCATAAGGGTTCGAGAATTGAAGCATTCTGGAGCCGCGAAGAAATGTCGGGGACATCTTCCGAGGAACGGTTGGTTGGACTGTGGCGAGACAGGTTACCGATGACAAACAGAATGAAGTCGACAATAGTGGGCGCGATGGGAAACTGACCCCGCCATCCACGACTCCAACGGTCGCGTCTTGGAGTTATGTTGGAGAAGGCGATAGGATTAATGGGGTATAATGGTAGTGAACTTGTGAAGCATGAGTCGGGGACGCCTGTTGACCCCAGCTCCACAATACGAAAGATGCCGATTGCGGGAGCGTTGTAATCGTAGTCGACTTCATGGATTTGGATTGAAGTTCAGAGGGAGGAGATAATATCGCGACGCCCGCAGGGTTCATGTCCATTTGAGATATCAGGAGCTGCCGTTTGGCCTCTTACTGAAGCCAGCTGCGCCCGGCTGGCGGCCAGTAGCAAAGCCACCAGCACTGAACAACTTTCACACTCAATTACGATGTCACGAGAGCAGGTCATGATTGAAATCGAGCAAAACGGCAAGGAACAGGGAGACTCTGTAAACGATGCATTGTTTGCAAAGCGCTGTTGAAAGTTCTGATGGAGTGTTCATTCTGTCACTTGCACAACTAGTCTACCCTTAAAAGCGCTGTCCTGATAAGCGTCCACAACGCCGGGAATGCCGTCAAAGGGCACCAGTGTTATGTGAGATCGAATCCCAGCTTTCTCAACCGTCTTCATCATCCGTTCAGTCGCCGCCCTACCTGCAACATAGCTTCCGCGTATGGTCAGCTCTTTGAAAACAATAACACTGGAATCAAATCTCCAATTCTCGGCGGGTAGACCGAGAACCCCCATGACACCGCCAATCCTTAGAATCGTCAGGGCCCAGTTGTTCGCTGCCAGAGAATCCGTGCAAACCACCGCAGCAGCAACCCCTTCCCCGTTTGTAAAGTTCAGAATTTGACTGGTGGCATCCTCCACGCTGGAGTCGACTACCAACGCTGGCTTCAGATTTTCGTTGGGCATCTCGACTGCCAGTTGCCTCCCAGCAGGTCGACTGTCGATAGCTATCGTGCGGAAGCCCATGGCACTTGCGAATTGTAGGCCGAGGTGGCCGAGACCGCCTATGCCGACGATGGCCACAGTCTCACCGGGATTCAACCCCGCCGTCGCTCTTTCTAACGAGCCCCAGACTGTCGCACCGGCGCACATCAGCGGTGCGGCTTGATCGAACGGTAGTGAGGGCGGCAACCGGACTGTCGTTTCTGGATCAATCGTGAGATACTCTGCGAAAGCTCCGTCGTGCTGAAAGCCGGCCGTTTCCCGCTTATCGCAAAACCTGGGATCCAATTCATTGCCGGTGCGTTTCGTCAAGCTGCAGCCACTGCACTCCCCGCAAGAGTTTTTGAAATTGAGGGCTCCAACTCTGTCGCCGACTTTCCAATCAGTGCTGCATCCGGCCCCAACTTGCACAATAACGCCGGCAGGTTCGTGTGATGGGATCATGCCCAGAGGAGACTTGAACTGTCCTTGCAGAACCTGCAAGTCGGAGTGACAGAAGCCGGCTGCATGAACTCTGATAAGAAGCTCATTTTCACGGATGGATGGGACGTCTTTCTCTACGAGCTCGTACGGCTTGCTGTACTGCGATCGATGACTTAGTTCATGCTAGGTTGAGACGACAGAAATGAGAAACTGACCTCTGCAATCTGCGCAGCCCTCATGCGGCGGGGAACGCTAAGACTCGCCATCTCTGAGAAGTTCTCTTGAACTGCAAAATGCGCTGAATATTGATTATGTTGTCGCAAGCTCTGCGGGATGTAACTAGCCCTCGACCGAATCCTGCGTTTGCACACGACAATTACGTTTCTTGTTTTACCCCGACGACGACAGCGACAGCGCTTGGTCTCTCCAACGAAGGGTTCAGTCTCCAACTTCTGGAATGACCCAATCGTCTCCAACATTGACGCTAGATACCTAATGTCCGCATTCTCAGCGCTGCCCCTCTTCTTTTCTCAGTCTCCAGTCTACCGTTGTTTGATCACTCCAAGATCCAATCCCCCAATCAGATTGACGGAGGTGTTAAGATGACATGCCTTCAGATACCGAGAGTCTACCCCGCGATAAGCCGCAGCCGTTCCATTGAATCAACTCTGTGAGATTTCACGGACTAATGGAGCTTACCAGATAGCATTTACCCCTCAATAGCTGGCCAAAGCGGCGGCAGGGCCTGCATCCCTTAAGATCAGATGTATGACTGCTCAATTAAACCTTTTCAACCAACATTTACGACCCCGCGCAAACCTTCTGACCCATTGACTGAACCCAGCAATTCAGCCCATCTTCCTCGAATTATCGCATCAGCAGTAGTACACCATGGTCAAGAAGCGCGTTCTCGTCAGTTATGGTGTCGATGTAGACGCAGTCGCGGGATGGCTCGGTTCCTACGGAGGAGAGGACTCTTCCAATGATATCAGCAGAGGTAAGCGATGTGTTCTGTGAAAATATCAAGTCACCGCGGAGCATGCGACTAACCGACGCTAGGATACTTCGCGGGTACAATCGGCGTCCAGCGAGTCCTGAAGTTTCTCGCCAAATATGATATCAAAGCCACTTGGTTTATTCCTGGGCACAGTCTTGAAACGTTTCCCGAAGATATGGCCGCCGTTCGAGATGCCGGGCACGAGATTGGCCTGCACGGCTATTCGCACGAAAACCCGACCGATATGACCATCGAGCAACAAAGGGAGATCCTCGACAAGACGTATCGGATGCTCACTGAGTTCGCGGGCAAGCCTCCGAGAGGCAGTGTTGCGCCATGGTGGGAGACGAGCAAAGAGGGCGCGCAGTTGCTCCTTGACTATGGAATCGAGTACGACCATAGCATGAGCCATCACGACTGCCAGCCGTACTACCTCAGAACCGGAGATTCATGGACCAAGATTGATTACAAGAAGAAGCCCAGTGAATGGATGAAACCATTGGTGAAGGGCCAGGAGACCGGGCTCGTCGAGATCCCGGCGAATTGGTATCTGGATGACCTACCGCCCATGATGTTCATCAAGGATGCGCCGAACAGCCACGGTTTCGTGAACGCCAGAGATGTCGAGGACATTTGGAGAGACCACTTTGACTACTTTTACCGCGAGTACGATGAGTTCATCTTCCCATTGACCATTCACCCGGACGTTTCTGGCCGACCTCATGCACTGTTGATGCACGAGAGGCTTATCGAGCACATGAAGAAGCACGAAGGCGTGGAATTCGTTACTATGGCTCAAATATGCGACGATTTCAAGGGAAAGACTGCGCCTGCAGAGGGAGCGGTCATGCCAGCGGAGCCAGGAGCCATTCTCAAGCAGTCTTAGTCGTAGTGAGGAAGATAGAAAAAAGCAAAACAAATAACCAAGTTCAAATAAGTTCACGAACTGAGATGTCTTACCCCACGGCATTATGTTTGACAATGTGGACGGCTCCAAACGACAACACCAAATAGCTACGCATACCAGCACTGAAAATCCCAACTGACAATAGCTCCCACACAGTTCAAATCTCCATTCTACATCAATCCATATCTCCAAGAAGTTCATCTACCCCGCGCTTATCGTCCATGACGTCCGACGATATCAGCAGAAGTGGATCTTTGGGGTAATTCCATTCTGGCCAGGGATGTGTTATGACTCCAACTCCAGTCATAAAGCGACTCCGACAAGTCTCAACATACTCCAACCTTATCACCTGGCCCTGCTCGGTCCACATCATGCTCCACAGATGGCTGTCTCCCCCCTGAACGCGCTTTTGACTTTGGCGGTCGCCAAGGGTAGGCGACCCACGATCTTGGAGCGGCATCTGAAGCTCGTCGCGGGGTTGGGTGGGCTTCCATGTCGATGGCTATCTTGTCGGGAACTCTTTGCCGCTACGAGATAAGCCACGCCGGGCTTTCTTGTCCTTCTCACTTGTCACAAGGCCCTATCGCCAAATGCTCCAAATCCAACGAAGCACTGACGTCCTATAAAAGATATTAAGGCGATGTCTGATACCCCTTGAGCATTTTTCTGGCAAAGCCTCAACGACTCATATCGATCGACATCGGACATTCGAATCAAACGCCGTCGACATGTCGCAAACAACGTCTGAAAAGACCGATACCATCACGCCGGCTCCAGCCCGCAGCAGTGAGAGCATCGATGCCGGCAAACTGGAGAACACCGAGGATGCCTACGAGGTTTTCAAGAGGGGCGAAGGGACGGTTGATTTCCGTACCGTCGGTTGGATTCACGCCTCAGTTATTTTCCTAAAGGGTAACGTCAACCAGTTCAGCATGCTCAAACGTGGCTAACACGTACCAGTCATTTTTGCAACAGGCGTGCTTACAATTCCGTCCGCAATGTTCGTTCTCGGAGCGCTTCCAGGTGCCATCAACGTTCTGGGCTGGCAGTTTCTGAACACTTATTGTGCCATAATCCAAGGCAACTTCCGCAACGCCCACGCCGGTTGCCATTCCATTGCTGACATGGCCAACGTCGTTGGTGGCACCTGGCTGAAGGAGGTCGTGGGGGTCTTGTTCCTCGTTACCTACGCCATTGTCGGCGCCTCGGGGATCTTTGGTACATCGGTCGCCTTCAATGCGCTCTCCAACCACGCTATTTGCACGAACTCATACATGTTGGTTGCGACCGCCTGCGTTTTCATTCTTGCAAGTGCTCGCAAGTTTGAAAAGATCGCCTGGTTGACTTGGGCTGGCTTTATCTCCGTCTATGTCGCTGTATTCATTGTCGTGTATGTTTATTTCTCCTTGCTCTGCAGAAACTTTTCACTGATCACATCCCTAGTGTTGGAGTGACGCAAGTCGATCGGCCTGCCGCTGCCCCCAAGACGGGTGACTTCGACCTCGGATACCACGTCATCGGAAACCCGAACTTTGTCACCGGTATCACTTCTGTTGCTACCATCTTTTGCTCCGGTGCGGGAACATCAGCTTTTCTTCCAGTTATCTCCGAGATGAAGAAGCCCAGAGACTACAACAAGGCCGTCTACTTATGCATGGGAATTGTCACCGCCTCCTACCTTACCTTTTCGCTTGTCGTCTACCGCTACTGCGGTCAATGGGTTGCCTCCCCATCTCTTGGAAGCGCTGGTGACACCATCAAGAAGGTATCCTACGGTATCGGTTTGATTGGTCTTATGGTCAGCGCTTGCCTCTACATTCACGTTGCTGCCAAATATCTCTTCGTTCGCCTTCTCCGCGACTCGGTCCACCTTCAGAAGAATTCGGTTGTCCATTGGTCGGTCTGGCTTGCTTGTACCCTTGGCATGTCAGTTGTCTCGTACCTTTTGGCGTCCGGCATCCCTATCTTCAACTATCTCCTCGCCTTGGCCGGAAGTTTGACATTCGCGCCGTTGGCTCTCGGCCTCCCAGGCTATCTTTGGGTTTATGATCACCAGCACTACCGCCAAGGAAGCTGGTGGAAGGTTATGGTCTACTGGCTCAACTGGCTCATGATTCTTTTGGCTGTGTTCTTGACCATTGGTGGTACATATGGCGTCGTCCAAAACATCATTGACGCCTACGCTAATGGTTTAATCGGAGGAGCGTTTTCTTGCGAGGACAACAGTGGCTCTTCATGATTAGCAAGGAACGAAGTGTTGTTGATCGGTTTAAGATGAAGAAAGTTGTAATTTATTGATGAAGTCCTTTTACATACCTAGTTTTTGTTGAGATCTCCAAAACTTTGCGTTTTGACTACGTGCATTATGTGTTTTGCTGTGGCGAGTTCGTTCCGGGAGGGAGCACAGCTGGTTGGCGTTGGTTTCGGTCAGAGAGCAGTCTTATCCGTGAGGCGGCTAGGCTCAAATTACAGCGCAATGCTATGAGGACAGAAGGGATGCCTTTCGGCCTTTCGGTCCTTAGGCAGCGGCCTACGAGGTGGCCGATAGAGCCACGCGACGCGTCACTGACCGTAGTCAAAGTCTTGCGAAAGATGATAGTGCGCCTGATTTTCTTTTTCACACTTGCGATTGGCGTTTAATTTTCACAACGCAGATTAAGAACCCACTGTGCGTGAAGCTCAACATGAGAGAACCAACATGTGAGAATCGCCCAAGGCGTATCACTCCACAAACCTGAAGCAGCGTGCATTCTAAAGGCTGGCGACAGTCACGATATCGTCAGAACATAGACTTGAAACGAAAACGACTTTGGGCAAGACGAAACTCATAAGTTACAAGAGTGAAGACACGTAACTCCCTTTCCGTGCTGATATCCCGTCCACAGGTACCAAAGCACCATGCAACCGGTCAAAGAAACAGAGCCATTCCTTGAGCGTTGCCCCCAACTCCAAGAGCCTTCAACTCGAAGTGTTGAACCTGCTGCTTGCTCATCGCATCAACCACCGTCACTGCCGCTTGTGTCGTGCCATTTCCAGGACTAAGAGCATAAATAAATCTGCCAGCAGCCTTCAAATCAACCAACCCCGGGTCACCATTGGAAGCCAGATCGATGGTGTTCTTGATACTGGCATCTACCAAAGACATCTCCACCAGCCTGTTCGAAGCAACATCTGTGACGAATGCGGAGTGCGTAGCCGGCGATATTGTAACCCAGCAAGTAGCTTTCTGTCCATCAATAGCGGCCTTGGCTTTAACCGTAGCGACCTTGGAATTGCTGTCGACCGATAGGACAGCAGCGCCGAAAGACGCGTCTGTCACGAAAACGTTGTCGGAATTCGGGATAGTTGAGGAACCAAAGAGAACAGCCGTGCCCTTGGGTGATGAGCGCACCGGTTGTTGGCTCACACGCGCGGTTCCAGACTGCCTAGCAACCGGATAGGCGGCGAAGAACCCAGTGTTGTTCTTTGTTGGATCTCCCTTCACAGTAGCGTATAGATCTCTCCCATCCGCGGAAAAGAAGACTTGCGACACAGTATTGGTAGGTCCAACCGGCGGGGTACTTTGGTTCAAGTCAATAGGACGAAGACCATCCATTGCACCTATACCGGACTCGGAGAACGGAGCGCACGCGATGCCTGCCTTCGCACCGGTTGTTGCGACGCAAACAAGTTTGTTTCCATCAGATGCAGCCACTGTGTTGGGGAATTCGCCAGGCACAACAGCGGGTTGGCCAACCATAGTGAGCTTTGTCGGGTCGGCAGCGTCAATTTTGAACATAGAAACAGTGTTGGAACCCGCGTTCACAGAAAACAAATGCTGCGTAAAGCAATCAGCAAAATTCATGACGTGGATGTTGGAACCGCTTACACTTCCCACCACCGTTAGAGCCGACTGAGATACCAACGCATCTGGAGCAGCCGGTTTATTCGTCATGCCGCTGATGGAGTTTGAACCAGCACCGCTGGATGACGTTACTGTCCCCGCGGCGAGGAGTCCGTCTGGGCCAATCGGCAAAGCAACAATAGAATTCATCTTGTCGTTTGTCAGAAGATAAGCTGCCCTCGCCTGGGACCATTTTCCGGAGCCACTGGAGGCTTTGCATGCAGTTGGCCTTGCTGAAGCTGTGGATACGTGTGACCATGCCAGCAAGAAAGAGGCAAGCATAACAGGGTCTGGATACATGATGAATGGTCGAGGTCAACAAGAAAGGTGAAAGGGAAATGGACAATGTGAAATGAGCTTAGCTTTTGATGTGGCTGACGAAATGAAGAGTAATCTGACTGGTAAAGAACAAATTTCAGATCAATATCATGGTGCACCACCCATATTTATGACATTTTACTGTAATTATTACATGTCTTCATCCTCAAATGTTGCAAAGAGTTTTGCAACGCTGAAAAGCTTGAACTTGACAAGTAATGTGTCGGTGCAGGCGAACTTCGTGTAATCGAAATTTCCTCTTTCAGACAAAAGGATTCCTCAGCGCCCCCAGCCGTGATCCTTCCTAGCGTATTGGTTGGCTTGTATTGCGAGATGGGGCTTCGACTCCGTCTGATCGTTCTGTCAGAGCTAACCGCAAAAGGAAATCCTGATATTCTCATCGTGCCAGATGAAACGGTGAAAGCTGCCTGATCTTCTGCCGAACTGCCGAACGCCACGCACTGACTCGAAACTGTGGTTGGCGAAGTAGCTTCCACCCCTTACACCTGGCATGGAATCAGCGAATCAGCCCTACCAGAGAGAAAAGACCTTATTTATCACCTTCCCCCATGTAACATACTTGGAATGGATAGTTTAGACAATGCCATATCTCGACAAGTAACATCATCCGGGCACACCACCGAACGCAGATGTCATCGTCATGAGCAGCAAAATATTCCGAATTTTCAACCCTGGAGGTACGGACCTAAGGCACAGCCATTCATACTGTGCACAAATTGGCCTGACACCATACTAACGCCTGAGAATACAGCCCCCAAGGAGGATCCTGTGCACAAACGAAGAGCACAATTACGACGAGCTCAGAGGTAAACCGTCCCAGACCTGCAGTGAACACGTTGATGCTTACAGAATAGATCTTATCGTGACCGGAAAGAACTCTACACAAAGTCGCTTGAAGAAGAAGTTGCACGGTCGAAAGCACGGGAGGCGGACCTCAACCGCCAGTGCAAGCAATATCGCGAGACAATCGAAGTACTCTCCCAACTTCTCTTTCAGCATGGGATCGAATCCACAGTCGACCTAGATGTCGAATGCTCTATCTTGAGGCATCGCGAGCCAAGACAACAGACGAATGTATTCCGCCATCCGTGGACCCCAGAAGACTCGGTCTCACCAGAGTCGTTCAACATCGGTCTGCAAGACGTCTTCGACACTATTACTTCCCCGGATGCAGCAGCGGAAGATCCTGCAGAATTTACCGACAAACCTCCCCCAGATTCAATGTCTTTGTCAGCTCGGCGGCCTGAACATTATGTGGCTTGGAAAGATTCCCACAACGAGATGGCCAAACCTGAGTCGCCAGCTGCCCTTAGAAATCGTCTATGCGATATCGATCAGGTTGTGGTAGGCATGGAATTTGTCTTGACGTGGGTCGTACAATGTGCAGAATTGAGTTGCTAAGAAGCTGACACAGATCGCACTTTTAGAATCGAAAGCCCTTGTCGTGGTCATCTACATGGCGATCCAGACCAGAGACACAAACCTACAGGACATGCGTTGACGACTTCTGCACAGCTCATCTCCATCACATCAGACATTGCACCATCGTCTACTGGTTCATGTATTCCATCATATGAAGGAGCGCCAACTGAGCTCCTGAATCGCTTGCTGGAACTTTCCTCGAATCTTTGCCCCGAGGACGAGATCACGCCAACTCAGGCTTGGAAATATCTTCGCAGTCAGCCTCAGTTTGGTGGTCTTGAAATGAGTAATTTTCATGCTCTCACCAGCAAGTTGCGTGAGGCGGTGAAGTGTCATGGGTGCGTCACTCTCCTACTAGACTTTATGCCTAACTGACATTAAGAATAGATTCGGGGCCGTTATGGATCGAGCGATGTTTGAAAGTCTTGTGTTCAGTACTTTGCTCATTGGGCGGAAGTTCTGAGAGTAACAAACCACCAGTTTTGGGCATATAGGATATACCTCGAGTAAGCTAAACGGAGTCGTTAAGGGATGAGAGATATCCGTTGCTAGCTTCGCATTTGAAAGACGCAAAATTTGAATGGGCTGAAGCAAAGGAGTATTGTGATAGGGGCTTCAACGGCGCAGAGATCCAACAGAGGCATCTATCGGGCAAAACATCCAGCCAGTTGCACCACTAGGCGTAAGAGTAGTAGCAGACAATGTCACGACGGGGCATTTCACGACAGGTTGTTCTAGTCACAAAACAATAGCAACCTTACATTTACTGAAGAGGAAACAGGGTCAAAGCCCTGTATAGTAATGAATTCGGTATCGGAGACTCACAACACAAGTTATGAAATTCTTCCCGGATCTGGGAATGCTATCCGTCGTGGGGCCGTCCGAAGCACCACGACACCGCCGTTGAATGTCGGTCGCCGTGCCGTATACCGATCGATATGAATTTACCCAATCAGCTATCACATCGATGGGCGATAGAGCCAAATCCCCTTGTAAAACGGGTCAGAATCATGAAGAAGTTTACCAACAGTATCCGCACTGGTTCTGTGAAAGATTGACCTCATTTTCAACGCCATAGCCCTTATCCACATGAATCAATCATGGCAGATTCCCAATGATACGAGCGGAGTGTCACCTCGAAAGTCTTCCACTGATTTTTGAAGTCGGAGATGGTTCTGTTTTGGCTCGCATTCACGCACAAGCTCACAAGGCGAAGGTGTAAATCCCGAGTCAAACTCGAATAAATTCCTATCACATTTTGGTCCCGACCCCCATCCTCTCACCGAGACCACAGCCGCTGTGTCCGTGTGTGTCATCAGGAGACATAGGTATCATAACCACATCAATAACCATACCTTGGTGTACTGTCAAATACGACCCCCGAAACGATTACTTCAAACCAGCTGCGTGATGCCGCGAAGGGGCACTCCACCCCTCGGCAACTGATCTGCCATTTCGCTCTCAATTCGGCCTCGGCGTTCTTTCTCGACTTGTCCAGTGTTATCATGGAAAACGTGATCCATCTGTTCAAGTGTGCGCCCATTCACTTCTGGTACTACAAAAAAGACCCATGCCACGGCGAAAATACAAAATACACAAAAGAATACGTAAGTACCGAATCCCGTGTTCTGAATGAGAGGTGGGGTGATCAGGCCGATAATGAAATTGTTGAGCCAGTTGGACATCGTCGTATATGCCATACCTTTGGCACGGAGAGACGAAGGGAAGATCTCGGCAGGCATGGCCCAAGGAATGGGCCCCCAAGTAGCGCCGAACTGTTCATGATCAGTCCCTAGTAATCAGAAGAACTCAAGGGTCATCCGAAAAAACGTACCGTCAACATGACTAGATGGCCAAAGTATCAGCTTCCAACCGCAATATAAATTGAACTGATTTACTCACAGAACAGCAAAAATGCCACTGAAGTCCAAGCTTCGGCTTGACGTGTGGCCCATTCGTTTCTAAACTTGCCCACAAGAACCGCAATAATAAAATGAGAGATGACCATGCAGATGCCTCCTGCTAACAATAAGGGACGTCGACCAAAGCGATCCATAGCCCAGAGTGAGAAGAAGCAGGCTACCACTTGGCAGATGTTCATAACGCCGGACATATCAAGTCTCATCTCGTAATTGAGCCCCATAGTGCCAAAGAGGGTCGGAGAATAGTAGATCAGGGCATTGATGCCAACAAACTCTGCGTGACACGGGTACGTCAGCCGTTATGATGCACAAAAGAAGAGAATTGGTACATACGCTGAAAGAACATAAGGCCGATGCCCACGTGAGTTCTTTTCCAAGCACCAGGACGAAAGCAGTCTAGGTAGCCTACAATGTTAAGCTTCATGCGGCTTGTAAGACTCGGGTCTTGTAGCGAGGGGTGTCGCTCTGCAAGTTGTTCCTTGCAAAAAGCAACTTCTGACCGAATCTCCAGCCACTCGCAGAGAACACGTCGATCGGTAGCAGGAAGCTGTCGGAGCTTGCATAGAACTTTCAAAGCTTCATCGTCCCGTCCCCTGGATGCAAGCCAACGGGGGGAATACGGAAGAAAGGGCACACCGGCGCCTAAAATTAGAGCGGGTGCCATCTACATGTTGTTTCTATTAGTTCGGCGCTCTCTGATAACCACTGGCTGAGATCCAATATCATACCTGAACGAGAAATGGAAGCCGCCAAGACCACTCGCTTTGTATGTGTCTCGTTCCGTACGTCGTGTAAAAGGCAGCGACAATGGCCGTGACGATAGAGAGCTCTTGCAGCACGAGTAGAGTGCCACGGATCTCAGGAGGAGCAATCTCCGAGATGTATAATGGAGCCACCATAGCCATCATACCCACTCCGATTCCGCCAACAAATCGACCGGCAGCCAACATATTGTAGTTCATGGACCCAGTCTGAATCGCAGACCCCACTAAGAAGATTCCAACTGCAACCATGATAGACCATCTGCGAGATATCTTATCCGCAATCCAACCCTGGTTCATAGCACCAAGAAAAGCCCCAAGCTCAATCATAGCTGTGAGAAGGCCTTTCTTGAACCCGGCTCCGGCTGCCCCGTCGGCAACTTCAGGGAATCGATGAAGGAACTGGTCCATAACGAGAGTAACGGACACAACTGTGGACATTAATGTCAGCGAAAAAGACTCAAACCATGCACACTGGCCTCTGTTCCGAACGTACCCCCTTGGTCAAATCCGAACATTGCACCGCCCAAGGTCGAGAACGCGGCGCAGATGGTGACATACTTATTTGAAAAAATGCCCTTGAAACCTATAAGAGTCAGCATCAGGACCACACGGGATAGACATCCCTATAAGAGGAGACAGGTGGCTTTAAGAAAGTTGTCTCTCTCTACAAGGAAATCAGGTGTGCCAGACCTGCTGGCCCATATGTTTCTCGCTCTTCCCAAACGGGTCTCTCGCTGTAGGTGATGTGCTTGTTCTCGACGGCTGTGGGTACCGGTGGACTAGATTCTATGTGCTCTGCCTCATGGTGGTAGTTGATTTCAGGTTCTAAGGATGACTCGGTCGCTTTCGAAGCCATGGCGGGTTTTTCTGCTAGACGATTTGAACGAAGTTTGTAATATTTGCGCCAGTCCCGAATCAATGGATGAACTATGTTCTATTTATATTAAACCGCAGAGTGGATTTGCGGGGGAATGCGGGGTGAACACCTGGGATGCAATCATCCGTCCAACACTTATTTACTGGATACGAGGACTCTCTTACATTGGATATCAAGTCTACCAGTATCAACAAGTTATCAAACCGGAATGAAAGCAGTGACAGCCGAGGTCAGATAAAAAGTGTTCAATTCACATTTCTTCTTTCGCGTTCGCAGAACAGTAGATCGTGTTCTTAGTACGCGTGCAAAATTGATATGTAGATGCCATTAGCAAAAGTTTTGAAACTCACGGAGCATAATCCCGAGAACCACGAAAAGCCACGAGAGGCCGTTCACTAATGACATGTGGGCACAAATACGTTAGGCTAATCTATGTATGTTCCGAAAGGTCAAAGTTAACCACGGCCCTTCGAATCCCGAACAGATTGGAGAGTGGCATCACGTCCAATTGGTTCGGAGATGAGCCAAACTTCTCAAGCAAGTCAACGACAGACTCATATTAAATTGATCCTTATTGATCTGTTGTTGAGTTCACAATGCCGCGACATAAGTCTGCTTCCATATAAAGCTCTAGTAGATGTATTTACGGATGTATGCTACACGCTTGCGTTGGACACAAGATGCACAACAGGTGCCAGAATACAATCCCATATGCGTTGCGTCAATGTGACGTGCGGGGAGGCCTTTTGCAAATCCAACAATAGGGACCGTTGGATCGGTACGATCACCAGTCGTCGCATTGGAGGCTCGGTCGTCATAATCTTTCTCCAGTGTGGATAGCGTGTACACAGGTCCAGCGTCATAATTGCCGCCACATAACCTTTTGTTGGCAACACTGACTGTTCACTTGCGTATGAGAGTCACTCACCCTGGCGAGATGCTGTTCACCCGTATTCCAACTGCCGCAAGTTCTACCCCGAGAGCCTTCGCATGTGCCACCACTGCCTTTTTACTGCAACAGTAATCACTTGTGGTCTGGCCCTTGCTGGCGACGTGGGCTGCGATGGAAGGGATCATGAAGATGGAACCTCCACGGGTATTGGAAACTAGCGATCCTCTACTTCAACATCTGCGCTGCCGCCAACTGAATGGCATAGTATACACCAAGAACATTGGTGTTCATACATCTGGCCACCGAGTCGGGGCTTCGCAGAAGAAACGGCTCATCAGGATAGATGCCCGCTACGGTAACGCCGAGAACGTAAGTTGAGTACAAGGAACGATTTATAAAGTGAAATGGTGGTCTATAGTGCGTCAATGCGCCAAAAGTAGTTGACAATATCCTCGAAAGTGGCCCTAAGAGATTCGAACTCGGTGACATCACTCCTTTGGAGCTAATCAGCTTGATGTCCGTGTGAGAACGTACTTGGGAGACCAATATCGGGGCCCTGCCTGTAATATTTGCCTCTCACGTCGTGATCATTCACGATACGGAAAAAGGACCCATGGGGTTCCTGCACGAGTTGCGTCAAGAACTGCGGCATCTCCCCCCACCTCAGCGATAGCCAGGGCAAATGCAAGACCAAATCCCCGGGCTCCACCTGTGATGACTACAGTCCGCCCTTTGAGAGACAACAAGTCATGGACAGATTAGTTAAAGTAGAGTTTAAGGTCAGGTCTGCTTTGAGGGGCGTTGCTGAAGTTGGACGCTATGTTGTCGCACTCTCTGGAAAAGGGGAGATAAGCTGGTTTGTAAAATTAAGTAGTGATAAACCATAGAAGACAGAGATGAGGCGAGATAGCAGAACAGAAAATGAGATTCAGAGGCAATGGCGATGTGATCGTAATTCGGCTTCCCCATTGCTGCTTTGATACAGCCTGAACAACATATGGCGTTCTCATTGAGTCTATTTCGACAGCGGGCCTTAATCCCGTGCCGTGGGCTTATGAGGCGGCATTGTTCGGGTGACATTCCGACTTCAGATAGGCTTAACGATGGTTTTCAGCTGCGATCATGTTATGCAAGCATAATGAAGGATGATCTGCGCAAGACCGGACCCCAAGTTCCGACTGGTCCATGCCGGATTTGGAACCCGAAAGCGACCCACCAGACGGATGGACGAGCATTCGCCGGATGTTTGTGCCACTTGAATCGGAAACTACTGACCGGAGGCATCAAGAGTCACAATCCTCATGGAAATTCATAGCTTATGTCATATGGAGATTCACATTTGGTTGACGACATATTAGCTGTATAATGAGTGCTTCAATTCCTTTTGGATGAAAGGTTTGTGGCTATTTAGCGACATTGTGCTGCTTTGCTTCAGAAATCCTCGATACAACTGTTCATACAAGCCAGATAACAATGGCTCCGTCCCAGAATCCAGTTCCCGGGCCGTCCGGCCACACCGTCGCCGTACAATCTCTCACCGCGTTGACGAATGGTGGTGCACCAAACTTTGTGCCGCCGAAAACCACCGTGGCCACTGAGAACGGAATCAGCAGCTCTGAGATTAAGGGTTGGAGAGAAACTCTCAATGACGACGATTTTGCGGTATTGGCGTTGCGTAACCTGATTTTTGACATCTGCAACCAAAACGGTGGAGGTCACGGTGGCTCTGCAATTGGCATGGCCGCCATTGGTGTTGCCCTCTACAAGCACATCATGCGTTACAACCCCAACAACGCTGAGTGGTTTGATAGAGACAGATTCGTGCTTTCCAATGGTGAGATACCAAAATTAGCGCTACCCGATGATCACATCCCACTGATTGAACTTTCAAGGCCACGCCGCAATGTTCCTGTACGCTCTAAACCACCTGGTCGGATACGAGAACTTTTCAATGGACGAGATCAAAGGATATGGAAGTGCCAAGATCAACGGATACACAACGATATGTCACGGCCATCCTGAGATCGAAGTTCCTGGAGTTGAGGTAACCACAGGTCCATTGGGACAAGGCATTGCGAATGCTGTAGGCCTGGCGATAGCTTCCAAGCATCTTGCGGCGCGCTACAACCGACCGGGCTTCGAGGTTGTACAGTCACGAATGTACTGCATGACTGGCGATGGATGCCTTATGGAGGGCGTTGCACTTGAAGCCATATCTCTTGCCGGTAGCCTCCAACTCGACAATTTGGTAGTCCTGTACGACAACAACCAAGTCACTTGTGATGGACCACTCGACTGGATTAACACAGAAGACGTCAACTCTAAGATGCGTGCTTCGGGTTGGCACGTCCTCGAGATTACCAACGGCAACCACGATGTGGATGCGGTAGTCTCAGCCCTTCAATACTCCAAGTCGCTCAAGGGAAAGCCGGTGTTCATCAACATCCGAACAGTGATAGGGCTGGGAACCAGAGTTGCTGGAACCTTCAAAGCCCATCATGGCGCGTTCGACTCCGACAGTGTGGCGATATCAAAGCGCTTGGCCGGACAGGACCCAGCCGTGACACATAAAGTGCCGTCATCATCTTTGGAGTATTTCCGCGAGCGCAAGTCACATGGAGAATACCTTGAGGCAGAGTGGAATGCTCTTCTGCAGAGGTACCAGGTGGCCTATGCTGATTTGGCCTCTGAGTTTCATAAGGCCAGACATGGCGAACGCGGATCTCAAGGGCTCGAAATTCTCAAACAAGCTGAGTCCAATCAGTTTCAGAGCATGGCCACGCGTGAAGTCAACGGAGCTCTGATGGAGAAGCTTTGGAAGGCCTGCCCTACAATGTTTGGAGGAGGCGCAGACCTTGTCAATTCGAACAAGGTCCCTTATCTGGAGTCAGACGTGTGCCACCCGTCTGTCAGCTATGCCGGCCGATACATTCGATATGGCATTCGAGAACATGCAATGGCCGCGATCTCCAATGGACTAGCTGCTTATGGACCTGGAACCTTTCTGCCTGTCACGGCAACGTTTTTCATGTTTTACCTATATGTAAGCTGGTCCTGTCAAATGATGCGCGAAAAGTTTTCTCTGACCGGTCAATAGGCTGCACCTGGTGTTCGTATGGGAGCTCTGAGCCACTTGCCGGTGATCCACATTGCAACTCATGATTCATTTGCTGAGGGGCAAAACGGCCCAACGCATCAGCCGGTCGAAATCGACTCCCTCTATCGCGCCATGCCGAACTTGACCTACATCAGACCATGTGACGCGGAAGAGACCATCGGAGCCTGGATGCTCGCACTGGAAAACCGCCATGGACCAACGATGCTGTCTCTTGGAAGAGACCCTACTGGACCAGTTCCCTCGACTGATCGATTCAAGGTTGCCAAGGGCGCATACGTGGTCAAGGAGACACAGCAAGCAGAGCTCACACTCGTCAGTTGCGGCACAAACCTTCATCATGCGGTGGCAGCGGCAGAATCTTTGTCCAGTTCAGGAGTTCCAACTAGGGTAGTCAGCTGCCCGAGCTTCAGCCACTTCGATCAACAATCGAAGGCGTATCAAGACAGCGTGTTCCCGAAAGACGGCACCCCAATTGTTAGTGTGGAGGAGTATGTTGCCACAACATGGGCAAGATACGCTACGGCAAGCATTGGAATGACTACATATGGATACTCCGCGTCCAGTTCAAGCAACTACGATCGTTTTGGATTGGACGCGAAAGGCATTGAGAAGCGAGTCAGAGAGTATTTGAATGATTTATCCGGAGGAAACGCTAGATCAGCTGGTTGGAGACAGATTTAGATTGTGGAAGAAATTGACTGATTTGACTGGTTAAATCTTCAATTGCAAGACGTAGACTTGTGCGTGTATCACCAGCATAATGTAAGTCAATGTTAAGTTATGAGAACGGCTGTGAAGTGAACTTGAAAGAGCATATTCTTCGCAGGTCTCATACGACATGCTGACTGAGGCGCTTTGCTTGAAGAACACAGGCTATCATTCAAACTTGGCCCGAAGAAATCACAAATGCCGCCGAAAGTTAAAAATACAAATCACATGGGATACCAAAACTGGGACCAGCAACATTTGTGACATGAGGAAACAAAAGCATACGTGAACCGGTAATTACCGTGCCGACCGAGGAGCTTGAATACGGGTTGTTGAGAGCACAGCAAAGCATTACGATGACTTCCGTCTGCTAGCGGAGCTTTTCCGTATACAACGACTTTTCCCGAGATGGATTCTCGGGAGCGCGCGTGCACTGTCGGAGAGAGCTCCGGAGGCACCGTGGGGTTTGTGGGGCCCCGCAAAATGCCCCGGAGCCTACTCCGCAGAATAACAAGAGTCCCGTCGGAATGCGAATCCCGAGTACTTTAGTCACTCATGCCTCGGAAGCCTAGGCCTAAAAGTCCGTCATCGTCGTTCGGTCGGTAACTAAAGCGCGATGGAACTTGCCACAGTCACACGGGAAAAGGTGAATTCAGAGGCATGCGACGTTCATTTTCCGGCCTGCATGCTTGCGCCAGGCTTGCTAGATTTCAATTGTGCTTCTGATATTTTGCCCCCTTTCAACATAGAACCAACACGTAGAAATACGCCCGAGAAAGATTCAAGGCTTAAAGGTTGCCTTAGATATCGTGTATTTGTTAGAAGGTGTCACGGTTATCCAACGTCGTCAGACCCTTTTTGAATTTGTGACGAGCAACATTTCAATCACGGCCGACATGTCTCAGTACGCAAAAGAGCTCAATGCTATCATCATTGGCGCCGGCCCGGCTGGTATTGCCATGGCATACCGACTGAAGCATGAATTGAAATTCGAAGACTTCACCATGTACGACAAGCTGGACGGTGTTGGTGGAACTTGGAGATCGAACACCTATCCTGGATGGCAAGTTTTCCATCTGATACGGTTGAACCAATGCTAACGTGGTTTCTCAGCGGATGCGACCTCAAGTCACAACTGTATTCATTCAGTTTCAATTTGAACCCCAATTGGTCCAAAGAGCTTTGCGAGCAACCTGAGATCCTCCAGTGTAGGTGATACACAAACGAACCAACTGATTTGTTCTCTCTATTGACATCGTGCAGATATGGAAGATACATGCACCAAGTTCGACCTACACAAACATGTGCACACCTCGGTTGAATGCATGGGAGCGAAATGGCACAATGAGATATCCAAGTGGGAAGTCAACCTCAAGGACCTCAAGACCGGCATCGAGTACTCTCGATACGCCTCTGTGTTGGTTTCTGCCGTCGGTGCCATTTCTTTTCCCCGAGACGTGAAGTTCCCGGGTATGGAGAAATTCCAGGGTGCTATGTTTCACACAGCTAGATGGGATCACAGCGTTGACTACACGAACAAGAGAATCGCTGTCATTGGAAACGGCTGCAGTGCTGCGCAAGTCGTCCCAGCAGTTGCCAAGCACGCGGCCTTTGTCAAGCAGTATGCCCGAAGCGGACAATGGTTTCACGCCCGACCGAATCGCGAGTACAGCGAGACCGAAAAATTCATGTTTCGATGGATCCCTCTGTTGATGCGATGGCTCAGGCTTCAGATCTTCATGGATGCGGATGAGGAGTCAGCAACCTACTTCGGCACTCCCAAGGGATTAAAGGCTCGTGCTGAGACGGAAGCAGAGTCGAAGAAGTACATTCGTTCCATTGCACCCCAGAAGTACTGGGATCACATCATTCCAAACTTCCCTTTGGGGTGCAAGCGTCGAATCTTCGACCCGGGCTATCTCGAAAGTCTCAACCTTCCGAATGTCGAGCTTCTCCCCGAAGGCATCCAAGAGATTACAGAGACGGGCATTATCAGCTCTTCCGGTGCACAGGACGACTTCGACATTATCGTCTTGGCAACAGGCTTCCAGGTCTCCCAGTTCTTGACCCCTATGCATATTATCGGTGCTACGGGTGTCTCCTTGCACGACCAATGGAAAGCTTGCCGGGGTGCGCAGGCCTACCTCGGAACACACGTGCACAATTTTCCCAACCTTGCCATCTTGTTTGGCCCGAACACATTTCCTGCCAACAACTCGGCTCTTTTTGCGTGCGAAACTCAGGTCGACTATACGGTCAAGTCGTTGTTCAAGCCCCTCATAGATCGAAAGGCAGCGGTGATCGAAGTCAAGCAGGCGGCCGAAGACCGTGAGACGAACGCGATCCACAAGTCTCTGCGTGATACTGTGTTCGCTGGAGACTGCTCCAACTGGTACATTGGAGATTTCGGCAGAAATGCTGCGTCTTGGCCCGGTCTTGCCAGATCGTTTTGGTTCAAGACCTACTTCCCCGACTGGTCTGCGTTCAACATGACTGGCGGAAGCGCTATCTGGCCCTTGTTCACAGTCCGTCGCTGGTTGACTACAATGTCATCGGCAACAACAGCATTTCTATTGTTGGGGGTCGCGGCGGCTATTGGACGGTATCGTGGAATGGTGGATCTGGCTACTGTTGCACTTGGCATTCGGCAGCTGTTTCAGTCGGGTCTCTCAGGCGCTTCAAAGCTCACCAAGTAAGGAGAACTGGTCACCGAGTCAGATAGATAGAATGTATTGAGAATATTGTCAACCATAAATGAACACGTCCCAAGTAAATGGAAGATTCAAAAACCGGTGACTGTCTCCCCCGTGAAACAGTTAAATGTGCGGAAGAAAGGTTTTAGGAATGAAATCACCGTGAATTGAGTTCTCACAGGCTTCATACGAAGACTTCACAAAAGGACAGCAGACGGGTCGTCACCGGTCACGACATTAAGTCTTGACTGCATAAGTCGGCATCATATCATCAACTTGGGCTAGATTGAAAATTCCAATCAGTTCACAAAAGTCTCCGGATCGCTTGTTGGTCTTTTGGCGGGCCATCCGAGCAAATTGCACGCCAACTGGATGTGCGCAGTGGTGCTCATAACGGGTGGACGACTTGCCGGAATTGTCCCGCCGAATGATGACGAACAAGCTAGGCATCTAGACGGTTCGCGCGGGGTCGGAGTTATCTCCCGATAGCCGTAGGGAGCGCGGTGGAAAACGAGGGGCCGCCAACGGAAGTCGAGGCGGAAGAGGTTGCGGACTGCGGAATTCAATGCTGGTGATCGATTGTGTTAGCTGATTCAAGGCCAAGTTCCGGGCCCTTTTCTCCTACTGATAAGTCTTATATGATTGTATGAATTCTTTTTGCCGCATTGATATCATTGCGAATGCAAGATACTTACCGTGATCAATCCCTTGGTACCCAAGAGAAATTTACTGCCGACTGTTCAAAGACCAAATTCAATTCCCAAAAAAACGCTCTCGACTATGACTTCGTTCTCCGAAAAGCAAGATCTTGCTGATGTGGCTTATCACACAACCGCACTAGCCAAGGTATATTGCTGTCTCAACCCCTCTCGCTTTGAACGGTTGTTCAGTACGGCGTACTAACGATCTGCTTAATTACGCAGCTTAATGAAAAGAGTCTCTTCATAGAGAAAGCGTTCATTGAGGGGCAGTGGGTATCCAGGGAGAGAAAGTTTGACGTGTTTGGTGAGACTCACATGTACAAAACGCGTCGCAAATTTCAGCTAAACAAACCTACAGAACCAGCAACTGGAACGAAGCTGGGACAGGTCGCGGACTGTGACGTTGAGGACTTCAAGAAAGCCATCATCAGCGCCGAAAAGGCGCAAGTCGACTTCTTCAGCAACACCACGGGCACCTCGCGAGGGGCTTTGCTCAGAAAGTGGTATGATCTCATTCTTGCTAACCAGCAGGACAGTGAGTACGCTTCCTTGATAGTCAACATCGTCTACTAACCAGAAACAGTCGCGACTATTCTTAGTCTTGAGAATGGAAAGACATTTGCTGAAGCCAAGGGCGAAGTGGTGTATGCTGCTAACTTCATTTCTTGGTTTGCCGAAGAGGCCACCCGGGCGTATGGCGTCACGATTCCGTCTTCTAGCCCGCACACGACATTGCTTACCATTCGCGAACCGGTGGGCGTATGTGGGATTATTACGCCTTGGAACTTCCCAGCAGCTATGATTACCCGAAAGGTTGGGCCAGCTATTGCGGCTGGCTGCTCGGTCGTTATCAAGCCGCCCAGTGAGACCCCATACACCTGTCTCGCCTTAACAAAGCTAGCAATTGAGGCGGGCTTGCCTCCCACTCTTATTCAAGTCTGTCCTACGAAGAATCGTCAAGCGGCAACTGAGCTTGCCACTAACCCCGCGGTCCGCAAAATCAGCTTCACTGGATCTACTGGAGTGGGCAAAATGCTTGCGAAACTTGCGGCTGGGACTTTGAAACGGGTCAGTCTGGAACTTGGGGGAAACGCACCGTTCATTGTATTTGATGATGCCGACCTGGACCTCGCGGTAGAAGGCGCAATGTTCTGCAAATTTCGATGCTCGGGGCAGACCTGTGTGTGGTAAGTCAACTTTGCAACCTCGAAATTTCTGAAATACTATGATGTTTCAGAGGTGCTGATATCGGATGCTTAGTGCGAACAGGCTCTACGTCCAAAAGGGCGTGGCCAAGGAATTTACTGCCAGGCTTGTGAAGAAGGTAGCCGAGCTCAAGATGGGCCCTGGTCTTGCTTCATCAACGACACAGGGTCCGCTGGTCAACAAAGCTGCAGTCGAGAAAGTGAAGGAGCACGTCGCGGATGCGACGTCAAAAGGCGCCAAGGTTGAGATAGGGGGGCAGACGGCAGAGTCATCTGGCTTTTTCTTCCGGCCAACCGTCCTATCGGGAGCTACTCCAGACATGGTCGTGAGCAACGACGAGACATTCGGACCTCTTGCGCCAGTATTCGAGTTCGATACTGAGAAAGATGCACTGCGATTGGCAAACAACACCGAGTTTGGGCTTGCGGGATACTTCTTCTCAAAGGATATCAGCCGTGCGATGCGCATGGCCCAACAGCTTCAAGTTGGCATGGTTGGAGTCAACACAGGCAAAATAAGCGCTCCCGAAGCGCCATTTGGGGGAATCAAGGAGAGCGGGTACGGTCACGAGGGAAGTCTTTATGGTCTTGAGGAGTATCAGAACATTAAGAGCATCACCATCGGTAACCAGGATGCGGGGGCAGCTTGAATGGAACATAGAAATAACGGCTCACAATGGAAAGCTATCCCTCGTCTTTTATCAGTCTAGCTGTAGGAGCCAACATTTTGTTATATTTAAACCTTGTTTCCCTCGCCTTGATCAATGACTGCTGCAAGGAGACACATTTCACGAAGCTAGTAGGCTGTGTCAAGGCTCTTAGTATTGAATTGTTAACGCTGCCAATTCATCAGCGACATAAGGAGAACCCCAGCACAAACCTCAAAATAGCAACATTCGAAATGCCATGACAGAGCCATCCCACCCACACCCGTGTATGTTCTGTGGGGTTCCCCGCCTGTGGAGCTACGGGGGTTGAATTCCGAACCTTGAACCCCTGTCCAGCGCGGGGAAACGCTCTCTCAACTGAAGTCCAGTGTTTGTAGTCACAAACCCTTTCTCCGCAAACGGCATCACGATCCGCAGGGCAACTACGAGGATATCTACATGCTCAAGGTCGAAGAAGATCCGCACAGCGCTGTATTGTACTGCCATGGCCCCAAACTCTCAGTCAACGCAGAAGAGGAAACACGTTACAACGGCTTGTGTGCCATGTCGTGAGAGTAAAGTCAAGGTAAGACACGGACGTGCGTGGATACATTAACGAAAGCACTGACAATTGGAGTATTATTCCGTTGGCGATGTCTGCTAACCTTTGTTGCAGTGTGATGGCCAGACTCCAAGTTGTTCGAACTGCAAACGGAAGGGGAAGATTTGTCAGTTCCAGGCAAACGAGGACAAGCGAAAGTGAGTCTCAACTAGCTTGAGGATTGAGAATTAAAACCTGACACAATTCAGACTTTCCTTACGAGTTGCTATTGAACTTCTCTGCGCCCGGGTTGATCAGTTGAGCCAGTTCATGCGGCTGAAAGATCTGGAGCCGCCAACGATGAAGGAAGATGACGAAATCATCTTGTTGCGGGTATTGAAGAATGTCGGCTTGATTCACGCCTATCACGGTACTCTAAATGCGGGACCATCGGCGTCAACAACAAGTCAAGTGTGTAGCTCATCTCCCTCTACTGAGGGAGTGGCAAGCGCTCGGGTTTGCACCAACAATCTGATCCAAACGCAATTGAAGGACGTCGACAATGGTATGATAGGAATTGGTACACCACCATCGACGGATGCCACAAACCAGATATCAAATCTGCCCGAAACGCAAGATAATATTCAAGCTCTCGAAATGCTTGATTGGGACTGGCATGATCCAGACGATCTCATCAACATAGTTAACGCCGGGAATTTACCAGAAATTCCAAACAGAGACAGCAGCCGGCACCCTCCGATTACAACCCTTGCAGAAGACGTCAACTCAGCCGGAGGCGAGACACACTCTATACCTGGTGAAGAGGAAAGAAGTGATGTCGAAAGCACGGAAGAGCTCGTTGATCGTTTGTCAGATCGAGTCGGATCCCTTCAAATCGGAACTGACGGCCAAATTCGTTATTATGGCCCCACATCCAACTTCAATCTGGTACAAATGCCGACGCCTGACAACATGACGGTTCATCGAACCGTTCGAAACGACGGGCAAGAATATCTCGATCGCCTAGACATAGGCAAAGAAGTACCCGCAGAAATCGAGGAGCACCTTGTAAAGCTCTACTTTACTTGGCAGGATCCAGCCTCGCATGTGGTACAGCGGAACATGTACGAGAGCGCAAAGTTGCGATGGCAAGAGGGAACAGACACTCCATACTACTCTGAAGCCCTTCGAAATGCGATGTGGGTGAGACTGAAGAGGTGCCCATGTAGAGGCAATGTGTGGGCCATTCGTGCTGATTTGTTTTAGCTGTGCTCTGGGGGCTGCATTCGAAGCTCGTCATCACCCCACTTTCGTCACGTTCCCAAAGTCCCTTGCCGACTTCTTCGCGGATAGGGCAAAGGCCTTAGTTGATATCGAGCTAGATAGTCCGTCTATCGCGACGGTGCAAGCTATGGTGATTCTAAGTGGCCATGACATTGGGTGCAAGCGAGATGCTCGTGGATGGCTCTACAGCGGTGAGTTCTGTGGTGTTATGCCTCGGCGTTCCCCTTTTCTAATGTTCAAGACAGGAATGGCAATGCGCCTTGCGTTTGACTTGGCCCTTCACGTCGACATGACACAATATGTGAAGAGGGGGTCCATCAGCGAGGCCGAAGCTGACTTACGAAAAACAGTCTTTTGGGGGGCATATACCGCGGATCAGTAAGTGATCTTGTGACATTTGGTCAACCGCAGCGCCGCTAATGTTGTGCTAGGTTGTGGGGATTCTATCTTGGCCGCCCATTCCGTATCAACATGGAAGATGTCACGGCCGCAAAGCCTGGAAATTCCACGACAGAGAGTGACCAGGGGCAATGGGCTGCGTACATATCGGCGGCTTCGCCAGGGCAAGCCCAACCGGACTTTTCAGAAGAGCTAGGTCGTCAACGGGCTTTGTTGTGCGAAACAATGGCACCGCTTGGTCACGCGCTGTGAGTGCCACACCTGTTGGCGTTTACCCCGGAGGTTGTCTAACAGCCAGATCGCAGGTACGGAAGTCGGACTATTCCCTCTCACGTTTTGCAAGAGATGAATCAGAGAACCGTGGAAGAACTGGAAGATTGGAAAAACAGGTTGCCTTTAGCCCTTCAAGTCAATTTGGGCGAATCCGACGAGACAACGGCTTACTTGCCGCATGTGCTGCTGTTGCAGTAAGTAGAACAACTCCAAAGTCACAGAAGAAACCATGCTGACAAAACCAGTATGCAGTACTATCAAGCAGTTATTCACGCCCATCGACCATGGATGTCAAAGCATTACATACAACCCCAGCCGCCTCGTGGGCCGGGCCACAGCCACGCCCGGAAGGCTTGCATTGAGTCCGGTATAGCGATTGCTAAAATCCTGCAAATCTATGAGAAAAGATTCACCCTGAGGCGGATGAATATCCAAGGGGTTACAATCACTTGCTCGGCCGCGTTGCTACTGATATTTGCAACAGTCGCTCGCATTCACGAGACTGCTGGCGATGATCTCGGGGTTTATTTGAGTGCATGCTTCAGAGCTCTCGACGAATTCTCAGCGTCGTGGGAAAATGCTAAGCGTGCCCACGATTTTCTTGTTATGCTTCAAAGGCAGTGGGAAATTCGGGCGAGGACAAATCGTATTCGTCGGCAGTCAACAGTGCCGTCTTCGTCCCCAAGAAAACGCCTCAGAAAGGACTCAGAGTCCGATTCTACTGCCAATGGCTACTCTCCCACATCAACTGCGAAAGCTAACAAGCGTCAACAACATCATTGGACTCAAATGCAGTCTAGTAATGAAGCGATGGGAGCAGAACTGGGTATTGACCTGGATTGGATATTTGCACTAGACAGTAGCACTGGGCCTGAAGCATTCATCGGTGTATAGGAATGTAAGGTTCGTCTTTAAGTAAGCCGTAGCAGTAACCGCAAAGTCTTTCATGCATACTATGCAGCCGATATCTATCCTATACGTAGATGCAACAAACGACAAGCATAGCCGAGGATAATGACTCCGAAGTCTCGTCAGACCGTTGAGGTTGAGTCCCAGTTTCCTGTCGGGGTATGGAGGAAGTCCAACGTCGTTGGATCCCGAAAGATGTCAGGCATTCCGTCGCCGAACATATCGTAAAATGCTCTGTCAAGTTGATGGTAGGAAAGATCAACTGACTCCCACAAGTCGCTGTCGAGAACTCCGAATTGCTGACGAAACATATGCTCTTCTTCTCCCTGTCGCGTTTGAGCCTCTTGCGTCGCGGTAGGTGCATAAGTACGTGGAGCTTCGGGGCTTGCGCCAAGGTCCTGGCCAGCGGACACAAGCTCGGAACGCAGCCTATTCTCCGCTTTCTCTGGAGAGTTGGGTGTGCCAGGTGCCCTGCAGGTACATACGATGTTCTCGCTTGAACTTGGCTGTGGTTCACCTCGCTCGATGAACCTCAATAACCTCCTTGCCAGCCTGGCCACGCCCTTGACAGTAGTCCATCGGTGAGATAAAATATCCAACGCGTTGCAGCAAAGGTTGAGGTCCTGACATGCTGCAGGGGCATCTCGTCTGCCATCCCTCAAAGCACGATATATTACGGTCGTGGCCATTGAGATAGCATAGGGGATGAGAGGGAGTGGCGGCAGCCTCTCTGAACCCTCGGTTGAAATAATATTGAGCGTGCGATCAGCTGAAGCAAGACGTCGGCTGTACTGAGGTTTGCCGGGCCCACTGTATCGGCAGGAAAGCATAGCAGCGAGATGATACCAAAGTTCGAGATAGGCTTTTAATATCAGAGATTGTGCAAGGCATTTTGGTGTTCTGGTGTATGTGCTTACCTGCATGGGATTTGTGGAAGCGGTCGAGGGAGCTGCTGGACGTGATCTCTGACAAAGACGGAAACTCACCGCCGTCATCAACAGTCGCTGTAGAACTTGCCTTGTATACTTTTGTCGCCGTAGTCATCAAATCTCCTAGTGCGAGAGAAACCGACATGAGTTGTGAACGGTAATCAGACTCGCAGGACTCGATCCGACTTATAGCAATGTCCGTGTCGTCCACCATGAATGGGCCTGCCCCCATTATCGGCTTGTTCAGTCTGTCGAAATTTCGAAGTGCCCACCAAAGAAAGTCACAGTCCCTGTGATCTGGATTTCCGGGAACTCTGAGATGAAGAGAAAGCGACCACGCTTCGCAAATAGCCTGCGACAAATAGCTTGAAGATCTGTCCACTCCACCCAACCCATCGTTATGGAGGTGCATTAAGGCTAGAATCTGAATCTTGGTCACACGATTTGATTCCAAATTGGCTTTCATAGCCGCATCCAGCCTCCCCAATAGCTTGGAAGCGAACTTGAGTGGCTCGAGGATCGGTCCGTTATCGTGAAGTTGAAGAAATGGAGTAGCTTGTTTACTTTTGCACGCGACCAGGCAAATTCCGTTGATTAGATGATTAGATGCCTGGCCGTTGCTGTACTCGCGAAGCACACTGTTGCCGTCCATTATAGGAATTAGATCATCTAACGTTGCCGTGTAGATGGGCAGCAGTGCATCTGTGGTAGACCTTGGCAAGATCAGGAAAGCACCAACGCTTTCCAAGTAGCGGCGATGGTCATCCGAAAGTTCGGGCTGTAAGACCCTTCGTCGTTGTCTCCGATACCAAAAGACTTGGCGCTGGGTCCGGTCTAGTGTTGTCAAGTTGTTCTCATGGCCCAGAGAATCTCCATGGGAATGTTTAGGACATGCGTGTTGCTGCTGGGACTGCAATGAGGGTTCTGGATTTCCCGACAAGTCTTCTAAAACAGACTCAGGATTGTATGGGCTCACTCGCGCCGGGCTTGAACTAGATGTGCGGGTGGTTGACGTCGAACGAGGTTCCGTCGCGGTAGCATCCGACGGACGCCCAGTATTTCCGGCAACTCCTCCGGCATCTCTTTCGGCAGAAGAGTTGTGATAACACCTCTTTTTACGGGCACGGCAGGTTTGACACGGTGCAGAAGTCGTGCGATGTCAGCCACGGGCAACTATAGAATTACATCAAGATGACAGGGGTAGCTTATCTTGAGAGGTGCGCTTTCTTGCAGAGCCGCCTGAGGAATGCCAAACAATCTCCATCGGTGAGGCGCTACCTGTCAGCCAGCAAAGCGCTTGAGTTCCACATTCACTCGGGGTTCTCTGATCCAAGATCTCTTGTGACTGTCGGGTATTTCCCAATTCGATCGGAAGAAATCGTTAATGGAATGAGTTCAGGGCTTTTGAAGCCGGGGCCGTGGAAGTGATCTGGGTTGTCTTGACTGAACCCGACCCGAATAAGGAAGCGCTCCGCAAGATCAACGCTGTCCGGCAAATCTACCCCGCACCATCGGAATAAAGGAGCAATTCGTGGAGTCTGGGAAAGTCTACCTTACATAAGGTGGGGCCGAGTGTGCGTCGGGGAATTCGGACCGGTATCGGAAGCCCGCCCAAAGTCTGTCCCGTCTTGACCGGCATACTGTTCCTAGCACTCTCAATGTTATTATCTGAACTCGTATGTTCAACGGCAGCGTACGTATGACGAGTCTTGCGCAGTGTATGGAAATTGCCCTTAAAACCAGGTAAACAGAAGGGCCGAGTAACTTGCAATATCAATGATCTATTTCTACAAATGCGGGAGTAACAATATCTAATCCTCTGACTTCCAAGAAACATGTCATAATTGGATAATGTTGTATCCGGAAGCTGAGACGAGTGCATCGAGCTCAGCTGTCACATCCACAAACGGAAAGCTAGAGCGATTGCCCGCCACATCAAACTCGTTCAGATCGTGAAAATACTCATGCGAGACGTAAATGCTGTCACCGATCTCCACAGTGGCTGTCGGAGAGGCCCAAGTTGCGATGTCCGCCGTGGAATTGTCCGCAACTTGGCCAATGTACTCTACAGATGCGAATCCATCTCTCGACGCCCAGAGAGTAATTGCCTGTAACCCGTTCTCAGAGCAAAGCAACACATTGCGACTGTACCGAGCCGGGTTTAAAAGGCCATCGCACTCAAGATTGCTGGCACTGTATGACCCGTCTGAAGGCCACCCATTCATGGTAACGTTGGTCGGAACCGGACTGGCGGCAGACACGTCAAAGGTGACGAATGTACCGAGATATGGTGCTGTGATGACAAGCTTGTTGCTGTTTTCGTGGTAGACGATGCCGAGATAGATGTACTTGCTTGATGTGCTTGGCTGTCCAAGATACCAGCTCGACACCTCGCCGGCCTCAGAAATCTTCGCTATCCCAGGGACGTGGAACACGACGGGCACGTAAGTGTTGCCTTCTTTATCCACTGCAAAATCCTGGTATCCGCCGCCAGTTACGTTACCAATGGCAAGCTTGGCGCTGAACTCAGCCAGGTCGGCCGTGTAGGCAGCCGAATTTGCGTTGGTATCCCAGCGGATGACCTTATTGGAACCCGTCATGTTTTGACCGGAAGTTACAAAAGGGCTACCGCTGTTTGCTGAAATGAGAATTGAGCCAGTGGAGGAGTCGTAGTCAATGCCGGATACATGATAGGGATCCGTTCCGGTGATTCCTTCAAAACTGAGGATATCGTAGGTAGCTGTATATGGGTCGTAAACCAGAACAGTTGAGTTGAAGTTGGCACTAAATCGAACGATTAGTGAACAGAAGCTCTGGGGGGTAAAGACACAATCATCGTACCTGATGTAGAGCTTGCAATGGACCGGGTCCCAATCCAAGTTCTCTGGATAAAGCTTATAGTTATCAATTGAAAACGATCCGTTGACGGCGGCGCATCTGCTGGTTTTTTCAACGTTGAAAGGAAAACCCGAAACAATGGACGTAGCCAGAGAAAGGCTGCTGGCAATTGCTAAACGAGTGGCTCGCATTGTGACGTTTTGTTGACTTGAACGAACGAGTAAGTGAGTGAATGAGTGAATGAATGAATGATTGAACGACTCCAATACTTGACTGACGTGACGGCGAAATGGGAGTTCCTCTGGACAATTGGGGTTGAGCAGCCATTTTATCTTTTCACTTTTGATATGCTCATCATTATCAACTCTTGCAGAATTCCCACCCCTGTGTGTAATCTCACCACCCCACTCCAGAATGAAAGACCTGAGAGGGTGAAAACCCACTTCATAGTCAATGAACTATGGCGCTGGGATTTTCTATGGGCGAAATGCGTTAAATTTTGAACCAGCAGTCATACCACTCGTACGACTCTTTTTGCCAAGGATCACAGAGGTTGGGACTCTCTATTCACGACTCTGACTTATGCGCGCCCACATACCGACAACGGGAAAAGATTACTAGAAGCAGAGATATGAGAACTAAATGTGCGGAAAAGGTCTACTGTGTTTTTATCAACGAGTCAGTTACTTGGTCCTGACTCTTTGGGATTTTGGTTTCCAGCGGCGTCTCCGTTTCCGCCCACATACCGGAAGGGCACGGGGCAAGGATTCCGGGTAACACGGCAACAGATTTCGACTCCCTCGTTCAGAGAAGGTAGCGATTTAATAGAGTTGTTCCCTTCGTCGCACCGGAAACTGAGTAAACTATTGAACCAGTTCATACTTAGAAAAGCAAGCCGAACAACTGATATGATGATTATCAAGAATATATACGAAACCGATATCCCTGGAAGTAATTATGGACATAAGAAGGCATGGTTTAATTTGGGTTTCAAATTGGTATGGCTTGAAGAACTTAGAGATAGCTACGCATAGTACGTGATTCAACAGCCTCACTCTGCGTAGTGTTGTTTGATCTCTGGAGTTTGCCCCCATATAACTACATCTTGCCTGCTACAGGCTTAGTCCTGCGCGAGAACATCATTTGGCGGCATTTTTACATAACGTCAAATCAAATGCAGTATCCTAAGATCCCTTGGTGAACAAATTAGGCATAGGATTAGGTATAATGTACTGAGAGAACAAAAACATATCCTTTTGAGGTAGGTTATTAAGCATTAGCTGTCGATCGGCTTGTCTATCCGATATATCATCTTAGCAGTATTGAAGTACCCTTTATACTCAATCTCTTCAGCTGATTCGTCGCATTCGTAGTGATAGTGACCGCCCGCGTTTTCCCCAATTGCAGAGAAGGCGTGGGTGTGTTCCATTCTCAGACCTAGATTATCCGGGTCTGCCGAATGAAAGACGGAGAGGCAGACGATAGGCGCGTTGAAGTTATGCCATGTAAGCCAACGGTCAACGTCCTTACGATCTTTGAAAGGAAGTCTACTCTCCGGTGGGAAATCAGGCATGACGTGGTATACTGCCTGCCCTGCTTCAACCACAAACACACCACCCATGCTAATGGGTCGATCGGGTCCATAGGCAGCACATAATGCTTTCCGAATGCACTCTGTGAAGCTCTTCTCGTTGCCCTTTCTTCCCCGCGCAGTGACCTGTAAGACAGGGCCTGACTGACCCAACGAGCCGTAAAGATTTGCCATTAGCCCACAATCCAAGGACGGGCTCTTCTCAATCCTAATATCTCCAGTGTCACCAACGACTTTGATAATTCGGGTCTGGTTGGTGATTTTATCGAATCCCTCTTCCCAGCCAATGTTTGGAGCAAGCTCGCTGTTTTGACCAATGACGTGGAAAGGTCCCGCACCTGCCCCAATCAGGCCCCCCTTGACATTGCTCATTTCCATCGCTTGGGCGAGTTCGTCCATAGGCCAGATGCTGTCGAGTCGTGGACGTGGGAAGAGGTTCGATTGTCCGCCAATATCGGCAACCTTTTCATCTCCACAAAGCCCCCTCGAAGCAAGGCAAAACGGAGCTTGTCGAAGATCGGGGCATTGTTCGACAGTGACCGACGAGTATGAGAAGTTGGCTGCGAGAGGGGCCTGAAGCTGTTCAGCCAACTCCTCCAGTGTAGGAGGCAAAAGCGGAACTTTTTGTATGTGCATGGCGTACGTGTAAGATCAATGAGAAGGTGCATCGGCAATGATGTGTAGTTGCAGAGTTCACCTTACTGTGCCGAGAGACAATCGGAGCTTACTTCGCCGGTGCCTACCCCACCTTTCGGGTCAACCCCCGACTGGCGGATCTAAGAGAAACCCAGCAGCCGAGTGGCCCGATACCATCGGGTATGTCAGTGAGACAATACCGACCCAAATTGGGGGTTTGCCGACAACCTCAGCAGCTGGTTTCGTAAGAGCATTGAACAACCAACTTGAGTTCGCAAGCATCCAGAACAGGGTCGGGACGCGCTTTTGGATTCAAGCTAGACTAGCATCTGAAAGCGATGATCTGTTCCCTCCCCAGGAACGGGAGGTGAGATACGCTGGGGTAATGGGGAAATGGGTGCGTACCCGAAGTGTTGTCTTCAAATGGACGCGAGTATTAGCAGACGTTTCTAATATCAGGCTGGTGTAACATTTGAACAATTACTTCTATATAAGTAGGCTATACATCCCGCCCCAAGTAATTCGTTTCAATAACATTATCGGAACAAAGACTCTTCGCCATGACGTCCACGCAAGTCAAACGTTACGCAATTGTTGGCATGGGCGTTCGCTCAGCCTTCTATTACCAGAGCATCCTGAAGGACTTTGATCAGGTTGCCACTCTGGTAGCCATCTGCGACACAAACCAGACACGACTGAATGCCGCCAATGATCGCATTGTCGAGCTCGGGGGGGATAAGCTGCCGACTTACAAGGCGGAAGACTTTGACACCATGGTGGCAGAGCAGAAGCCGGACGTCGTCATCGTCACAACGATTGATCTGTATCATCACGTCTATTGCATCAGGGCAATGGAACTCGGCTGCGATGCCATCACGGAAAAGCCAATGACTATCGACGAGGAGAAATTGCAGCTCATGATCGACGCCGAAAAACGGACTGGAAAGCAGATTCGAGTCCTGTTCAACTATCGATACGCTCCACATCACACAAAAGTCCGAGAACTGATCCAGTCAGGCGTGATCGGCGAAATAGCGACTGTTCACATGGACTGGATTCTCGATTGCGCCCATGGGTCTGACTTCATGCGCCGCTGGCACCGAAACAAGGAAACTAGCGGTGGAATTCAAATGCACAAGTCCATTCACCACTTCGACTTGGTCCATTTTTGGCTTAATACTGAGCCTGAGCTGGTCTATTGTATTGGCGACCTCTGGTTCTACGGCAAGGAGAATGCTCAAAGACGAGGTGTTTCCAATCTCGGGGAAAGGTATCTTGACAACGAAGACGCCAAGAACGACCCTTTCGCTATTCACATCGACCAGAATGCCCAACTGAAGAAGCTTTATCTTGAAGCTGAGCATGAGGACGGTTATATCCGGGACCGAAACTGCTTCGCCGAGGGCATTACCATCGAAGACAATCTCTCCATGATCATCAAGTACAAGAACCGAGCAGTCATGACGTACAACACCTACGCCTACGCGCCATGGGAAGGCTATCGGTGCGTTTTCAACGGGAGCAAGGGCCGCATCGAAGTAAATGTGGTTGAGAGTGGCTACTCAGCTGGAGGCGAAACAGTCACAGAAAAGGGACTCGGAGATCTCGAAAAGGGCTATATTCAAGGCGGCGTCGAGCAGACCAAGATCGTTGTGTATCCTCTCTTTGAGGAACCGTATGTGGTCGACGTGGAGAAACGGGAGGGCGGACACGGCGGAGGTGACCCTGTCCTACTTCGGGATGTGCTCGTGGGTGACGAAAGCGACAGGTTCAATCGAGCTGCTTACATCCGTGACGGGGGGAACGCGGTGTTGGTCGGCGTGGGGGCGAACCGTTCGATGAAGTCGGGGATGCCTGTGATGGTTCAAGAATTGATCCGCTGGTAGGGTTTTGTACTTGAACTAGTTGTCCTATGAGTATTGATTGGTTGCTGAATCGAGAAACGACCTTTGGAATATCGATTCTACTCTGTGATGACTCAATCAAATCGAAAATATGGAAGGCACTTCGCAGCCCTTGTGGAAGATTGGCACTTGGTCAGGGATTTCTCATTTTATCACAGAGGAATACAATTCTGGTGTATAAACCGGGCTTTTCTTCTACTCACAACCACTCCTTTTACATATAAGTGATCTGAATTACTGGCTCGGAAGCCGCCGGCGCCGAACCCGGATCATTAGCGGCGGCTTCTCCCAAATTGACCATGACCTATGCTTTGAGTAAGGCTGTGTCCATTCCAAAGAAGACTTCTCTAGGCTGAAGTCAAACTCCCAAAGAAGTCTTGCCACAATTAGTCGCATCTCGTTGTACGCTAGATGCTTACCAACGCAGTTCCGGGGACCGTAGGAAAAGGGTTGAATGGCGTCCCGCTTATCAGCGTAGTAGGGAGACAAGGGGTCTCGGGCAGCTTCCGGCAGCCATCTTTCAGGAGAAAACGTCTCGGGATGTGCAAAGTTTGTGGTTGAAAGGCCAGATGAGGACTGATGAACGCCAACTCGAGTCTAAGCGGGTGATTTGAAAGCATTAGCTTGGGTAGGCCTTAGTAGGAGGAGATGGAGGATAGATGTATATTGGAAGGAAGGAAACTGGCAGTACGGACTCCGGTAGGAATATACATTCCCTCGATGTAGACTGGTTCCTCACCATCCGGAACAATTCTCTCGAGAGAGGTTGGCACGGGAGGATAGAGCCTGAATGTCTCGTTCAGCACGGCCAGAAGATAGGGAAGCCGTGCTGTTGCGTTGGTGAACGTGATCTCGGCTGGTGAGGTGAAAGCCTGGCGGACCTCTTCCACAGCCCTTTGGTGTGCTTCAGGTGTTGACAGAAGATAAAACGTGCATGCTGTCATTAACGTCGCAGTCGTGTCGCTACCGGCGACGAAGAGAGTATTGGCATTTGTGATGATCTCTTCGATAGAATTGATCTCTTTCTCCGCCCGACCTCGAAGCAATCCCTGCATGAAGTCTTTGCGAGATATTACCGAGTCATTAGCAAGACGCCTGCTCACCGCCATCCTGGTGTAATGGAACTGATCCATGAACCCCTTTTCCACTCCACGAGCGAGGAGAGGCATAATCAGCCAGCTTAAGGGGCCAAGTAGACTGTCCAGCTCAAATATCTTCTTGGCTCTCTCAATGAATAGAAGAACGGAGGTGACAACGTGGTGCAGCTCGTTGTTGTCGAGACCACCGAGAGACTCTCCGAATGTCAAATCACCGATGATATCGAATGATGCGATGTGAAACCACCTCCCAATCTCCGTTGGTAGCTGGGATTCGGCCACGTCGGAGAGTCTCCTGATGAGCTTGTCAACATATTCGTGCACGATAGATTCTTGCTCTGCCAGTGACTTTGGAGAAAAGGCATGAGAAACGCCGCGACGGATCCTGGCGTGATTCTCGTCGTCGGCCGTAAGAATGTTGGATTGGGGGTCCAGCTGCTTCGATGCGTTGAACTTTGGGAACTGACGGTGACCGTGACCGTAGATAGATTTCCATGCATTCGATGTTGTAAACGAAACAGCATTTGGACCGTGGCGGACGATGTTGCCGTACTTCTGGTGAAGGAGGCGTACGTCATGGTCGAAAGTCCCGAGAAGCGTTTTGATTCTAGGGATGGCTGGAAATATGACCCATGCTTTTGGGCCTGGGACATGCCTCAGTGGGGAGACATATGCTTGGTAAATGCCTTGGAAGATGTGGAAGAGTAGCCACGCAATGACTAGAAATGCTGCGAATCGTACGAGAGGGCCTGCTCCGATGGAGAAGGAAGACCCGAGAACCATTTCGAGAGGCTAATGGTGTTGGCGTAATGCTCCAGATGTCGCAAGTGTAGGTCAAGTCGATGGTCGCGCTACCGTAGCTCAAGGACGTCGATAGGGTTGTATTTATTCCTGGGCTCGAAACTCGGGACGCAGAACGATGTGGCACGTCGTCGCAACAGACGGTCTCCGTGGATCGCGCCAATGTAAGAGACTTCATGCGTCCGGATTCCTATTGCATCCCGTCCGAGCCGTCAAAGGTAGATCATACGGACTTTTTGAGGGTTCATATGCCCGAAGATATCTGGGACGTAGCGCCATGCCTTCTCCACACCGAGAGTAACCGCCGACGGGCACATCCGCCTTGGCCCATGCGGACCTAGTCGGAACTTCAAAATGAGGCCGGAGTAATCCGCAGTGGACTAAGGTACTGCTGTAAGCGCCGTCTATTGAATTCCGAGTGCAAGGCCTCCATAATAATGCCGGGTTATAAGTAGAGCGGTTCATAGGATACTGTTTCTATCTAGAGTTGTAAGGCAACTTAGGACAATACTCTAGGCAGGGCTAAGATATCTTCCGGTTGCAGGGGAAAGTTGGAGTTGAACTATTATCGGAAACTTTAGAAAAAGAGATTTCCCCTTTTGGATGGACACTTGGGTATTTCCGATGCAATGCATGGCGGCATAGCTATTGTTTACATTAGCAGCCCATCCTCTCCAGCACCTCGTTGTCTGGCCTTTGCCACGGAAACCTCTCTTCAAGCGAACGGATCAGCCTTTCGTGTTGTACAGACCTGGGCGCAATGGAAGTCTCAAACGGCCCCAAGTGGCTCAGGGCGCCGTTCAAGTGGTCTACCTTCGGCTCGATAACGACCCCATCGACAACCTTCTTGCTGATCCGAAACACGGCAAGCACCTGCGCAAAGTTGAGGAACAGTGAGTTCTGCGCGAGGATTTTGCCCGCGCAGACACGTCGCCCAAAGCCGAAGACAAGGCGCACCGGGTCCAGCTCCGGCTCGCGATTGGGCGTCCGGATGTGCCGCTCGGGGCGGAAGACGTCCGGGTCCGGGTATACATCAGGGTTGTGCGTGAACCACCTACGCGAGGTTAGCCTCTGTCCATCACTCGCCTGCTGCCGAAACTTTGGACGTCTCTTTCATACCAGAGGTTGGCAAACATGATGGCATCCTTCGGAACCCCAAATCCCCCGTAGGTTGTCTCTTCCGGGTTGGTGTGCGGGAGGCAGATGGGGATGACACTGTGCCACCGCAGGCTCTCTTTGACAACGGCCTCGACGTACGGCAGGTTCTTGCGATCGTCCAGCGTCGGCAGCCGGTCGTGCCCTACGACGCGGTCGATCTCCTCCTGCGCCTTGGCCTGGATCTCGGGATTCAACGTCATGGCGAGGAAGAAGGCGCCGATGGACGAGACAGTCTAGAAGAATACGTCAGCATAGCGCAAAGGTTCTCTTAAAGGAAGGAGGTCTACCGTATCGGCACCGCCAGTATACAGAGACTGGGCCGCCCACTTGTTGCTGCGCTCCTCCTCGGGCGAGTCCCCGCTGTTCTCAATGAGCCGCGAGACATAGCACGGCATTTCCCTGCCCTGGGCCCGCTGGTGCTGCACAAAAGCGTACGGCTTCTCGACGGTCTCCATCAGCTCCTTCTTCCACTGCCGGGCAAGCTTCTTCCAGCTAGCGCCGGGAAACCAGTCGGGTACGTGGCGAACTGTTGGAGGGTATATTGGTTAGAAGGCGCCTAATTTGCGGGGTTCAACGTTGCCGCTGATGCGATTTTGCTAAGACTTACGGATGGGGAACGTGTCAACTAGATACGAGCCGGGTGCGGCGTATTCGGCGAGGTCGTCCATGACCTTTTGGACCGTGTCGATGAGCGAATCCCTCTTGGTCTGCTCCGCGTTATAGCCGTAGACGAGCTTGAGGATTGTGGTGCCGGCCGATCTGTAGTGCGTTGTTAGGTTTTAGTCTCTCATCAATCAGTTTGTCTTCAACAGAATCAGAACAACCTCTTAATGTGATCTTGCAGCTTCTCAGGGCTCTCGAGAAGATGCAGTACGAAGTGGGCGACCTCGGCCTCAAGCAGTTCATTGAACTGCGAGGCAGCGGCATTGGAGCCGATGATCCGGCCGAAGCCCTTGCGGCGATGGCGCAGAACGTCGCCGTCTGGCAGGAAGGCCGTGTTATGCTTCCAGCCGACGCTAAATAGGTTGGCTACAGTCAGTCTCCGCAACATTTCAGCAGGCACCAAGAGGGCCATGACGTACAACTCGCCGCCCAGAAAGGGCTGTGATCTCGAGGAGTAAGTGGAACGCTTGTCCAGGATGTCGAACGCGAGCTGGACGTCGTTGATCAGGATGATCGTCCTGCCCATGACGGTGATGGAGCTGAGGGGGCCTAGAAGCGGGGTCAGTCAACATCCACGGATTTCAACATTCACAAGGTGCCAACACGTACCGTATTCATCCTTGAATTTGACCCAGTGGTGGGGCCCAAAGACGCCGGGCGGTGGAAAATCCTTTATGTTTCCCACGATGGGAAGGCCCCTTGGACCGGGCGGCAGCGGGAGCAAATTAGCATTCCTTTTGGCCTGCATCAGTTTGTCAACAACGTAGACCAGGAGAAGCACGGCTCCAAAGCCTAGGACGAGCGAGGAGTCCTTCATCGTCGCGGGACTTAATGTATAGTGATGGGAATACTAGCAACTGAGAGCAAAGACGAACAACAGCATAATGAGTGAATCCTAGTATAGTGGAGGCTGGCAGAGCGGATGAATGATGAATTTAAGATGAGGGAGGAAAACTCACGCGTCTACTGATTTATAATTGTCTTTCTGTGGCTGGCTGGGAGGGTCCATAGTAGTGGGTTGAGCTGGGATAGTAGCAGGGGTGAGGTCTAGGGTGAAGATAGAGACTAAGAGATCTTAGAGTAGTAAAACCGCTAAGATAGTAGCTTAAGTAGGGAGAAAAGATTTAAATATACTTAGTAAAGAAAATAAATACTATATAATATAGAAATAAATATAACTAAAGTTATAATTATTTATAAGTATTACTTAAAGAGTTTTTAATTATTAATTAATATATTTAAAAAAAGTAAAATTCTATAAAGAAGTAAATAGTAATATAATAAATAAGTACTTAGTTATAACCTATTATAAGTAATAGCTTATCTAGGTAATATACTAAGTATAATTAAATAAATACTTAATAAATATTATAATAAGCTATAATAGAAATAATAATAATTCTAACTATAAGACTTTTAAAGATTTATAAAGAAAACTTTAAGAAATATAAGAAACTCTTCCTTAATTTCTAGAGATAATTACTAGGAAATACCTAAGAAGATATAAATAAAGAGTAGAGAAATTCTAATAGAATAACTTTATAATATCTAAATACTTTTGTTATAGCCAGCTAACTGACAGTGGGTTTATATTAATAGTAAGTTAGGGATTAAGAACTATAAATAGTAATTAGTTATTCTCTAGGTCTAGTTAAGTAATTATAGGTCTTTAAAGGTCTTAGTAATTAATTAAGGCCTTAATAAGAGTTATAGAGTAGTTATTACTTAGGTATAGCTAAAAGTACTAATAAGGGTAATTATAAAATTAATTACTAAAGAGCTATAGAAGTCTATCCTTAAGGTAGGCTTAAGTCTATCCTATATATAAGTCCTAGATATTTCTCTTCCTATATAGACCGCAATCTAAGAGTTAGTCCTCCTTAAGGACTACCCTTAGTACGTTAGTCTTAATCCTTATACTGGTTTTAGGACTACTTATTAAAAGTTAGTCCTACTTATTATTATATAACTTATACTATAGTTCTTCTATTCTAGGCGAGCCCCTTATGTTCCCATGATCCTATATATAAAGGTATTATTATAGCTGCCTAGTATCCTAATAGGGCGTTCTTTATTAGTTATACTTAATAGGTTATAATATTAGGTCTCCCCTCTAAAGGTCTAGTCTCTTAGACCTTATATAAGTAGGTTATTACTCTTAGGCTAGGGAGTTATTAATTATGCTTCCTTATTTCTATAATGCTAATACTATATTAGGTTATATTTAAAAGTTAAAGTCTTAAAAGATAGAAATAAAAGATTATAAGCGTTAAGCGCTTAAGTTTATAGATTCTTATTCCTTATATATAGATATACCTTATACCTATTGTTTCTATATAAAGGTTGCATATTAATTTAGTGAGGGGTTATCTTATTACTATAAATATATTGAGGCAAAGAAACTATATAATAGTGTTTTAGTAGCTTCCACATATAGGTGCTAAGATCTTATGTTTTCCCCTTTTTTCTAACGTCTTCTAGTATAGAGGTTAAATACTTAGTAGAAGGAATAGGATAAGAAGGAGGAGAAGGTGGGTAAAGAGTTTATAGCTCTTTATATTTAATTAACTTACCTTTAGGCTAATATAGTAGTAGTAGTAAGCTATCTCTTAAGGATTTATACTATTTAGAAGTAGGTTTATAATTATTAGTCTGAGGCGTTTTATTAGGGTATATAGGAGGTTAATAAGGAGGATAATATTCTTCCTATATTAGATACTTATTAGTAGGGTGTTATAGGGGACCTCTAGTTTATAGGTATTATAAACGACCCTTCCTAGCTAGACTTTGGGATTAGTGAGGAGTTTATAGACCTAAGCCCCTTGCTTAGGAGTACTCCCGCAGTAGCTGCTGGGAGTGCTAGAGGTTCTTGACGGGTTCCCACGAGTTGTCTTTATGTCTATATCCTTCCTACTTAATGAGATATTTTATATTTCTATTATTACTATAGTAGTTAATAATTTATTTAACTTTATATTCCGGTTTAAGAGGTTCCATAATAATATAGTCTTCTATATATAAACCTTATAGTGCTTTTTTAAGAAGTAAAATATAAAAGACTAGATAATACTTTATAGTATCTAGTAGTATAAGTTTAAAGTTAATATTAGATACCTTCTATATAATTTTAAAAGGTCTAAGTTTCTTAAAGTCTAACTTATTACTTAGTTATTTTATCTTAATATTTCTATAGAGAAGGTATATACTATCCCCCTCCTATAGAGTTAGTCCCTTAACTCTTAAGGTATTAGTATATTTATATATCTATTTATATATAAATTTAAGTTCTTTTAGGAGTTCTTATTAGATTTCCTTAAGTTTATTAATATCTACTATAGCTTTTAGAGCTACTAGGCCCTATTGTGGTTCTCTATAGGCTATTAGATTAAATCTATAGTTTAGATAGAATAGTGATTCTTTTGTGCTTTCTCCTACTGCGCTATTATAGGCAAACTAGGCCATAGGTAGCAATTGCACCTAGTTGTCTTGCTAGTAGTTGACGTAGTAGTGTAGATAGGTTTCTATAATCTAATTAATTTATTCTATCTAGCTATTAGTTTATAGATAAAAAGCAATAGATATCTTATAATTAGATCCTAACTATAAGATTAGTAATCTCTAAAACTTAGAAGTAAATAACTTATCTTTATTAGATATAATTTCCTTTAGCGTTCTATATTAGCTAATAATTATCTATAGAAACTTATAGGTAAGGTCTTCTATAGTGCTAGACTCTATATATAGGATAAAGTATAAATACTTTATAAGTCTATTAATAATAACTAGGATATTATTATAGTAGACCTTAGTTATTAGTTCTTAGGACCTAGGTAACTTAGTAATAAAGTCTAATAAGATAGATTCCTATATAGTTTATAATACTAGGAGCAGCTATATCTTACTATAAAGCTAATATTAATTAGGTTTACTTTTTATATAAACCTTATAGTCCCTAATTACTAAAGATACTTCTTATTATATAGCTATTTTATTATAGTGTTATCTAATATATTTCTATATCTTAGTTACGCCTTAGTAGCTATATATAGGAGTAAAGTATATTTCCCTAATAGCTTTAGGAGATATCCTTCTAGTTATGCTAGTATTATCTCTTCTGGCTATTATTAAGAGTCTAGCTGCTAGCATAAGGTCTCCTTCCTTGTCTTTTTTGAGGATAACTTAGGTTTCCTTAGGGACCTAGACTTTATGGTCTAGTCTTCTACTGAGAGTATCTACTCTTCTATTTTCCTTACCTTTTTAGTAGATAATCTTAAAATTAAATTCTAAGAGGAATTTAGACTATCTAATCTATTATTTATTAAGTTCCTTTAATATTATAAAATAAATAAGATTTTTATAATTAGTATAGACTTTAACTTTATACTTTATTCCTAATAGTTAAGGTCTCTATTCCTTAAATGCTTTAATAATAGCTATAAGTTCTTTATTATAGATCTAGTAGTTAAGTTTTAGGCTATATAGCTTATATAAGAAGAAGGTATATAGGTATAGCTATCCTTTATTATCTTATTAGCCTAGCTATCCTCCTATAGTATAGTCTAAGGAGTTAGTCTTAACTTTAAATAGTTTTTTAGGATTAGGTATAATAAGTATAGGTTCTAATATAATTTATTACTTAATCTTATTAAAGGCTTATTCTTATTTATCTTCCTATTATTAGGGAATATCTTTCTTTAAGAGTCTTATAAGAGGGTTATTCTTATCTAAGTATCCTTCTAGAAATTATTAGTAGTAGTTTATATATCTAATAAAGGATTATATATCCTTAACGTTCTAGGGTATTAGCTAGTTTTATACTACTATAATTTTATCTTTTAATATTTTAAGGATTCTAGGGGCTATTATAAAGCCTAGGAATTTAACTTCTTAGGTATAGAATTTGCTCTTTTCTAATTCCACTAGGAGTTTAGCTTCTTAGAGTTTCTATAGCACTTAATATATATACTTCTTATGGTCTTCTAGCGTCTTTAAGAAGATTAGGATATTATTAAGATAAACTATAATAAATATATCTAGGTATTCTTATAGGATATAATTAATTATTATCTAGAATATTATAGGTATATTAATAAGTCTAAAGGGCATTACTAGGTACTTATAGTATCCTTAGCGTATTTAGAACGCTATTTTCTATTCTTTACCTGATTTTATATATATTAGGTTATAGGCTCCTTTTAAGTTAAGTGCTATAAACTACTAGGCTCTATATAGTAGGTCTCTA